TGTGTGCGGACTGGGTCGCCGAGATCTCCGCCTTCGACTGCCGCCCAGTCCTCTCTGCACCGCTTCACCACGGACCCCTCTGCAGGTGGTGGGCCCACAGGAGGGACTGCCCACGTCATCCCTTCGGGCTGAGCCCGGCCGGGCCCCGTGGGCTAAGGCCCGGCCACCAGGCGCTCGCATACGGGCCCCGACCCCAGGCCTGGCTCCAGGGTGGGGCCCCGGCTGCGCCATGCCGGGCGACGTCACTGTTTTCGTGTTAGTGCTGTCCATGGTGTCTTCTGGACTGCTCTTTGTCTGACTCGTCACCTGAGACCTGTCTGCCATGGGAGGCCCTACCAGGGGCATGAAGCCCCAGACAGCATAGCTCCCAGGATCATCCGAGTACTCAAACTCCCCCACCACGTTAAGGTGGCAGTCCAGGGGGGAGCAGACATTAGATGCATTTATAGAAAAACATCATTTGTTACATGAGAGTCAGTTTGGATTCCGAACAAATCGATCAACAGCCTTAGCCTTAATGAAGCTTACCGAACACATTAGTACGGCAATAGAAAACAAAAAAAGTACTATTGGGGTATTTATCGACCTCAAAAAGGCGTTTGACACCATAGACCACAGTATTTTATTTCAGAAACTACAGCATTATGGAATTAGAGGGGGGGTGTTAAACTGGATTATAAGTTATTTACAGAATAGACAACAATTTGTACAGTTTGCTGGCAACACATCAGAAAAATTAAAGATTAAATGTGGAATTCCCCAAGGTTCCATTATTGGACCAAAACTTTTTATTTTATACATCAATGATTTGTGTGAAGCATCAGACATATTACAATCGGTGCTGTTTGCCGATGACACCAACTTTCTTTTGTCAGGTGACGATATAAAGGATGTGATTAATAATGTAGGAAAAGAAATGATAAAAATAAGCAAATGGTTTAGGGTAAACAAATTATCTCTAAATGTGAACAAAACTAAATTTATGTTATTTACCAAGTGCTATCAAAATAGAAATATTGAGTTGTGTTTAGATGGAATAAACATTGAAAGGGTAGAAGAAATTCGATTCTTGGGTGTGACCCTCGACGAGAATTTAAATTGGAAATCACATGTTGAAAATACACGAAAGAAATTATGTAAAAACCTCTCTATCCTTCACAAAGTGAAATATTTTTTAACTTATACAGCTCTGAGGATATTATATTTTACATTAATATTGCCATGTCTTTCTTATTGTTTGGAAGTTTGGGGAAATACGTATGTAACCACACTGAAGCCTTTGATAACGTTACAAAAGAAAGCAATAAGAGCCATTCATAAAGTCCATGGGAGAGAGCACACTAACCCATTATTCATAACATCCAAATTGCTAAAGGTACCTGACCTTATAAAAACCCAAACACTTACAATAATGTATAAGGCAAGACATCATTTGTTGCCTCAAACTGTACAAACACTATTTTCGTTTAAATCAGACTCTCGTCTCCGACACAAACTTAACTTTATTCTTCCTTTTGCCAGTACCACCCAGAAGCGGATGGCTATCTCAGTGGCTGGAGTCAAGCTGTGGAACTCCATGAAAGACACTTTAAAAAACTCCACAAATATTTTTCAGTTTAAACAAATATACAAGGAAACAATAATTAAATCATACGAACTGGAAATTAAATGAAAGAGGATTATTTGTTTTGATGAGCAAACCCTGCTTGTGGCATGTTTTGTATTTGTTATTTCTTTGTGACTGATGTGTTGTTACATCAAACCATCTTGAAAAATGTTGTTTGTTTTTTTTGGAGAAAGGGGCACATAATATAAGTTTGTCTTCTTTGTGCTCCTTTTCAATTGTCTGACTACTAATATTATTTTATGTAAACATGTAAAAATGAAAGAATATTCAGAACAATTGAAATAAATAAAAAATGAAATGAAATGAAATGAAATACATCCATAAAATCGTTAAGATTTCAATGCTTTTAGAAGTAAATTTTAAAACCAAAACGTGAATAAATATGTATTCATTGATTTACTACTTTACTAGAAAAATAATTAATAACCGGCTCATTTACTGCTATTTTCTTCATTTTATTGTAAAGAAGTAAAGCATACATTTTTCTTCATCAAAATAGTCTGGAGAAATCATAAACAATTTTGTGTCTAAATTGAAAATATTTCTGTAAATCAATTTATTTCTTTTTTTTGCACACCCACATTATCCCTCACCCCCATCATCCGTGCTGCCATTTTTTTCCAGTTTACTCCTGAACGCAGCACTGTCTTCTATTTATTTACAAGCAAAGCCTAAGATGAAAAGCGTAAGAGGAACACATGCACTGCTTTTTAGTGGCGTTGCTTTTAAGTCGCGACCAAAGGGCCCTGTGTAATTAAAGATGCCGTAAAACAGAATGTTATGGGCAGGATTTGGAGCCGGAGTTCCAATTTGCAGAGCGCAGGATTCCTTTGAACGCACCATGAGGCTTCCATGTCCATGGGCCGCGGGGAAGTGACACGTGTGCCGGGAAGCCATGTGAAAAACAGATAGTTCATTAGTATAGTGAGAATTTATCTAAAACATGTTAAAGAAAACTATATAAACAATGAACAAGATACAGACATACATAATGAACAGAAATAAACCGTTTGAAAAAGAGTTTGGACGAAGCAGACACTTATTTGGCTCAACCGCACTCACTAATTCAACACAACCACACACACGCAACACAAGCACAACACACAAAGACACAGGCCCAAACATTCTCTGACCACTGTAAGCAAGTAAGTAGGTAATGTTTATTTATATAGCGCATTTTACAGACCAAGGTCACCCAAAGCGCTTTACAATATCTTACAAAGTTCAGATATTGTTCCAATTGTTGATGACAGAAGCGAGTTGCCGAACACACTGGCGCATCAGCCCCCAATCAACACCATCCATTCACCCACTCATTTACATTATACCTATTGTGCATGTTTTTAGTGGTAGGGGAAACCGGAGCACCCGGAGGAAACCTACGCAGACACTGGGAGAACATGCAAACTCCACTCAGAAAGGCCCTGTTCCGACCGGGCTTCAAACCCAGGACCTTCTTGCTGAGAAGCGAGAGTGCTATCCACTCAGCCACCGTGCCGCCCACTGACCACTAGTGTCTGCTCTGAAGTCCTCACTCCTCCACAGACTTCTTCAGCACATCCTTCTTAAACAACTTTTTAAAGCGTAGTAGATTTGAACATATTTTTAATTCATTTGTGAAGTTGTTCCACAGAGTAACTCCTCGCTCAGAGACACACATTGATTGTAAAGTAGTTCTACATTAAGTTATACAGTATACGTTTTGGCTTCCTCTTCCTCCTCGCCTTTCAGACCAAGATCACAAAGCGCTTGAGCTGTACATTTCTTTCCCTCGTGTTGGGTCCAAAATGATTTAAAACTGGGGTACTTACATTTTCAAACCACAAACAATTGAAACATATTACAAATACATAATACAAAACCATATAACCAGCTCCTCAAAATGGTTTGGTTATCACAAGTCTTCACATGCATCTATTCTTGGCCTCCTTCAGTGAAAAGGGAGGCCACCCTTACTCAGCCAATCAGGTCTCAGCCAAAAGTGTCAAAAGGTGAGTCACAGCGCTCTTTCTTCCAAGTATGGCAAAATACAGAGATTTCTCCTGAAATGAAGACTCATGATATGGGCTGGTTTTCTCGCATTTTTTTTTTACTTTTACAAGACTTTCTGTTGAACCCAACTTATTTGTCATGTTTACTATTGTGAAATAATTTGTAAACTGGTAATATATTTGTTATGGATTTCTGGATTGTTGGGTCAAATAGTAGTGGTACCACACATGGGTTCTATTCCCATTAAATTCCATTCCCTATAGATTCAGATTAAGAGATCCTTTATTCATCCCACAGTGGGGAAATGTCAGTGTTGCATCACAAGTTACATGCAGTAGGAATGAGGAGTTCACAACGCAAGATAAAAGAATAATTCTATACTAATAAAAAATGTCTTTAGGATAAAAAGAAGCAGTATAAAATCTCATGCTGACATCTGTTCTATTGTACATAAGTCGTTGTTTATTCAGTGTGAGACCAGTATTCTTTACATTATATTTACATACTGGACCAGAAAAGGCCAGATGCAGTTGTTCTGCCTGCTGCTGTCTGTTATGTAATGCTGTCCATGCTCCTGCTGCAGCTGTGGAAATGGGACCATGTCGCCCTCTGCTGGTGGCTTTTACACATTACACCGCGCTCGTGTTTTGATCTGCGGTTCTCAGCGTGTGGGGGTTACATAATATAACACTCCATCCATATGTGCATTCCAAAACAGCAGTAAATGGAGAGACATGCTTGACCATTAAAAGACCGTGCCTGTTTTAAAGACGGGAGAATTAATCAGTCTCTTGAAGAAAGTAAATAGCTGTAGATCTAACAAATAACAGTGTAAGCTTAAACATCTTTGTAAATCTTTTAGCTGAAGGAGAAAAAAATATGACAAATATGATTGATTTGATATATTGGCATTGGCAAGGATGTGAACAGAATAGATGGCAGACAGTCAGTAGACAATAGACTCTTAAAAATGAACAACTCAAAATGTGTGGTCTATTATAAAACACAGTGGGACCAAAGTGATTGAGCAGATGTTAAGCTGAGACCAACACAGTAATACATGTACCAAAGCAAACTATAGTTAGGCTGTTCTAAACGCTGTACCTTATGCTTTTTGGAAAACCAGGTTAAAATTCAGCCATGAGGAAATCTAACATTTCTTCATACAATCTTAGTGTTGTCATGCACATTGTACTAGGACACAACTCGAGTGCATTGAAAGTGTGGGAGGGAGCAGGGAGGAGGTGCTTCTCCAGAGCAGTGTATAAAAGCTCCAGCGTGTGCTCCAGCGTCTGCATTTCAGACTCTGGAGGAATCTAAAAGGAGGCACATCAAACATCAGCTTTTACAAGGGAAACTCTGAGGGACCAAAACAAGCGAGATGGCCACCATGTTCAGATACCCCGTGTTCCCCCATCTTCAGGGTGAGTCTATATGAGTATAGTGTATATATAGGATACTATAGTATAACTGTTGTATGGATAAAACAATGAGCAATTTGCCTTGTCAGACTTGGAAGTAGGAAAGTTAAATCCTATTGTGAAATTTGTGTATGACATTTAAAAACATTTTGGGCTGTAAAAGATATTCACATTGTTGATGCCTGATTATTTTTACATTTCATGGATTTTGTTATTGACTTTGTGCATTCTCTGAAGAGATGTATAACTGCTAGTTTACAGTTGATACAGGGTTTTACTATAAGGGTTTTTGTTACTTTTTAATGGACTGTGATGATGCCTGTGTGACTTGAAATGCCAAGAATGTTTTCTTTCACATCTTGTTTTAATTTTTATGTTTTATGTTGCCTTGTACATTTTTCTTTCTATCTGCATCGGTATCTTATGGACTTATTTTTGTCCAAAACATTTCTGAAATCAGCTGAAATGTTGTTTTTTCAATCAAAGTCTATAAAAGTGATTGCGTAACCTTTATAGACAAAGTTTTGACTTACAATTTATTTTGGTTTTCCCTAAAAATAACATACATAACTGAAAAATGTATGTTCTTTTGTCATGGTTTCATACATAAATGCATAAGGGAGCTATTTTCTCCAGTAAAGTGAAGCGTGTCTGCCTAAAACCATGCCTTGTATGGAGCCATGTGAATGATGTATGAGGCTGTAGCACTAAGTCTAATATCAAATGTAGTGATGCTCTCTCGCGGACGCACAGGATGAGACCCGATGTTCTTCTCATCACAACGGGACAATTATGTAATTCCTGCACATCTCCATAGCAACACTTCACAACTGCCATTTCAACTGTGATCTAATGACTCATTATTTAGATCAATAATATTTTATCTGTAATAATATGCACAATTTTGTATGTAATTTTTTATATTTTTTCTTTATTGTCAGAGATTGTGTTTGGACTTTTGGCTTTGTTTATCAGCCTTCTGGACTACTAATGGCTTAAATATGTGCGTGCAGAAACTAAAAACAAAAATCTGATTTTCAGAACATAAAGATAAATCACCACATTTTTTGTTTTTTTTTTGCCTTGATAAAAGAATAAAAACAGTTTGATGTTAAATCTTTTTGCTTTCTGTACGGCATAAATAAATCAACTGCATTTTTGTGGTTTGATTTAGTTTGCATTCTGACCACTACATTGAGCAGAAGGGCAACATTTTTTAGAAAGAAGGCCACAGACTTGTCCAGGGGCGACAACCGGTATTGTTTACAGTTTCTGACTGGATGTGAGCTGTTCTGAGCTTTACAATGAGGTATGACATTTAAGGGAGCTGAAGTTGACTGAAAGTAAAATGTTTACTCACCGGCTTCATTAGCGCCTTGTGTTGATCTCATGATCTCACCCCATGTTCATTCGTTGTCTTACCTGATGGACAATTGTTGTGTCTTGCTTTTTTCAACTTTTCCATCTAAATATTTTTTTTTCTTTCATGACAATCCATCTTGGCGAGTCTTGCCGTGTGCTCCCCGTACTCATATTGTTTTGTTCCCCTCGCAGAGCCGCGTGCGCCCGGCCTGTCCCTGCGCTCACCCCCCTGCACCGTCATGGCGGAGCCTGACTACCTGGAGGGCCCCTGTGACGAGCTCATCAAGCCTAAGAAGCTGCCGAACCCGGTGAAGAGCTCCCGGAACCACCAGGACCTCCACCGCGAGCTGTTCTGGAACCAGAAGACGTAAGCTCTAGGCCACGTCAGGCCCAGCAACCACACGCTAACCACACAGTGACTACACGGCAACCACACGGCAACCACACAGCTACCACACGGCAATCACACAGTGACTAGACGCAATCACACAGCGACCACACGGCAACCACACAGCAACCACACAGTGACTACACGTAATCACACAGCAACCACACAGTTACTACACGGTAACCACACAACAACTACGCGGCAACCACACAGTGACTACACGGAGACCACACCTCAACCACACGGCAACCACACGGCAACCACACGGCAATCACATAGTGACTAGACGCAATCACACAGCGACCACACAGCGACCACACAGTGACTACACGCAATCACACAGTGACTACACAGTGACTACACGCAATCACACAGTGACCACACAGTGACTACGCGGCAACCACACAGTGAGTACACGGCGACCACACGGCGACCACACGGCAATCACACAGCAACCACACGGCAACCACACAGTGACCACACGGCAACCACACTTCAATCACACAGCAACCACATGCCGACCACACAGCGACCCAGACTTTTACCTCTGTTGGTTACCTCCATTTATTCTAAACAAAACGAGTGTATAAGATATTTTAGATATTATACTTCTTGTTCTTTATATTTATGTTGAGTTCCTTAGAACTCCTTAGATTGAGTCTTTCTGGGTTTAAACCTTTCTTAAATACAATGTGATTTTAATTTTAATAAATTCAATTAAATAAACAATAGGTTTGTTGGGGCATAATTAACTATTCTGACTGCTTTCTTTTGTTGTATAAAAATGAAGTAATACATAGACGCTTAAGAATGTTCTAATGGGGTGTCCTTCTCAGTCTTGCATGTTTGCGTCAGCAGTGTCATTTTAACACAAATGTTACTATATTTGTCTGCTGCTATGTAGCATGTTATGTACGTCGTATTGTGAGACTTTGGACCCGTAAACTTCATTCGACCGTCATAAGATGTTCTTTACGATGCTGAATGCATTTTAACAGTGAATATTCCAAATCCACAGTCTTAAAGTTATTGGATAACTGTGCCTCCCCGAGGCCCAGTGAGGGCGTGATGGGCCTAAAATGCAGTGATGTCACAGTTTCTATGGTCGTTACATAAAGCTCTGGTTTGCGGGTCACTTATGTAAACATGTCACTGTCATGTAGCAGTCGCGGTGAGGAGAGATGCTCCAGCCAGGTCACAATACTGATGCTGGTCTCATACTTTAACGTTTTATACTTTTTTACACAATTGAATTCATTTGGAGAGCTCAACATGGAGGAGCAGTGGCTTCACTCAGAGCTCCTCACCCAGAGTGGAATGAATACAATCTTGTTCTTTGGGTCATTGCACACAGCTCATGAGCATAGGTGAGGGTGGGAACTAGAGAGCGACAATAAATAGTGTATCAGCCCTAACTTCTTCCATCTGGTCGATATGCTTTCAAGGACACATTTTTGCACTGAATTTGAATTTAATTTTCTTGGGAAAACTACAACATAATTTATTTTAATCTTAACTATGAACCTAAAGTACATTTGGTAATAAAATAAATACATCTATGGTGCTGCTCAGCCTGTTTTCTGTTAAGATCAAAGCATACATTAGCTGTACGACAGGCATGTCACACTCAGGGCATTGTTAGTGGACCTTCATCATGAAAAAAACAATTATCAGAAAAGGAAATTGCATCCAAAGTACCCCGGTATATTTGTGGCTTTTTGAACGGTACATTGAAAAACAGCCATTCAAACAATAACAAAAAAAATAAATTGCATCGCAGGTAAAAAACATTGTGGTGAATCTCTGACTGCAGACGCTGCTCCCTCTCCACCACCTCGTCCCTGCACACGCTCTATTGACATCAGCCTCATGTACGGTCGCCTCCAGCCTGGCGTGCCTCTGGGTCCCACACATTGGACTCCCCCAGATGGGACGCTTTGTTCTGGGTTAAAAATAGCTGTAGCACCCGCTGTTGGCTCTTACATCACAGAGGCATATGGGATGGACAGTCCACCTTAAAACCAGGTCAATCAACGTGCATACCGCCTTATATGAGATTTAACAGCTCCACATCTGTTTGACACAGTTCCCCATGTGATACTAAAGCCACCGTCTGGCACTTCACTGGTTAAGAACCGAAACAGCTTGAATATTCAGTTTATTTGCAGTAAAACCACATTGGAATACATGTGCAAAAGTACCTCAGTGCGCACCAGACAAGGTGCACTCCAAGAGCTTGGTTTAAGAGTCTGGATTCATAAAGAACCTCCAGAACACACAGCTCAGTCCACTTTCAGAGCGGTGCACCTTTTTCTTTTTTCTTGTGACAGATATTAAGAATATTCAACTAAATTGTATTATGCCTTTTTAAATAACATACTTTTTAATGAAGAGAAGACATCGATGATTTGGTGAATTGCCGAGCTGGTGATTTTGAATAGAATATTGTCTTGTCAAAGGGCTACTTGATGATTAGAAAAGACTAATTTCATTCATTAATGTACTACTTTTATCAAGACATGAATGCATATATCCTTGCCTTTGAATTCAAGTGCTTGTGATTAATATAGACATAACAAATAATATGTAAACAATCTCTTTATACAGTTTGGCTGTGCAGAAGCAAATAAGCAAATATATGCAGGCTTCTAGTACTTTCTATTCTGGGGACGACTTTGGCTTTTTGTTTTTGTGACTCTGCATTTTTCAGAATCTCTTGTGCACAAACGGGTACACGCAGTTCTTGTTTTGAAGTGGCAGCCTGCAGCGTCACGGATTAGTCACGACCTAGGAGTGTGGAGGAGAGGAGGGGGAGGAGAGGAGGATGGAAGTGGTGGTAGGAAAGGAGAGGAGGATAGAAGAGAGAGGAGGAGAATGGAGGTAGAGGGAGAAGAGGAGGAGAGAGTTGCATAATAGTTGTTATAAAAGTGCTCTCTGCTGTGGGCTGATGCAGAAGCTGCTTTATCAACGCAGACACAGGAATTTGAGCCGTTCAGACAGAGGGGACAGAGGGGACTGAGGGTACTGAGGGGGATAGAGAGGGTCTGCGCAGAGGGGACAGTATGTGCTTGTGTTGAGGATTATACTTGGCCCATTTGTTAATGACAATGCTGACCTTATAAATGGGTTTATGGATTCTTGCTCAATTACTGACATATATTGGAGTACAATGATCTCTGAATGCACTAATACCAATATACACAATACCAATACAGACTCAACAGTGTGTCCTCATGGCCCTGAAGCTCTGCTGTCACGGTATGCAAACTTAACCTCACGTTTATAGTGACCAAAATTATCAAGGTTTTTGGTGTTAGGGGAGACAGTGGCTCAGTTGGTAGAGCATTGGCCTTTGAGCCCAAAGGTTACCTTAACATTATAAACAGACAAATCGTTGCATTGCAGTCCCCCCGCATCATCTATTTCAGCTGAAACTTTAACGTCATCTTCCCTAGCCAATGACATTGATCGACTCCCCCTATGGACCGACCAATATGTGTTCTCTATTCTTTGTGTTTGAACGGTTTATTCTCTGATGTGTGTTGGTGAAATCAACAGTTTCTCAGTCCTCTGAGATAACCACTGTTGTGATTTAGGGCTATACAAGAAAAGATTGAATTGAATTATCGTCATTAGTATCTAGTGAGAAAATAAGCAATCATCATTCAGCACCACCAAAATATAAATCAATATTTCTGTGCCTGTTTTCCAATCCGTATTAACTTCCATACATAGCACAGTACACAGCGCTCACGTGGACTGCAGGCTTCCTGAGAGCAGCGGTGTGAAGGCCAGCTCTGTGCAAGACGACAAGCCTTTACGTAAGACTCCAGATGTAATTATCAGGGTAATGAAGTGGCGTGTGCCCGCTCGGCTCTGCTCAAAAGGCTCCGAAGGCTGCAGGACGGGGGAGTGAGGAGGTCCAGACTACAGCCCAGGCACCAGAGGCCAGACTTATGTAAGGACTATGAAAACAATAGCACATTAGCCAGTTATACAACGGCCGCACATACACAAGCTGGAGGTGATGTGGGGAGAGCAGAGGAAAGAACAGTGGGCGTGTACAAATGGATTCAAACATGAGGCACTTAACAACAACTTGAAATGTGAAGAATATGAATGCATGTGATATAAGAAAGAGTGAGGGCTGAATGAGGGTGGTCCACTCTTTTTCACTTTTCTGTCTGAAAAGCTGATCGGATTGTTCATGTATCTTACTGTTCTGTAACTGGTGATGCAACACTGGACTTTCCCCATTGTGGGACGAATAAATTATCTCCTATGGGTCTCTTAATCTTAAACTTAAAAATACATGCATGTTAAAACTAGTGGGAACTGTTTTGAAAGCCAGCTAAATGGATTTTGTCACTAAGTTCCATTGTTAGTTTTGTTTTTCAAAGTTTACTACCCCAGCTTTAATGTGTACATTTTGCAGTTGTGTAGACTATAGAATAAATATGTACTTTGACTATGAAAGCATGGGACAAGCACAGTTTGTCAGTCAAACCAGTGGCTGTGATTTATATATTTTTCATGAGTCATACTGCAACTCATAAAAATACAGAATTTTCAGTGATGATAAAAATCCTTCCGCTTTTCTTCTTTATTTGAAATATTAGTGGACGGGGAAAACCTAGCACTTTATTATGTATCCGTGCCCTAAATACAGAAGCAGAGATCCCATAAAAGCCTCTATCCCAGTATGAATTTTTCACCATCTCCCCATCTCCTGTGAGTGCCCCCATCACACTGGGGCTATTGTTAGACGCCACATGGAGCCCGTTCCAGTCTGCAGTCAAATGCCAAATGATCAACTCAAACTTTGTGCCAAAAAGACCAAGTAAATGAGTCAGTTTCGTTTGAATATTGTTTTGATTTGAAGCATTTTATAAGCCAATTACATTACAAAACATTCTCAAAACAAGGCCTCTAATACAATTCGACCAATGCTCTTAAAGCTGACATTGTGAGCCGGTTTTTCTTTTTGTCTTTTTATTTTATCAGCTTTCATCAGCACTTGCTCTATTGTTATGATTATGCACAAGTGGACTAACTCAATTCAATTCATTTTTTCTTGTATAGCCCTAAATCACAACAGTAGTAGAGACTTCATAAAACCGTTGAATTCACCAACACAGATCAGAGAATTGTGGCGTTCAAACACAAGAAATGCAATGATTAAAAAAAAAAACAGATGGAGCCATTGGTCCAAAGGGGCGGATGACCGATGTCCATAAATGCTGATAAATGTTGTTGAATGTTGAGTGTTGTATTTAGTGTCTCATCTGTCACAATTGGGAGGAGTTGGCTGCTCAATAACAGAAATAATGAGGCGGGAAGCACGTCTGAAGTTCTGACTGTAGAAACTGACATTTGATTTGTTTATTTTGTTGGGACAGTGTGTATGATTGTGGCCTTGGACTGATTTCCATCTGTTCCCACAGTCGCACTCACAAACACACACTCCTTCATTTATAACTATTTCACATGTTTTTAGTAGGAGGGGAAACCGAAGCACCCGGAGGAAGTGACAATATAACCCTGTCTTGTCTAATAGTTCTCTTTTATGTGTGTGTGCAGAGGCCTGGCTCCTCAGAACAAGCCCGAGCTGCAGAAGGTCCTGGAGCAGAGGAAGAGGGAGCAGGTGCAAAAGGCCCAGAGGGCGGAGCAGGAGGCCCACAAGAAGAGGAGCGACCTGGAGATAGAGCTGCTCAAACGCCAACACAAGCTAGAGCAGGTCAGCACCACCCCTCTGTTTGGTTTTGGTTTTTGTTTATTGTATTGTAGTTTAATCTGTAGCACTTTGAGGTTTTCTGGAAATGTATGGTGCAATATAAAGAAAATGTTATATTATTATTAAACAACAGAAAAAAGAGTAACTCGCTGCATGGTTCAAAGCATGTGAACAAAGTAACGGCTTATGGTCCGAGAATTACAAGAATTACATGCAAAGTTTTTAACCCTTGCATTATCCTCAGATCTAAATTACCTGCCGCAGATAATTAAGAGTATAGGAAAACTACCCTAAATTAGGGTCTAAAAGAATCTATTTGACCCAGGGCTTGTCAAGTTAGGAAAAGTGTTCTAATTACTGTGGTGTTTACACGTTTTAGCGTCGTTTGAAAAGATAAAGTGAGCAGCATACCTGTCAGGATAACAATAATGGATAACTGGGACTATACAGACATGCTCAAAAATAAATAATTATACATTAATTAATGTATAATCTCCAGCTATATTGCATTTGAGTCAGTCTGTACAATATTATAGTCCATAGCAATCCATCCCTGAACAATATATTGTCTGTATAAAAAAATATAGACAATACAATATATCAAAGAAGTATTGTTATCGTGATGATGGAAAGTGCAGTATTGATATCGCTAATATTGCAAGCATTTTATGTTCTAGATAAAACATTTTAAGCACACTGACATTTGAATACGTCAGTTTGTCACAGCAGAGCATCAAACAGTCCTCTTGAACGACTTGTGACGCTCTTGTCTGCAGCTGGAGCTGGAGCAGCAGAAGATGGAGGAGGAGCAGGAGAACACCCCCGAGTTCATCAAGATGAAGAGCAACCTGCGCAGGACCAGACTGGAAGAGGGGGGAGAGGAGCGGACCACCTAGACCCCCACATTAGGCACACACACACACACACACATACACATACTCTCAAACACACATTTTAGCCCTTTACAAACACTCATCGCCACTGAAACCCAGAGCGCACGGTCACTGCCTTTTTTTCGACCTGGAGATCATGCTTCCAGGCCTCGAGTGTTCAGTGTGTAAAAGCTCAAACTATTTTTTTCCCTAATTTAAATCTTGGTGAAAACATAAAAATATTGCATCATTTTATTTAGCGCTTTTCGGGACACTCAAAGACTCTTCACATGGCATCATATCGGCGTTCATACTCTCATGCACGCAAAGAAATGTCCAAGTTTGCTTTGAATTGACTGTTTCCACGGTGATCCAGACGGTACCGGCACAAAGCAGGAGAAGACCCAGATCCAGCAGGACTAGCGCTGTTTGTAAAGGGCTACACATACACCCAGACACACCCAGAGCTGGACGAGGCGGGGGAGAGACACGGGAGATGGCTAGGACCTCCGCTCTCCACGTTTGACTGTGACCGACCCACGCGCAGCCATGGACCCTCAGACTGCTCACCACTGCTCCCTCTTCCCCCCCCCCAACCCAGTGCCGGGACGTCCTGCCTTCTCACGCCCCCACACACACTCTCACACACACACACACTGCATAGACCTCAGAACTTGTTACAAACGCGAGGCCACTTGGAGCTTCCACGTCACGGACCGAGGAACAAAAATGTCTTTCTACGTCTTCGCTGCCATTTTCTCTTTTACTGATTTAAAGTGTTTTGTTGTCAATCAAATGAGGAAAAGTGGACACTGGATGGACTCTCCACGCCGCACTGCAAAAATAATGCAAAAATAAGCTTGTATGTGCTTGAAGAAGTTGTTTATCTTGATTATTGAAAGTTAGGACGAGCAGTTTAGCACTTGAAGCAAGATTTTTATTTTTACAGTCCTTGAAATAACTAAATCTGCTTGTCTGTCGGTATATTGTTTTTTGAAGACCACATATTATGCATTCAAGGATTTATGAGAATGTTTACTTTGGCCAAACGGAATGAATGGACCAGCGTATGTAAACTTAGGGTCACAACTGAATTTGGGTTTAAGTGGTAAATCTAACATGCCGGTGTCTGCTTGAATGCACGCAAAAAAGCACCCAAAATGAATTATGGAGGCAAAATCTGCTTGGTTTCTTAACGTTATAGTACGCAGATTTGTCATAGCGATGGGGGGGGGGGGGGGGGGACGTGTTTTTGCGCAAGAGGTTCCGGATAATATTGTGACTTTTGTTAGCATAATATGTGATCTTCTACAACACTGAAAACAGCTTTAGATCATGATACGGCTAAATTCAAACAACTATGAAGTTCTATTTCTGCACTTTTTCCTGCGTGTGTTTTGTGAAGCCAAAACTTCATGTGCGTTTGTTATTTATGTTTCTAGGTTTTAAGGCACGTTACTTTTTTTTCTTCCAAATTAGCCAATGAGGACAAAAGGGAGCAGGCCGAGGTGTTACAAACTAGCAAATTATTGAATCAGTTTTTTTTTTTCGGGACATGCCGTTTCCTCAGCTAAAGCAATACCACAGTGGCATGTCTTATGTATTAAGTTTTTGTATAAATAAATGTGTTAATTTAATTTTTGCTCACTCTTTTGAACGCAGTAAATGGTGTCATTTGAATATAGCCACAATCATAAATGTTTAAGTAGTCCCAATTTTATTATTTAAGTATTTTTCTAGGGCTCTAACTGGCTATAGTGTACAATACATTAATGTTATTGTTTTTCCTCAAATGGTTATTTTGTTCATATTGTGTCTTTATTTTTCCCAATAAATTTGTTTATCTTTGGGAGTGTTTTGTTTTTCATGCTCTCGTTAGAAAAGTCTTGTCCAGTACAAGATGGTTTGAATGTTATTTGAGAGTCAATATTTGTCGAGCAGCGGCCCATTGCAACCCGATGACCATATATGCCAGTGGCTCCCTCTAGTGGTACGCCAAAGAATCACTGAAATACATTTAAAATACATTTTTATTTTAACCAGGAAAGTTCCATTGAGATAAAGAATCTCTTTTTCAAGGGAGTCCTGGACAAAAATGACATACAATTACAGATTATAAAACAGTTTCCAACAGATTATAAAAGAGCAACTAAAAATTTTATAAAATTAGATTATAAAAAAGTATTCCCCCAGTTCTGTACAAAAGTAACAGAGCAACAAAAGATCATTTGATCCAAACCATTTGAACCAATATTTCATAAATTAGTTCACTGACCCTCATTTATAAAACTTGCGCAGAAAAGGGTGTCTACTTTTGGTGTAGATTCCAATTACGCAAAATCCAACACAGGAGTTGTGAACGTGTGAGATCCGCACAGATCTGAGCGTACACAGGTGCGGGTGTTGATGATTAATGCCGCGCTTAAGAACAGAAGATGCCATTTCAAACATGATCTTTTAAGTCAAGAATGGAATGATACAGAAGTAAATGTGGATAGGGTCTTCAATAACTTAGTTGTGTTTTTAGTGTGCAAAATATTTCAACTAACAGTCCCTGGATAACCAAAGGCCTGCTTAATGCATGCAAAAAGAAAAACTATTTATACAGGCAATCAATCAAATTAAGAACAGAAGAGGCTGAAAGCCGATACAAACAATACAAAAATAAATTAACATAATCCGAACGAGTCAGAAAGAATATTACACTAATGTATTGAATGAAAATACAAATAATATTAAAGGTATTTGGAGCGTACTAAATAAGATATTAAAAGGGGATACCAAGAAGGATTCATATCCAAAGTATTTCCTTGAGGGGAGAACCACCGTCACAAACGTGCATAACATTGCTAATAAGTTTAATGATTTTTTTTGTAGGCATAGGCCCAGAACTGGCAGAAAAAAATCCATGAACACAATACTATGGATGATTATAATCTGATTCAAAGAAACACTAAAACCATGTTTCTCTCTGATGTGAGTGGGGTTGAATAAAAAAAATCATTTCAGACTGGAAAATTTCCTAAAAACATGAAAACAGCCAAAGTCATACTTCTATTCAAAAATGGAGATAAGCACATCTTCACCAACTACAGACCCATCTCTCTGCTCCCTCAATTTTCCTAAATTCTAGAAAAGCTGTTTAACAAACGACTAGAACGTTTCTTAGACACGTGACATTTTAAATGAAGGACAATATGGTTTCAGATCAAACAGATCCACAACAATGGCAATTCTAGAAGCAGTTGAAGAAATTACCAGCGCTTTAGACACAAAGAAACATGCAGTTGGAATTTGTATAGATTTAAAAAAAGCTTTTTTAAATCTATAAACCACTATCAATCACTCAATTTTACTTGAAAAACTAGAAAGGTATGGTATAGGGGGGTGTCATGGAATTGGATCAAGAGCTACTTATTAGAGAGAACACAATTTGTGAGGATGGGTGATGGGTGAATCAGAGCATTGCTTGTGGAGCTCCACAGGGATCTATTTTGGGGCCAAAACTATTTGTTCTGTATATTAATGATATGTTTGAAGTATCCAATATACTGAAGATGATTTTATTTGCTGATGATACTAATATATTTTATTGTCATGACATTCTGAACACTCTAATTAATATAGTAAATGACGAATTAAAGAATATATAATATATGTGGATGATATGAACAAGTTATCTCTTAACTTGAAGAAAACTAATGTTATTTTTTTGTTATTGTTATTATAGAGACGCAGAACTCAAGATAAATATAGAAGGAACAATAATTCAAAAAGTGTCTGAAATAAAAAAATTAGGAATGATGAAGCTAGATTGGAAATCACACATCAAATATATACAGAACAAGATTTCTAAGAATATATCCTTGATACATAAACCATAAAACCCTTAATTTATTGTATTGTTCCCTTGTTCAGCCTTACTTAATATACGGTATCGAAGTCTGGGGTAACAATTACAATACTTCTCTACAATCGCTCTGGAAACCCCAAAAACAAGCAATAAGAACCATTTATAAAGCCGACTACTATGATCACACCAACATACTGTTTCTGCAGTCCAGACAGTTAAAATTATATGACCTGGATGAGTTTTATACAGCTCAGTTATTGTACAAAGCAAGTAAAAATAAATTGCCAAAAAAGATTCAATTACTTTTTCAAATAAGACAGGGAAAGCACAATTTAAGGGGTTCAAATATCTTTAAAGTTCCAGCAGTGAGAGCGACACGGAAGAGGATGTGTGTGTCGGTACGTGGGGTCCGGCTCTCGAATGGTTTGGGGGACGACCTCAAGCAGTCCACAGTACTTTGGAAATTCAAATCTAAATACAAAGAAATTATATTAATGAGTTACAAATCAGATGAAACATTCTAAAAAGTGTTATGTTCCAACTTAAAACAGAAGTCGACTAAGAGAATATTGGTGTATGTTATTGTCTTATACAAGTATTATATGTGTGTCGATTGTACTATGTGTTTGTATGTGTGTGTACAAGTAAATGGATGTGTGTGTATATATATATATATATATATATATGTATAAGTGTACAGTATGTGTACTTATGTATATTTGTATATATATGCGTATGTTTGTGTGTATGTGTTTTGTATGTGTGTGTGTTTATGCACTTATCTGTATAATAGAGTAGAATGTAAAACTTGGTTGTAATTTTATGTTGTACAGGACAGTGTTCAGTATTTAGTTGTATTTTGTAGTTGGGGGTGGGAGTAAACAAGTATTTCACTTCTTCTCACTCCCTTTCAAGCATTACTGTACTTCATTGTAAAGAAAAAAGAATGTAATCTGTATTAATATATATTGTTTACCACAACATTTAGGAATTTAAGTTCTGTTATTGTATCATGCTCATGCTTGAAATAAACCATTCATTCATTCATGTTTAACAAAATGATGAATGAGCCCTCCAGATTCACAATCAGTACGATCCAGTGTCCATCTATGTCACATTGTTGATATACCACTTCTCCAGGGAATCTTTGAGAACAGATGGCCACACCCCTGAGCTATTGGTGCCATGTGAAAAGTACATTTTCTCTCCCCATTGGCTCTTCCAAAAGGATTCATCCTCTTCACAGAAGTGGGTCTCTTGTAAAAAAAAAAAACACAATTTGATTTAAGTCCTTTACAGTACAGAAAAATAGCTTTACGTTTTACACTGTCCCTCAGACCTCTTGCATTAAGTGAAATAAAAGATAATTCAGATTAAAGAGTGAACATGACAAAAAATATTGAAAAAAAGTGAAACAACAGTTAATTAAAAGTTAATAAACAGTTTTTGAAGTGTGTGTACAGTGAAACAGTACAGTTTTTAGACCTCATTCCTCATAAAAACCTTGAAGTTCATGCCGTTGTTAGATCCGTTGACCTTCTATGAAGCCGAAAGGACCTCTGAAGTATGCTCACTTGCCCGCTTTCCTCGCCTCTTGTATCTTCGACCAGAGTATTTCTCTTGATTGTCGAACTGCCGCCGTTAAGTCCTCCGTGAAGTGGACTCCCGTCTCTTTACAAACCGCCGATTCCTTTGTTATTCTCCAGATGCCATCACGGTGTTGTCTCTTCACAAACTGGATAATCACCGGGCGCGTCCTCTTCTCCTCTTCCCGATGCGATGAACAGTCTCCACAGCATCTTCTCGGGCACAGCAATGCTTTCCCAGTGCAGAACCACTTTCTGAAGGAGGCTCACCACGTCGTCTCGGATGTTCTCATTCACCCTTTCTTTCAGTCCTTTGACTCTTTTATCCCAGCATCTGCTGTAACTTTCCTGTGCAGTGGTCATCTCACGTAAAACTTGATTTTCTTTTTCTAATGTTGTATCTTTTTCCTCGAGCACTGACACCTTGCTTTACACTCTTTCAACTCCCCAGCATGAAACACCAGAGACTTTGCCAGGCTGGTAATGATGACGCTATATTCTCTTTTAGGGCTTTTTCTTGTCTCTCAAAACGAGTGGTTATGTTGGTTATGGCTATCATGATGGCTTCAAATGAGGATTCATTTGGTTAAACACTTTTTCCTTTGAGCGGTGCGTTTAGTGGAGAATCGTCAAGTTGCCGCTTGTCATGTCCGGCGCAGGAAGTCTCCATAGCGGCGTAATCATGGTGTAAAAGCCCGCCGTTGGCTTCATCGGGCTTCTCCTCTTTCTCAGCTTCGGTATTCGGCATCTTTTCTTTGGGCTTTATTTTGGCTCACACTTATTTTCATCTTTCTGTTGATTAATTAAGGTCAAGTGAGCTTTTTTGTTCAGAAAGAATTGTTCTATAAAGTTATTTGAGAAACATTGCTGAGAGCTTTGAAAGGTCCTCCCGCTCAGTCCGCCATCTTGCCGGCCTCCTCTGCCGTTGAAACTAATGTGTCATCACTTTCCCCTCCCACCATCTTGTTTCAAAATGGCCACGAGTTAGCCAGTACAAGCCCCATTCATTTCATTTAACGAGAGCATTCGAAGGTCCACAGCGGCACAACACACCTGGAACATAGCATTGAGCCTAGAGCGACTTTTGAACCATTCTGTAAAGCCGATTTGAAAAAAATTCATTGTAAGAATTCAATGGATAATTCTGTTTCCGGGTACACCACCACCGGCCAGGAGTCAGATTCACAAGCGACGTGCTCATGGACCCTTTTGAGTCAGGATCCGCCCCCACTGGTCGGTAACAAATGACTCAAAAGTTGCTCTTTGCTAGTGATGGCATTTTAAACTACAAGTTGATAAATCAGTATGTGATACTCGTGACAATGTTTTATTTTCTATTTTTGTATGTACTTGTATGGTATTCTTGTTTCCTCAACACACATTGTGGCCTATAGAGGGCGCCCCACTTCGGGGATCACTGGCTTAAAACCAAAACCTTCATCTATTTATTCAATAATCACATTTAATAACCTGTGGGTGTATCTGTTGCAACCCTGAAACAGGAAGAAAAAGATCGCGAGAGTGATTCACATGTTTTCCAAACGAATCACTAGCTTCTAAAACACATCTTTGAACAGGAAAACGCCTCACAAAGTACACACTGACACATTAATAACAATCCTGTGCTCTTTACATGAAACAGGGAGAAAAAGATCACGAGAGTGATTTACTTGTTTTCCTCATGCGTGACTTTAATGTAATGAAGATGAACAGCGGAAAATCCCTCTTGTGGCGCGCGCAGGCATGACCAGTGGGTCTAGAGTCCAAGGCCTACTAGCAGATCTAACACAGGAAAATTATTGCTAAAATATTAATAATCATGAAACGTTGTAACAAACTTTTAAAACTGTATTTATATTGTGCATTAAGGTTATGTAAATTATTATTTATTCTGAACGTATTATTTTTAAAATAACATTGTGAATAACCTATTACATATCGTTGTCATGGAGATGTAACTTGTATACGTTCAAACTGCTGCTCGCTCACTTCACTTGCTGTTGGTCTCTGACGCTTGTGTTGAACTGTTTACTCTCTTCGTCTCATTTGCGTTTGAGGATAAAGCAGTGGAATTAACACTGAGGCACTAATACACTGTGCAAAACCAGTTGTAGACACTTTTCTAGGTCTGAAAAATTCTTCCAACAACAACACCTTGTGAAGGATGGCTCCCTCCCACGCCCCGGACTCTCTGCCCCTGTTCGTGTTCCCTGGAGGTAATCACTGAAATGATAATAAAACATTCATCCAATAAACCACATGACGCTACGTAAACAGTTGTGTGGCTGTTTCAATGAGCCACGTGTTTGTGAGAAGAGTTAGCATTAGCATTAGCATGTGGCTGAGCTACTGTATGAAAGTGCTTCATTACAGATGCTGGACTTTTCTCTTTTCGTTTGGTAACCTGTAAAAACAGCTGCTGATAATGGCACAAGTTGATCAGGAAGGCTGTAAAGTTGTGTTTGTGGGCGTCAACATGCATCAGCGTCTTACAGGTTCATGAGCACAGTCACAGATAGTTGACATGTAGCTAAACATGGAGGCGCATTAGATGTTGCTGGAGATGCTGTTCACAGGTTTATCTGAGTATTCCTCATCGATGGTGGTAAGAGTGGTGCCTGTATACTGTCAGATGCTCTGTAGTGTTAGAGAAGGCACACTGAGATCACTGGGATCAGCTAATACTACACTAAGTCTAGATAATGTACCATCATGTACCATAATAGTCCACTGAAATACTTTTTGGCGACAGTAGCTCAGTTGGTAGAGCATTGGCCTTTGAGCCAGAAGGTTGTGGGTGCGAGCCCACCTCAAGACTTTCACCATCGACTCCCTCTGTGTGCTGTTGTTGTGTCCTTAGGCAAGACACTTCACCCCCATTGCCTAGAATGAGTCTGGTGTGTGTGAATGGTTGGTGGCTTCTGTCAGTGTGCCCCAGGGCAGCTGTGACTACAGTAGTAGTTTATCACCACCGTGTATGGAGTGAAAGAATGACACATGTGAAGCGTCTTTGAGTGTCCAAAAAAGCGCTATATAAAACCGATGCATTATTTTATGTTTTTTTTTTTTTTGAGCAGTGAAAATGGTCTTATCCAGGCACCTCTGGTACTTTCCAGCACTTTTGTCTTCATGAGGAAGAAAAAAATGTTTGACTGTGTTTGACTTGTTAATTTGACAAAGCAAGAACACTTAAGTGTGTGAGGAAGTTGATGTTGTCAATATGTTTCAGAGGTTCCGGACCCCCTGGACGCTCTGGACGCTCTGGAGGACCCTGACTTCTCGTCAGACGAGGACGACGCAGGTGAGTTGCAGGTAGGTAGGGGTTTTGTCATGCATGGGCGAGGCTTGGACGAGGCTTCTGATGAAGGGGACGAGGCTTCTGATGAAGAGGATGAAGCAGACTCTGACAACGACAGTCTCTCATGGAAGACAGTCAGCGAAGAGGAAGACGAGGACGAGGACACGGAGAGTGACCCTTTTGACACGGACAGTGAAGAGGAAGACCCGCCTCTTCCTCCAGCGCGCTGCCTCCTTGGGACCAACCTGCTTGAGCTCTGGAGGTTCCTCCACCGCAAGGAGCGAGTACCAATCCCTCCGCCTGCGCCCTGTCCCGTCTTTGAAGAGGAGCCCCGTCCAGGGGGGTCCAGGCGCCACAGGGATGAAGATGAAGAGGAAGAGCCCATCTTCAAGAGGGCACGCTTCTCCAACTCTGAGGACATCGAGGAGGAGCCCGCCCCCTCCGCCTCTGCTGGGGCGTCTGGGGGCTTCGTCCAGTCGCCCCTCCCGGCTCCAAGACTCAGACTCTGACTGAAGCTCAGCCTGAGACTGGAGACAACAGCCCCTGGAGGAGAGGAGGAGAGAAGGCCACTCCTATTTCTACAGCACTGTGACACATGTGCAGAGGAGGTCACAAAGTGCTTCACAGGGACCACCATCAGCCGCCCATTTCTCCTCTGGACATTTATTTATTTATTTATTTATTTATTGGGCAAAATGTTGCCATTAAGCCAAAAACAAAAACTAAAAAAAGATTCACCTAGCACAAGGGTTTTCAGCCTTTGGACAATGATGTGTATCCAACATAAACCTTGTATTCATTCATCAGAACACAAAAGGATTAATACTGAGTAGTTTCAGTGATGAAAGACACAGATGAACCCTTTCAGAGGATACTTTGAAAGGCCTGGAGAGCCACTGGTCGCTCCACACTATAGGTTTAAGACCCTTGTTCTAGGATCAGTCATAGTTTGTTTCAAAAGAGGAGAAGGCAAAGAAAACTATGTAGGACTTCCATAAAGTCTCCAGAGCAGAAGCACATTGAGCATGAGCAGTGAGTCCACAGATGATCCTCATGTGAGCAGAGGTCTCACTCTGTCCTCCATAGTACTCCTTGCTTTCTCCTCTGGGGAGTCGCCCAATAACCAGCCCTTTGAACTGTACTGTATGTAAATAAAGTTTGTTGATTGATTTATTGATGGTTGCCGGTGCGATACCCACTTCTTTGATGTGCTTTTTGAAATCAAAGGACAGGAATAGTATGTAGGAACGTATTAGACACAGTTCCACTTTGACAGAAAAACCCACTCTGTAAAATGACACAGTGACTTGATTATATTTGAGAATGGACAAAGAATGGCTTAAGCTGACACTAGTGTGGTTTCCTGCATAGTACGCCTGGCCTTGTGTTCACTCTAGAGCAGGGATGCCCAAGCTGGGGCCCGTGGGCCACATCGGTCCCTCTGAGGGTCTAATATGGCCTATGAAGGGGTGAGGATATTGGTCAAAACCAGTCTGACAATCTTTAAAGACAGTTTTGTCATTCCTTTCGGTGCAAAACATAATTATCTTTGGGCCTCTGCCCACCAGTATAGTATAAGCCGCAGATTGAACGTTTGGCCGCCCCTGCTCTAGAGCTGAGGAGGATCAGCAGGAGAGGAGGTGGAGTGCCATCTACAGAGTTGGTGCTGTGATCCCTCCTCCTTCCAAAGATTCTGCTTTATCTGTTGCTGGGTTGCGAGGGCAACTGTCTAAACACAGACGCCCGGACTTCCCGATCCACACAGACTTCCTCCAGCTCATCTGGGGGAATCCCGAGGGCAGCTGAGAGACATAGTCCATACAGTGTGTCCTGGGTCTCATCACAGTGGACCTTGCTCTGAACACCTCCTCAGGGAGGCGTCCAGGAGGCATCTGAAACACATGCCCGAGCCACCTCAATTGGCTCCTCTTGACGTGTAGAAGCAGCGGCTCTACTCTGAGCTCCTGTAGAGTGACTGAGCTCCTCGCCCTCTTTCTGAGGGAGGGACTCAGAGGAAACTCATTTCGACCACATGTATCTGAGATCTCGTCCTTTCGGTCATGACCCAAAACTCGTGACCAGAGGTTTTTCACGAGAGGCTCACTCGTGAACAAGACCGTGAGATACTTGAACTCCTCCACTGGAGGAAGGACCTCTGCACCTGGAGAGGCACCTTTTTCCAATCGAGCACCATGGCCTCATATTTGGACGTGCTGTACTTCATCTCAGCCGCCTCACACTTGACTTCCCAGTGCATGTTGAAAGTTCTGGTTTGTTTGGAGCCAACAGGACAACATTGTCTGCAAACATCAGAGTTGAAATCCTCTGGTCTCCAATCTATGGTTCCCAACTACTTTACTTATTTTATTTTTTATTTTTGTTTTTTATATTGTATTTTTCTGTTTTCTTTCATTCATTTTATTTTATCATTCCTTTTATTTGTTTTTTGTTTGACATGGACAATGTGGTCAGACATATTTACCAAACTTAACTGATGTTATGCATGCAGACTTTAAGGCAACTGCTACTTTACAACATTCTGTCCTTGTGAGCTTTTCTACAGTCACTTTAAAACCTTCATGAATACAATAATAAAAGTACAATGTCTCTCTTTCATTTCCTCACATACATACATCGTATTTGACAGTATTTAACAGTCTGTCAAAACCATTGACAAAGAGTGGGTCTTGAGTCCATGTGTCCTTGTGTGAATGTACATGTAGAGCCTTCAACAGGGCTTTGGAGGCCGTGGCTTTAGATTCCTCGGCCAAAGGTAAGACATGTGCATTTATTTGGGCTGAGGACAGAGACCAGGCTCTTCCAGCTTTGACAGCACTGAAAAAGACACACACATCACCGCATGAGATAGGAGTTTGTCTTAAAGTCATTGTGCCATCATCAAAGATGTCTTCAGATGTCTCGTTTCCAGTTTTGTGTTCCAGTTGGAGACAGGAGACCGCTGCATCGTCATGTCCCGGTGAGTCATCTTCAAATAAGTATTGAACTAATGAATGAAAAGCTCCGTCTGCTCCCACAGTTCACAGATAGATGTGTCGCTGATGGAGCAGTCCATGGTATCAACCAAACTACTGCAGTGAAGCGCCACTAGAGACCACCCTGATCCTGGCCCTACACAGTGAGAGGCCATTCTGACTCTGGACCAATGACATGGACACGTGTCTGGTGAGCTGGACTCTTAGAGTCCATTTAGGATCCACAGTGGAATGCAGACATATTGTTACTTGCATGAGCAGAATGAACTTGTTTTCATTACAGGAACTCAAGCTCAGTGCTGGAAAAGTCATGGTTTTCTACAACTACAATGACTGTTGTACTTCCAGCTCCAGCCACATATGTCCAAAGAACACACATGCAAACGTTTGTATCTCCGATAATAACTTACGGAGAGTTTAGTGTTCATTAGAATCTAAGTGACACCAAACATGTATTTGACCAAATGTTGGATCTATTCTTGTGAGAGTGACCTGTGGATGCTGCTGTCCACTTCAGGGGAAGAAAGGAACAAGTCCGGCCACAAAGAGACCAGACTCATCCCACGTGAGAGGCCTTCAGTGTGTGTCCTGCTGCTCCTCTGATCTGTGCTCTTAAAACACATTGGTTTTGTTCAGGAAGGAAACCTGACGGAGGTCTCCAGAAGACGGAGGATTTACAACAAGACGACAATACTATCATTCTCCAGTTTTTTGTGACGTGCAGGCGCTGAGGGAGCAGCGTCTACAGTCAGAGCTCTATCAGACTGTTGCGGTGAAGAGGGAGCAGCGTCTACAGTCAGAGCTCTATCAGACTGTTGTGGTGAAGAGGGAGCAGCGTCTACAGTCAGAGCTCTATCAGACTTGTGGTGAAGAGGGAGAAGCGTCTTCAGTCAGAGCTCTGGATTTACTGCTCTGTCTATGGTCCTATCATGAGCTTTGGGAAATGGCCCAAAGGACAAGATAGCAGATGCAGGGCTCTAAGTGAGTTTCCTTCTGACTAGAGCCGCTGCTCCTTCACGTCAAGAAGAACCATTTGAGGTGAGGAGAGGAGTGGATTTGTCACAGTTCTGTTGCATACTCCAACCCGCAACAATACAGTCAATGCTCTTTTCAACTGCCCCTTTGTTGTCAGATGCAGTTGGGCCACTACCAGCGCTCAGCACCACAGAGAGCCACACCCCCTGCTCCTGACCACAGCCCACCAGTGAACCAGAGTACATGAGATCAGAGCCATGTCTGCTGAGAGCCGGAACAAGGAGAAGCTCCAACAGAGGTGAGAGTGAAGTACCTCCAACTAATCTGTATGAAGATTTACAACAAGATTTCAACAATACCATTCTTCTGTTTGATTGTGACTGCAGGCGCTGAGGATCAGGTGGACCTGTGAACCTAACGGAGAAACTGACCAAAATAAATCTGCAAATGACTGGGACGGTGTGCAGCCGAGGGAGAAGCGGCTCCAATGAAAACTCAGACTCTCTGAATGCAAGGCCATGGTTCTGGCCTCTCACCCTCTCCAGGTGGCCGAGAGCTCCTTCCTCCAGCGGTGGAGTTCAAGTGTTTCTGGTCTTGTTCACTGAGAGAGAAGGAGCAGCGTCTGCAGTGATGCTGCCTCTGTATGGGACTGTTGTGGTGAAGAGGGAGCTGAGTCTGAAGCTGGCCTGGAAACGCCTCATTCAGCTGCAGGAGGTTCGTGTGAAGTGTGAAGAGGGGAGTCTGGGCCACTCAGACTGCTGCCTCTGTGACCCGACCCAGGATAAAGTGGAAGATATTGGATGGATGTTTCCAGATGAGCCCAGAACAAGTTTCTGAGGGATGGAGAAAGCTCAACATAAGACTGTGCTGAATAAATCCAAATGTGGTCATAATCAAAACCAACAATGTGGGATTCAATTTGACTTGTATTTCTTATTTCAGTAATAGTAAGTTTGTGTCGAAGTACTTGTAACCAAAAGAGAACAGTCACACACTATTTTAAAATAATTGTTCCTATTTACTTTTCCACCAGATTGTGTAAAAAGAGGTAGACTTCGCACATCTCTTCTCTGACAGGTGCGTAGGAGTGGGCGCGCACTAGGTGGCCAAACATGAAAGAAAGGATGACACCCGCACACTGTCCAACTTGCAAACACCAGTGGTTTATTAGCAACGTTGCTAATAAACCACTGGTGTTTGCAAGTTGGACAGTGTGCGGGTGTCATCCTTTCTTCCACCAGATTTTGTAAAAATGACTGTTTTCCTTTTCCTTCACTGACTTTTGAAGGAAAGTGATATAGCACTGTTGACTATAACTGGACATAAACAAAAACAGGCTAAAGCTGAAGACGAAAGACGAGTAAATAGTGTGTTGCAAACTACCATTTGCCTTTCTCTGATGGAAGATGAAGCTCAGTTCAGAACCAGTTCAGAATCAGCACCTTGAAAAGGGGGCTTTAACTTGTTTGTAAGAAACAGAAAATGGCTGAATTCGAAATGTATTTAGGTTAAAAGATCAAACTCCTCACATTGATAAATTAAACATAAATATATATATATATATATATATAAGACTAACGCTGAGTAATTACACTTCCACAACTAAAAGCTGTTAAATGGACTGCTCTGGGAGTACTGCTGGTAAAACCCTAACACGTACAATCATTGGCCTGATTCAATATTACCATAGTCTGTGTACAAGTCTCTCCATGATCTCACACCAAAGTACATCTGTGACATGTTACTGCCATATGAACAAGCTCAGGGACTGGCCTACTTCAACTGTGCCGGAACTGGGAGAGAAGAAATATAAATGTGTATTAAAGAACATAGATTTATTTATAGCGCAATAGGATTTAAAATCCAAATTCAGTCTCTTTTTAGAAGCGTCAATAAATACTCAGGCCGGGCTGGTTCTGTGACGAGAGTATGTGAACTCGTCCTGTCCTGCAGCGGCGTCCCGAACAGTCCAAGAGGAGTCATATACTTCCACATAACAAACGTTTCTATTTGATATTCAACTGTATATCAACTATATTGATATCCAGTTTACCAAGCATTGATTGTCTGAGACCGGGAGGAGGCCCCGCGGAAGACCTAGGACACGCTGGAGGGACTATGTCTCTCAGCTGGCCTGGGAACGCCTTGGGGTCCCCCCGGACGAGCTGGAGGAAGTGTGTGTGGATAGGGAAGTCTGGGCGTCTCTGCTTAGACTGCTGCCCCCGCGACCCGGCAACGGATAAAGCGGAAGAAAATGGATGGATGGATGGATGATTGTCTGAGAGCCAAGCAAGGATGCCACCGAAGAAAACTTACGCTACAGAGGAATTTCTAAAAGCACTCGACTCCTTGTCTGCTGAAGTGACTGCGATAAGGAGCCAGCAAAGTGATACAAGCGCGTCATCATCTGCTGAGGATGTTGGGGAAATGAATAGGTCGTTGGACTTTATCACTGCGAAGACTACTGTAATAAGGAGCCAGCAGAATCAACGTCTACACCTAATGGAGGAAGTGAAGCAGCTGCGCTTATTGAATGCAGAGAAAGACAAGATGATCACAGACCTGGAGAGGATCTGGAGCAGTACTCTTGGATCAACTACATTGTTGTGACCGGGTTAAAGATCAGGCCCCGGTCATATGCCAAATCAGTGACCGCTGGAAGTGGAACCGAGCCCGAGGAGTCAGAGATGCGCTCAGTGGAACAGCAGGTGGCAGCCTTTCTTGCATCCAAAGACATATCACTGTCACCCTCTACACAGAAAGGACAACGACACGACTGCTGTCATCATGAGATTCACCAACAGGAAGAATAAGATTGCTCTGCTGAAGCAAGGGAGGAAACTTAAGGGAAGCAATGTTTTACTCAATGATCATTTAACACTAGAACGCCCTGCCAAATTTGGGGCTAGTTTAAGAGAAGAGGAGCTAACCCGCTACTTGGGTTGCTAACATTTGCATGTCAAATGAGGTGATGACCGAAACAACAGGGGGCTAGGGTGGACTTTGTTTATTCGTCTGGGGGAGGAAGGGCTGCGAATGAGTGACTTCCAGACTGTGAACCCTGAGAATTAATATACTGTATATATTTTGTAATAAAACATTTCTCAGTGGCTTTGGTGCATTTAAAGTTCTCGAAACTATTAGTCCATTTTTCTTATTTTGTAGCATTTAAAATCAATAAATCTCACTAACCAAAAAAAACTTGTGTGTTGACCTCTCCCTAAGATGGCAAAGTAAAGTGGTGTGTATTTCACATATGTACTGCATATGCAATAATACAGTAACTTATGTCTCTTTATATAGAACAAACATACAAAAAAGCGTTATGGTAGAACTCTGATAAATGTAAACAATATAACACACCTCTTCATGAGTGAAAGCTGTAATTCACCTAAGAGCAATTGTTCAAATTTAGAAGGGATTTTTAGGATATAAAAAGATAGAGGAATGTATGAAATTAGCTTGACAGTATGTTTCATTCTGACTGAAGCAAATGATAATGTTATAAAACAGTATGTTTCATTCTGACTGAAGCACATGATAATGTTATAAAACAGTATGTTTCATTCTGACTGAAGCACATGATAATGTTATAAAACAGTATGTTTCATTCTGACTGAAGCACATGATAATGTTATAAAACAGTATGTTTCATTCTGACTGAAGCACATGATAATGTTATAAAACAGTATGTTTCATTCTGACTGAAGCACATGATAATGTTATAAAACAGTATGTTTCATTCTGACAGAAGCACATGATAATGTTATAAAACAGGAGATAATTGTTCAAAAGTAACTGATACATGAACAAAAGTATTTGTAAACTGTTCATAGGATAAAGAAACTGCTGCAATGATGTGCACCAATGACTCAGTGTTGTGGAGGTTGAACTCATAGTTGTTAGAACTTCAAGTCTGATGTGAGAAATGCACTAAAGCCACTGGAGAAAAACTGTAACTATTCAGATCCTCCCCCTCCCCCTAAGATGGCAAAGTGAAGCAACTTCAGCTCAGCCTGTGATAACGGCCCTATTTACATAACAAAGTTGGCCGTTCACAGGTGATTTCGTTTGTTAGCTAAAATCCTTGGGGTCATTTGGCACCGTGGAGGGGATGATAGGTATAAGTGCCAAATGACACCTCCATGGGAGTGCTAGTGTTAACCCGAAAAAACGCGGACATTGCACGTAAAGCTAGGTTCCTGAGGAAGCAGAGCAAAATCCAAAACACATGGTCGAGCAACTGTAAAGTGTTTATAAAGCTTAATGGATCACCAGAGGCAGCCAGAGTTTTGGTCATCAGAAGCATGGGGAGCTGAGTAAATATGAATCACGTTGATACCTCGCTAATAGGTAACACGCATTACGTAATCTCATTCGACACATGACAAATCACAATGGGCTCTATGCACGCACCACTTCCGCGTTTTAGCTACTACCCCACTTCACTTCCTGTTCGTGGGAAACGGCTTGAGTTTTCACTGGAGTTTAGAAGTGGTTTACACGAGTTTCCAAAATGAGGATACTGGGCATTTTTGGGACACAGCAGTGCTCTTTGATTGTGCTGTCATTGTGTTTTTATAAAGTTTACAAATCTCTCTGAGTGGCCACAGTCGAAGCTCTACCTCAGAGAGAAAGCACAGTGATACTTTTGGGTCAGTCTCACAGCTGAATGTATCAATCTAATTACTAAAAAACTTCACTAAAACCCACCTAAAAGCCATAGAATAGAATAGACAGGAAGTGAGCGGGCTGATCTTGGTTAACAGGAAATGACGTCACGCCTCCCCGTGAATATAGCCATTCACCTATTGCTGTAAGAGACATGGAATTACACCATATGTGTTTTAACAATGACAAATTGGAATTAAATACATTTGAGAACGCTAGTCTTAATAATGAACATGATCCATATTGTGATGTAGACCCTGACAATATGTTTTTCTCACATAGTAATTTTTACTGTAAATATTATTCAGTAGATCAATCCAATGCAATGGAGGCTGATGGTAAATTATCATTCATTTTAATAGTAGGAGTATGTACTCAAACTTTAATAGTATTAAGGAATATCTTCAACATATTGAGCACCCTTTTAGTATAGTTGCAGCGTCCGAAACATGGTTTAAGGAAGAAAAAGGTGGCCATTTTGATAGTTATGTAAATAGAACCAACAAAGTGGGTGGAGAGGTTGGAATATATGTAAATGGGAATATGAATTATAAAATAATTGAAGAAATGTCATTAATTGTAAGCAGCATGCTTGAATGTATTTCAGTTGAAATCTACAGTGAAAAGAAAAAGAATATCACCATTAGTTGTATGTATATGTCACCAGGGTCAAGTATTGAGTTTTTTACTGAGTGGATGGAGAAAATGTACTCAACCACAAATAAAACATTGTTTATATGTGGTGATTTCAACATAGACCTGCTTAATCCCAACAACCACACAGTTACAGATGATTTTATAAAAAAAATGTATAGTATGAATCTATTTCCAATTATAACATGTCCCAGTAGGATCACATCTCACAGCACTACACTTATTGACAACATTTTTACAAACAACATTGAGCGTACCTCACAGAGTGGATTAATGGTATGCGATATAACAGATCACCTCCCTGTATTTGCCATATATAATGACAACTACACCATTGAGAAGAAATCACATTATCCCATATTTAAAACCAGTGTATTTGTATAGCGCCTTTCACAGACCAGGATTACAAAGCGCTTCACATAAAAAAAAAAACATACAGATGAAAATAATACACAAACAACGAAGAAAGAGAAGAGGGTCCTCATCATGATCTGTGATTTATTCAAAATTTGCGTGTTTCCATTAGAGTTTTTCTGATGCGCAAATTCAAATTTAGAAACATGATGCTCCATGAAAACACAGATTATAATTTTCCCAGAGGGAATATGTTTATTTTTGTCCAAATCTTGAATTTCATGCGTGTTTTGGCGTGTTGTAGTGAAGGTTGAAATGAGCGTACACATTTACATCACCTCCTGACTCTGTGTATATTCTGTGCATACCGTACGCTCACGTCCAGATTGATAAATGCCGAAAGTGTCAATTTTCTGCGTACGCCTCATTTACGCCCTGATTTGGCCGTACGCAAGTTTCATAAATGACGGCCATTGTGTGAATGGACTGTGCATGCAAGGAAAACCTTTCAAGTTTTCAGAACTGGGAAACTTTAAAGAAATCATGAAGAACTTTAAAAACACAGTTGTTTCCATTCAGTTTAGATATTATTATTATTCCACAAATTTGTGACTTTTCAATAAAATCCATAACAGTTTATTTCTATTAGTTTTCACTAGCATGTATGTTGTCAATACTTGTTGACAATTAAAAAATAGATCACCAGCTCAAATAGTGAGTCTATCTTAATAGTCTGCAGACGATAACAAATGAAGCATGTTGTGGTCTGATTCAAAACATTTTAGTTTTTTAGATGTGGAAAAATTCAAGATATTAATGGGGAAGTTACATGTCCCAGCTTTAACTTTAAGTTACAAATGTCACTTTATTGCAGAATAAACTTGTTTAGAGGCTCATGTTTTGGACCACTGCTGTGCACTTCTTTATAGTACTTCTGTAGAAGAAAGGCAGGTTCGCTCTTCGTATCCATGAGGAAGTAACTTAATGCAGTGATTAACATAGATCCATGGTGATTAACCGATATCATGATAAAATAAAATGTACAAGGATGTTTACAGTCGAAGAGAATACAGTATATGGCAGAAACACAGACGTTAAGTCGGCTCAAAACCACTTCAAATCTCCCTCTTCTCACTCTGCACGTGGACAAGTGTTCACATGGACATGTTCTCCTACATGCATTGATGAATGATTCACATCAGGAATATCTTCAGAAAATAAACACACATTTGGTGTACTGCGCCTCTCTGACCAGCAGGGGGAGCAGTATTAAACAAACATGTGTAAGGGCTTCTTATTAGATAAACGGACTGTCGATACATTTAATACTACTACTGTCGTCTATCACAATGTACTTAAGAGTCCAGGATCAGTGTCAAAGTCATTTGCCCCGATCAATGTTATAGCCAACCAGTCAGGGGATATTGGATTAGACTTTAGGGTTTAGAGTTCAGGATCCACTTTGATCTTGGTCTCTTAATTACCTGATATCTAATCTTAGACCAGTACTACTTTTTTTAAGGAATAGCAATGCTCCTCTCAGAGGTGGTCAGTGCTTTACATGCTTTTCTACTATTGTGCAATGTCCACTGCAACACTCTGCAGGACAACAGCTTCTTGATCTTACAAGCAAGATTGCGGGAGCATGCACTACGACCATTTAAAATATGCTATGTATACACACACACACACACATATATATATACACACATATATATATATATATATATATATATATATATATATATATATATATATATATATTAGTAATAGTATTAGTACTATAGTACTATAGTAATATAGTAATTGCATGACCGCTGTTTTTGTGTTGTGTTGTGTCTGCTTTACATGATGACATATGCAAACCCAAAGCCGTCCCCAGCAGCTGACACCTGCAGTCACACATAAAACTTTTAGAGACACAGGTGTTTCTTCACATTTTGTAACTTCTAACAAGTGGTTCAGTCATGAGGATTACAGTGCATACAGAGGCTGGGACAGTCTGTGGGGAGTGTAGCAGTGAACATGATGCATATGATTCATACTGATGCTGAAGAGACTGTGGTGTGTCCAGGAGGGGGTAGAGGTAGAGTGATGGACACCAGCGGGACAGGGGGCTGCTGGTTATCAATTAAGAGCATTCAACTGGTCTGTGAGAAGCATGGGTCAATGTTGTGTATCCCCAAAACACGGGATTCCTTCAAATATTGCTTTATTGCATGTGGGATCACTAGTCTTTGGTGCCTCTTTGGTGGGCTCAGCCTTTAGGGTCCAAGCAGGCTCAGTGTCCAGACGCTCTGTCCCGGGCCCCAGAGCCGTTGATGTGCCTGGCTTTGTGCTTCTCCTCTTTGGCTGAATCACTTTCATCCTCTTCTTCCTCTGCATCACTCCTGTCATCACCTTCCAGCTTCAGACACAAACAAAGCACCCCGTTTGAGAACTACTGGGCTAATATAGATTTGCACTGATAAACAAGGAAGGTGTCCGATTGATCCAAAACAACACCATTTCCATACCAATCACTTTCCATAATATTAATATTTGACTTTGGTCACATATTGTATCCCTTGAACATAATCTTCTCAGATTTCCTTGAGACGATGCATGTCATTGTCTGAGGGTATGCCGTAGAGAAACAAGTATGAACACAGCGTTAGACAGCTGAGGTGGCATGTAACCAAATATTTGTACTTTGTTACTCTGTATTAAAGTGTTATTCTGCCATCCATCCATTTTCCACCCCTTAATCCATTTCTGGGTCACATAGCACCAGCCCCTCACTGATCCTACAGCAGGTGGTGAGTCCACAGGAGGATGTCTGCTCTATGTGAGCATAGCCTTGATCTTTCAGTTGGGGCTTTGGGCAAAGTGGGGTTAAGTGTCTTGCCCAAGGACACAGCGACAGCAGTCATCAGTGGGAGTCTGTGTAGAAGGTGTCGGGTGGGAATTGAACCCACAACCTTCAGGCCTAAAGGCCAATGCTCTACCAACTGAGCTACTTTCACCCTATTCTGCCATCTGTACCTTATTTATTTTTCCTAAAATTCTTCTACTTTAAGACTAGTACAGTTTGCCACCTCTGTTGGACTGACTGGTTTGTGTCAGAAGTTACTGGTATTAACTCCAAGTCTGTTTGGAAGGAGGGGATGAAACACAAGCCCAAATGCAGAATGTGTGTCTTTTACATAGAACATTATACAATACGATTTATTGTTTTGAAACATTATAGCATCATCATCATCATCAGTGCTTGTGAAGAGAATCAAACAAGTGTTCTCACCGTGCCGAAGAGCGACTTGTAGAGCATCCGTGATATAAGCACAGCCCAGTACACGTGCAGCCCCTGGAGCACCACCAGCATCACGTTGAAAAAATAGTATCCAAAGAAGGCTGGGTAGAGCTCCAGGGGGTACACCCAGGTGCAGTGGATCAGCCTGAGGGAGAGGGCACCACATTAACACATACACACAAGTTTTCTGACCTAAAGTTAAGGCTGTGGTACCTTTCAAACCACAGAACATGGAAGTGTGTAATAAAACCTGTAACTTGTTCCTCTCTCTCTTTTTGGCCTTTTATTTATGCAGGCCTTCTCGTTTTTATTCTGCTTTAACTTGTTTGCACTGAGAGCCAAAGCAATTTCCTAAATTGTGACTTCCTTTCCTCACATGGCAATAAAAGGATTCTGATTCTTTGCCCAAGATGAAGACATCAGGTCGTGATCTGAGTTGTTCAGTACAGTTTACTTAAACAAGCCTCTTTTGGGTCAAGCTACATTAAAGCAATTTCAATGACAAACACACATTTGTCATTTATGATTACATTGATAGATTGAAGATTTTGTTCTCAATTTCAGTCATTTTTATCAGCATCACCGTAATCCACAAAAATGTCTTTAAACCAGTGAAATATTTCAGATTACATACGAAAAAAATTATATCTGTATCACAAAATCACATTATTACATCCCGAGTCATTTTCAACTCGTCGAGAGATTGTATTGTGTGCATGTGATGGAGACAACTGAAAATGATTGAAGTCCTTCAGATTGCATGTGTGTAGTGTAGTGTGGTGGTAATTGGGGCTGCACTCACCAGAAGGGGAAGATGACCAGTCGTGTGAGCATGAACAAAGCCGTGAACACCACAAAGATGCAGTTTGCCGCCTTGTTGCACTGGGTGTAGTTCACCACTTTGGCACCCTGAGAAAGGACACACCTTTAACATCTGCACACACACTTTTCCTGAAGCCAGAGTCCGTGAGAAGTTAAGAGTTTTTCGTGTCGAAGAGGATCAATGACTGACTGACCTGTCCTGCTCCACCCAGCGGCTGCTCCACCTCTGCTGCTGTGACCTATAGTGCTGTTGCATTTGAATACTATTGTTAGCTACTTTTAGAATGATCTATTCATTTGTTTTGTTTGAATGCATGTGTTTATGCTGCTACTGGACACCTGAACTGCTACTGGACACCTGAACTTCAATACAGTATCTACATCTTCAATACAGCATGACCCCCACTGATGTCTGCTGTCGTTGTGTCCTTGGGCAAGACACTTAATCCCACTTTGCCTGAAGCCCCGCTGAAAGACCAAGGCGTGGACTCACCACCTGCAGGAGGATCAGTGAGGGGCTGGTGTTCCCCCCAGCCCCCCCGACCCAGAAATGGATTAAACCCATGTCACTAGTTACTTTCTCTCCAAACGGTTTGGTCCGATTACTAGTTTTAATATATTCTTGACCTCTTGCAGAGTCTTCAAGTCAGCTTCTTCAGACGGAAAATATGTGGAAAGAGCTGAAAACTGCTGTGCACAAACACTCCATCTGTCAGAGCTTGATCAAGACAAATGGGCAAAACATTGATTCTCTAGATGTGCACAGCTTGCAGAGTCACATGTTGACTGGATACTTGGTGAACATCATAAGATAAGATAAGATCTCACAATGAGGAAATGTCACGATTGGCAGAGATAGTGTCACTCAGATTGTGCAAAAAAGAGAAGTGTGCATATAGTCTGCACAGTCTGCTGGCTTCAGCCGGGCTGGCTTTTCAGTCCAAGTGAATCTTGCTTTCACTTCACAGAAGCCTGTTACTTTGTTGTGAACTTTCAAAAAGAAAAAAAGCTTAAAGATACTTTTGCAAGGCACTGTAAATGACTCAAAGGTGAACCGGGAAAACTACTAGAACTTGGTGAAAAGTCTGTGGAAAAGTCCCGGTGCCCAGTGTGCATTGCGGTCAGTTTAGAGTTCAGATTTGCATGTTCTGCAGCTGCTGTATGAAATATGAGCAGCTCACCTCCAGCAGGATGTCCGCAGAGTCGTGCACGGCCATCACCAGCGTCCCAATGCGGATGTAGTTTGAGATCCAGGAGAAGCTGAGCAGGAGCAGCGTGGCTATGTGGTGGACCACCTGCTCATTGAAGTCCTGAAAGCAGACCCAACAGAGACCGTGTCGGCAGGCGCACTTTTAGTCAATAATTCTAAAAGATTCTAATTCTAAAAGATTGAATTATTTTTCTACTACAACAACAACAACAACAACGAGTCATGTAACACTTTTTGGACACACAAAGAAGCTTTAGAAAAGGACAAATATGAAGATAACAATCAATCAATAAAATAAAAGTGTAGGTAGGTTTGAACAGGTGCACTGCATAAAAAAAAAAAAGAGGTTATACTTGCTTGAATCAAGTAGATTTTGTATTAATTCTGACCGTCTTAAAACAAGATTCACCAATGGGACAAAGCCATAATCTTATTTCAAGAAGTGTTGCTTTATTTTCTCATTCCAAGGGAGACATTTCTTGTATTATTTTAAGACAAGATCATTTTGCTTGTCCCATAGGCAAATCTTGTTTTAAGGCAGTCAGAATGTGCTCATTAGATACATTTTGCCAAGTTTTCTCAATTTTTACTTATTTTTCATCACTTTTTGCAGTGGCTTTTCAGAGAGTGGGGGCAGCTGCAGCGAAGGCTCTGTACCCCAAAGTTTGACATTTTGTGTGATGGGAGTGAGGAGGTCGGAATCAGGGAATCTGAGGCGGCGGGAGGGACAGTGCTGATGGAGGAGGTCAGTGAGATAAGGGGCCAGGTTAAGAAGAGACTGGACCTTATGTGGTATGGGACAAGCAGCAAATGGAATTGTTTGAGGATGGGATTAAAACCACTATTGCATGACATCGAAATTGAACAAGTCACAGATAAATTATTGGTGTGCTGCTCGAGAAGCTGGGAGTAGACTTAGTTATAGAAGGAATAAAAAGGAGGGTTTCATAGACATCTGAAGAGTGCATTTGAAATCAACATGTTTCAACTCTCATCAGAAAATTATTGTTGTGTCACAGCAAATTTGTATCTAATTAACAAGTAACTAAGCTCTTCTAATTTATGCCCTTTGTGAGGAATGAGGAGTTGCAAAGGTTTCAAAGGTGGCTGTCTAAAGTAAGTGAGTAATTGAAGAAAAGATATCAGTGATGGAGAGTTTGTTGAATTAGCTTATAGACACAAGAGGCTATTTACACATCCAACGTCTCTAACATGTCCATAACTCTACTGCTATATCATCACCCGAACAAAATCAACAGATCACATCACTCCAGTTCTCACCCAACTCCACCGGCTCGGCATAACCCACAGAATCTAGTTCAAACTTCTCACATTCACAGCTCTCCATAACCTGCCCCCCTCATACACTGTAAAGCCCAACAAGTAAAGTGTACTTGAAAAAACTTTGGAAATAAATTGCACATTAACTTCACTTGAATTCCTCCAGTACATTCTTAACTTGATGTTACCAAGTGAACTCCATCTGATTACAATAAAGTTTGACTGTGATTTCAACGTATTCATATATCAGAAAGGCTCAGAACTTCTAAATAAACTAACAATAAACTAGTAATATTTACTTACTAGGGAAAATCAATTTAAAAATATTACTTTGATTTCTGAAGTAAGATGGAAGTAAGGTACCTCCGTCACCTCCTCCACCCATACACCCCGTCCTGCTCCCTCCGCTCCTCATCTGCTGCTCTCCTCTGTCCCCATTATCAAAATGGCCATGGTGGGGGCCAGAGAATTCAGCCACTCTACTCCCAACTCTTGAACACTCTTTACCTACTCTCTGAAAATTTTCAAATCACATCTCAAAACCTACCTTTTTCAAATTGGCTAATTCTTTGTATTTTTTGTTGCTGAAAAAAAATACAAAGAATAAGCCACAAAATAATATTAGAACAGAATAATAATAATAATAATAATAACAACATACAGTATAACGTCATTATGTGAAAATGAATACATAACAATGCGTATTATTTACTTCAGATTTCACTTACTTTTCTTTTGACATCAAAGGTGAGGCTGAGGAGCAGGGACAGGTAAAAGCCCATCTCTGTGTAGTAATACCAGTACTGCGAGGGCAGCAGGGACTGTCAAAAAACACACCCACACACACATGCAGTAGAAGTAATACACAAGCTGATGTTATCACTAGAGTAAAGTGCTTTGAGTACTCACCTGTTTGGGAAAGCCAGCCCACACCTGCCGCAGGTCATACAGCCAGGCTTTCTGAAACATCACTCACAGTGGTAAGCGGATATGAAGACCCCTGGTCCACTGATGTTGTGACACTTACGTCGTAGAGAGCCAGCACACCTCCGAAGAACGCACAGAAGTAGAAGACACATCTCCAGCTGTCCAGGAAAAACATGGAATTATTGTTAAAGCGGCTACCTGTGGCCTAAAACCGCAGAGAGGCGAGATGGGTCCAATAAAAGTGTATGCCATGCTAATTTAGTATAACAACGCAGCGGCTGGATCCAGTTGTGATTAATTTAATTATTAAATGCTGCGATCACAGGCAAATTGTGTGGTAAATATACAGGAAAAAAAAATGTGAAAAATGTGAGCCAGAAAAATAAATAAATCAAACAAAACTATAACAGCTTTATGGCCAAACAGACCTTTCCTGTCTCGTGCCCCAGCAGGGGAATGCCCATTCATAATCTTGTACACGCACACATGTACGCACACTCACACACCTACCATGCATTACTCCTCCACCAGCCAAACATTCACACAGTGCCCAAAAGTGTCCCCTACATTTGTAGATACTTCCACACATATTTGTAACTGCTCAAATACACAGATTTCTTTGGTAAAATGCAAACATTCACTTTCGGTTCTTGACGAGATCCCATCAATGGCGGCTCAGATATAGAACAGAACTGAACATTCTATAGTGATAAACATGAACATGTACCTGGCCTCACCGAACCTTTTGCGCAGGCCGGGCCGGTTCTGGTTCCTACGCCTCCGGAACCAAATCTGGATCTTCCTCTCACTGCAGCTTATCTTCTTACACAGGGACAGCACATCGGCCTGACACACATCAGAGTGCACATTTATGGACATTGGTCACCTGCCCCTTATGGACACAAATTTTGAGCAGAACTATTCTGGTGTTTGAACTGTTTGATTCTCTGATCTGTGTTGGCGATTTCAATGGCTTTGTAAAGTCCTCTGAGATAACTACTGTTGTGATTTAGGGCAATAAAGAATACATGTAAATGAATTGAGGTGTTCCCCGCATCAGTACTGACCAAACTAGCTAAGAAACAGACTGAACAAGCTGGTCAGGAGGGCCAGCTCCACTCTGGGCTGCTCCCTGGACTCTGTGGAGGAGGTGTGGGACAGGAGGGTGCTAGCCAAAGCCACCTCCATCATGAACAACACCTCCCACCCACTGCACAGGACTGTAGAGGAGCTGAGGAGCTCCTTCAGTGGAAGACTGAGGCACCCTCAGTGTAGGAAGGAGCGCTACCGCAGGCCATTTATCCCCACCGCTGTCAGACTGTACAATAAGTCACTTTAAATGATCACTGTGTGAAAACCTGCACTACTATTGACACTGTTTCCACTTGTCACTTTTATTGTACATAATTATTGTCACTTTTGTTGTACATATATCCTGCATGTAACATGTTTGCACATTTCCTCCTTTTGCACAACCTGAGTGTCCTATCCATGCCAAATATGAAATATAAATTTCTCCTATGTGAGATAAATAAAGCACATCTTATCTTATCTATCTTATCTTATCAAACTTAGCACATCGTGTATAATTTAAATATATATATATTTTGTTTATCACTGTAGGAAAATTAAATAGACCTCAACCCGACAGGTGTCAGGTGGACAGTCCTTCGCAGCTCTATAAATACAGCGATGAAATAGAAATGTATTTCTGGATGGCCGACCTGTGATGGGAGCCTGGACTTGTTGCAAAAGTATTCCTCCAGCACAGAGTTGGCCTCCGGAGGGGTGCGAGGCTTGTCCTGGACTCCCCATCGGTCAGCCAGCGGAGTGGCCACAAACCTACTCCCACACACAAGTTAGCATCTCACTGGTCCAATAAGAATATAATCTTCTCAACAATACAACATACTTATTGTAACATATGCAACCCTCCCCTGCTCAGCTGCTGTGTGTGACATAATGACCATCAAACAGTAGAAAGAGTTTCATAAACTGGAGTATAAAATTATTGTTAAAAATAATAAGTTAAAAAAAAAGCAAAGGGTAACTGTTAGCAATTGCTTTAGATTAAAGGAGACAAAAATAAATGCATTACTTATAGCATTACCCAGTATATAAGGGAGTTCTACAGTGATGTAACAGCTGCTAATTGTCAATGCAACTTAAAGGAACCACAAGAGTCGACGTTTTGATTTGCCAATTTCCAATTCAAAATCTGAATTTGCTTGTTCCATTTGCCGAGTCTCTTTTTGAACACTGGACATCTGAATAAAGAGTTCCTACTTTTCTACTAATTTCAAAATTTTATGAACTAGTGCTTTTGCAGTGAATCCGTTCTAATCATTGTAAACGTATTGTAATTGCGCCTTTCACAGACCAGGGTCATAAAGCGCTTAGCAAATGTTGTATTTTTTTGGCATTTTGTCTTCTCAATCTACGAATGGATAGTAAGTAAGTAAGTAAGCTTTTATTTATATACCGCCTTTTCACTGCACATCAGAGTCTCAAAGCGGTTTACAATTGTTGGGTGGGGGTGCCAGTACAGGAGGCACATGCCATACCTATTGTACATATTTTTAGTGGTAGGGGAAACCGGAGCACCCGGAGGAAACCTACGCAGACACGGGGAGAACATGCAAACTCCACTCAGAAAGGCCCTGGTCCAACCGGGATTCGAACCCAGGACCTTCTTGCTGAGAGGCGAGAGTGCTATCCACTCAGCCACCGTGCCGCCCAGATGAGGCTGGGATCGCCAGTATAGGAGGTGCAGACCTATTGTAGATGCTTTTAGTGGTAGGAGAAGCTGGAGCACCTGGTGGAACCCGGAGCACACGCCGGGAAAACATGAAAAGTCCATACAGAAAGGAATCTGGAGGTGGAATCAAACCCAGAACCTTCTTGGTATGAAGAACAAGCGCTAACCACTGCACCGCCGTGCCATTTGTGACTTGAAAGAATACTTTGTTCAAACACTATTTTGAAGTTGTTTGATATTTGCAAAAATAAAAAATAAAATGTTTTGCCAAAATTGGGCAGACAAATCCGTGTAAAAATCACACTCCGAGATGATGTGAATTTGGACATTGCAAAAATAAATGTAAATGAATTTAATCAAAGCTACCTTTTCAAGAATTAAATGTTGACTTATCTACAGTGGCCATAGAAGCACTGAAGATGAGTGTAATATGGTGTAATTTTGAAGTGAAAGTGACAGAAGCCTGGTTCAAAAAAAAAGTTCCTAAAATGCAGGTAGATGAGGCCATATAAACATGTAAAATATTAACTATTATACAAATGTCATGTGCCGTAGCCCTTGTTTACGGAATGTTTCCAAGGCAACAGTTATAAATTACCCCTCTCACTTCTGCTGGCCTCATAAATGCTGCCAATGAGAGGACACATTTCACTTACATTGTATTCTGTTCACTTTCCCTCCCTCTGATATAAATGTATGGTCTCCGCCTCTGATTGTAAGCCACAGACGCTGACTCGCTCCTGAGCTGCTGTAATGAGATTATGGCTAAACTCCATTATGGCACACCCAGGCCTCCTTAGTCATATCTCAACTTCAGCCTTCTATAAATTTGACTTTTTCTTTGTGGCTAGTGTGAAATATTGCGAGATGGAAAAATCACAATGTTTCCTCAATCTTGCTCATCGACATGTGCAGTACAATGGATCAAGGGGTCTATGCATCTCTTCATTGGTTTATGGCTTGAACATGCACACTTAAATAAGAGTTTGCTTCTGCCTGGGCGCCAATGTTTTATAATATTTAAAAACTGCAATCAATCAGAAGGAGGAGAAGAAAAGTATAATCTTCCGCCTCTGGATTGCCCTGCTCTATGGCTCAAGGAGCACTCACTTTGCCGTAATGGACATTCAACTGCCCTGTGCTGTAAAGGCCAATGAAACCCCACTCTTTACTTTGAACCTTCTCTTTTTTTTTTTTTATCATGGATTAGCAAAGGATTTGTATGGAAGCCCGTTTCCGCCATGTAAAAAAAAAAAAAAGCAAACAGAAAGTCAAAATTTTGAGTTTAAAACTCAAAATTACAACTTTTAAAAGTCAAAATTTCGACTTTAAAAGTCAAAATTACGACTTTAAAAGTCAAAATTACGACTTTAAAAGTCAAAATTACGAGTTTTCAACTGCGCATGTGCAGTTGAAAACTCGTATGTGTTGTTGTCTGGAACGGTCTCTGGACGTCCTTCACCTGCAGATTATGTGAAGATATTGCCTACAGCAACCACTGCATCCTTGAAGTAGCCAGAAATAATGTTGTTTGATTGATTCTGTAAAACGTTCCTGTTTAAGCCCCAGACCGCGGTCGTAGGACGCAGGGAGGAGCTGTCTTTTTATTTATTTATGTTAAATTCAATTTACATATATACAACATTTAAATCAAACGACTTCTTATTTCGACATAGTAACAAATAATGTGAGCAATATGTTTTTATAATAAATCAAAGGAAAATGAGCCATTGAGACATTCCAATCCAATCTGCTATACATTGTTCCTACATGACGTCACTACATACGGGGATTTGCCGACCCGGCGCCATTTGTGTTGGCATTCTGTGGGCAAAACAATAGAAAAAGAAGCTGAAACGTGTTAATGTCGTGATAAAGTTGAAAATGGTCATCTCCTGCTGGGTCAATGGATGTTCAAATCGTGACGGAGGTTCTGTTAAACTTGGATTTTACAGTATACCCATCATTAGACTTCATGAATGTGAGAAGACTAAGCTTTTGTCAGAACAACCACGGAGGTTATGGCTTGCGAAGATAAACAGGCAAGAAACTCCCTCAAAACACGCAAGAATATGCTCGGAGCACTTTGTGTCAGGTGCGTATCGTATCTCATAATGTGTTGACAGACGTAATTTACTCAGTACTAACTTGTGTATGCTGATAGCTGGTAACTTGAGAGTTTCATTATTTAGCATTAGATTACTTTATTATGAGGAGGATCGGTGTCGCGTCCGAGGCTCTCGAGGGCAACGTAAATGTATTAAATAGATAATAATAGTTCTATGGTGGGCTAAAACAATGTTCACAAACAGCATTGCTTCTGTAAAAAGATCTGTGTCATAAAATAAACTGCTCTTTACGCCTGGAAAAATCAGTTGCCCACCATTCACCAAAACATACGGTCAAAAACGCGGAAATAAACAATAACAGCAATCCAGAGTGTCCGTGTGGTATTAGCATTAATTTAATTAATTGTTAATATAATTAAAATAATTAAATGGAGCTCCAACTGGTATTAAATCTAAAGTTTTTGAGAAATGTTTGCATTGCTTGTTAATTTTTTCTGCATAATTTGATCAAATATGTAAAACATGTCCGTAGCACGTTAAACTGTGGTGCCATTGTATTAATATACAATTATTTGCTCAAAAGTTGCCCTTTTTTTCCAATTTGCGTTTGAATATCTACATTTATTCTCATTCTTCTGTTTAATGGAATGCACAAACACAGCAGCGTGCCATCAAAGATGGCGTCTCCGAGGAGGTCATGTGACATTCATTGGTCTGTGGGAACTATGTATAGACCACTCTGACCAGACGATGGCGCTGAGAGGGGTCCACACGGAGCGAGTATTTCCACGACTGAAATGATGTGCTTTCTACGTGTTGAGTACGGGGTTTTATTCATGCATCTATAATGGGTTTAACTCCCTTTTCAAAGACCCTCACTGTTATCTGCGGAGTTATTTCTCTGGATTGTTGCTTAAAGAGTCGTGGGCTTTATTTTGTCACAATAAAATAATCAGACAAAGTACTTATTTCCTATATGTCTCTGTGTTCTTGCTCATACGCCAACAACTTTACCCGCACGCTCGCTCCATCAGCTCACCCCCGCGTGCACGCAAACACGTCACATACTCTTCAATGCACTGATCGCAATTCCAAAAGGGTAATATTGTCAGTGCCCGTGACTGTGGTTCTCCTGCCTCTGTCTGTGGTTCTCCTGCCTCTGTCTGTGGTTCTCCTGCCTCTGTCTGTGGTTCTCCTGCCTCTGTCTGTGGTTCTCCTGCCTCTGTCTGTGGTTCTCCTGCCTCTGTCTGTGGTTCTCCTGCCTCTGTCTGCGGACCTCCCTCACTATCCAGTAATCGCGAACGGTCTCTCTGTCAGTCACAATAATATTCACTGCATTTCTGGTGCATCCATCGATAGAAATGATACTGACCAGACGTCACCAGTTGATGCTCAATGACTTTGAACAGCCGCATGTGTTTTATTATTAATCTTCCACAGTCTGTTTAGGATAAACTAAATAGAGGCTTCTGAAGCGGATTCTAATCATAAACTGAGAGACCGTTTGCATTTTAACGCGATTACTACCACAACATTATTGCTGCTACTTCATGGATGTGGTCACTGTCTGTAAAATCTTCACATAATCTGCAGGTAGAGGATGACCCATGGTCATGGATCTATAACAGGGATGACCAGAGACCGTTCCAGACAACAACACATACGAGTTTTCAAAGTTTTCAACTGCACATGCGCAGTTGAAAACTCGTAATTTTGACTTTTACAGTCGAAATTTTGACTTTTAAAGTCGAAATTTTGACTTTTAAAGTCGAAATTTTGAGTTTTAAAGTCGAAATTTTGAGTTTTAAAGTCAAAATTTTGACTTTCTGTAGGCTTTTTTTTTTTTTTACATGGCGGAAACGGGCTTCCATAGATTTGTATATGCTTTTTAGAAAAATCACAGTTTTGTATAAATAGCAAACGTTTAATAACACTAATTTTAAGGTTCTTTTAATGGTCTTTAAATGTCTTAATGGTCTTGGGCCTTCTTCCATCCATCCATCCATCCATTTTCTTCCCCTTAATCCATTTCTGGGTCGGGGGGGTGACAGTCAGAGCTGCACCCAGTACACATAGCACCAGCCCCTCACTGATCCTCCTGCAGGTGGTGAGTCCACAGGAGCTGAGATCTTTCAGTTGGGGCTTTGGGCAAAGTGGGGTTAAGTGTCTTGCCCAAGGACACAACGACAGCAGTCATCAGTGGGAGTCGTGAAGTAGGTCTTACGGTGGGCTCGAACCCACGACCTTCAGGGCCAAAGGCCAATGCTCTACCAACTGAGCTACTGTTGGGCCTTCTTATCTTTCAGAATTGCTTTTATCCTATGAACCTTCCCGGCCCCTGCGCTCCTCCGGCAGCAGACTCCAGCAGCAGTGAGGCATCTTTCCAGCACTACGGCCCCCGTCTCTGGAACAGTCTGCCGGAGGAGCTCAGGGCCGCAGAGAACATTCATATTTTTAAAAGCAGGCTCAAGACGCACCTTTTTAGATTAGCTTTTGATTAGTATTTATTATTTATTGTTAGTGCATTTTAGTTCATTTATTTATTTTAATTTTATTTTATCTATTTTGTCATTTACTATTGTTATTAATCTTGGATTGTTTTTAACTAAACTGTAAAGCACTTTGTGTTACATTTTTTGTATGAAAAAGCGCTTTATAAATACAATTTGATTTATTGATTAGTGCTCCTATTTTATTAACCTTAAACTTTATTACCTTCTCACAACAGTCCCTCTGTCCTTGTTTAAGCATGATAGACAGTATATATATGGACATATATGAAGTGGCATATTCTGTCTTTTAAAGTTATGGACTATATAGAGCTGGTCATGAGCTGCTGCGCGAGCCCCCTTCCTCAAGAAAACTGAAATGAACGTGTTGAACAAATCAGCTGCACATGCAGTAAACATTGTGCAGTGTAGACACACAGAGCAATGGAACTACTGTTGTGGTGAGAGTTATTTGACCATTCTGGATCTGGACTGGTACAAAATGGTAGCCGTTTTCGCAAACTTTGAAAATCCAAAGCAGCGTGAAAAATCACTATCCTCAGCATTGTCCAGAACTATGTTTTGAAACAGGCTCTAAAGCTGTTTTGGACCAAAGATGTCTGCCTATTTACATTAATGACCTCATTGGCTAATGATCACACTATGGAGGCAGAAATATTAGCTGTGAAGTGATGCAGTTTGGGTCATCTCTAGGCCTCCCAGTCTTGCACAGAAGGTGCCCAGTGGTACTACTTCCACAAGTCCAGCGTAACATGTGAGCGTTTTGACCAATCAGCTCTGACTGTGGCCAGCAGCGCTCGTTCACTTTGCTCCCATGCACAGAGGAACACGAGAGCGTTCTGATCAATCAGTGTGTACGCTGATCAGAGCGCAGCTTGAGGCGAGTTTGTTGCACAAAAATGACAAAGGTGACAACAATTCCCACAAAACCCAACCTTTGTGAAATCTGTAGGTTCCCTGTCAACTGAGGACAAGCCGTTTTTGTTAAAATTGAGGTGTATATTGCATGGGTGGTCCACTACCACACTGAAGACTGGCTTAAGCTAACAATACACTATCCAGATATTATAATATATCAATTTTTGTAAAGTTATTTCCACTTCCAGTCAGAACTAGTGTAATTATGTCAGCAAAAGATGTCAGCCGGCCTCCTTAAGGTGTGCTTGCACAGCCAACTGCTCCCCCTAAAAAGCACCAATCATACCTCTCAAACACATATCTGAGCAGCAGGAGGCACAGGGCAAATGGGACCACGTCGTAGAGCTGGGAGGCTTTGGCGTAGACTCTGCCATCAGTATCCTCCAGGTCTGACCAGGACACGTCCAGGGGCAGCCATAGTCGCTCCCACCAGATCCACTCATACACTGTCTGCAACATGCTGCGGAGAAATGGACAGTTATGAAAGAGTGGAAAACAAATGTCTCACAATGGCTAACATTAAAAGCACAACTAAACCCACAACTGATTTCATCATGTGCATCTATTTACAGTTGTGTTTGAAAGTTTACACTCCAGGTAGAAATGTCATTGTTTTTACAACAAGATTATTTTGGAGGTCATGGGTTCGAGCCCACCACAAGACATTTCCCACCGTCTCCCACTGATGTCTGCTGCCATTGTGTCCTTAGGCAAGACACTTCACCTCCATTCTGTCAGTGTGCCCCAGGGCAGCTGTGGCTACAGTATTAGTTTATCACCACCGTGTATGGAGTGAAAGAATGACACATGTGAAGCGTCTTGGAGGGTCCATAAAAGCGCTATATAAAACCGATGCATTTATTATGAATGATGAAACTGTTCACTAACTGATAGCGGTTGTTTGAAGCCTTTTGTTTTATGTCCACAGAAATAGATTGATTTTCTCAAAATCTCATTCAAAGTTTAAAGAAAGCATTGCACTTGTATGTTGCAAATGTCAATGATTCATTTTGCAAGTTTTGCTTAAAATGCTTTCATCCTTGAAAAGCAATATTTTCAGTTGAAAAGGCATCTACATCTTTTATATGTGTCCCCACATAATAGATCAACATGTACAAATCATATTTTCTCCATTTGGAACAAAGTTCGAGCTATTCTTTAATAGAATATACAATGGACATAATGCCCATAACATTTATGTAAATTGTCTGCTTCCAGTTTGTTGGGTGGAATTTAGCTGGTTTTGCTCCATATTCTTTTCTTCATAACAAAATTCAGACTCAAAAAATGGCACCACATATTTGCCACAAACAAATGCAGGTGCAAATAAAAGTTTTCATACATAATAGTTTCTAATCAGGATTAGAAGTTTAAACAATTTGAAAATCAGATTTGAGATCAGATTTTTAAACATCTCGATAAATCAGCAACTATTCTACTGATGTTTGAAAGAAGTTTCTCCTGAGTTTGTTATATTGCATTAGTTAGAACAATCATGAATGAATGAATTCATTGGATTAGTAGTTGCTATTAAGTAGTTAGTAGTTCTTCCTGATTCAAGTTTGATATTGCTGAAATATTTATATCAATTGTCCCTTTAGACCATTAACAAAACACAAAAGCATTAAACATATCAAAGGGCATCACAGATAAGCAGCCAGGCAGCAGAGATAAGTCCTCTCCTCTGCAGGACTCTGCCCAACAAACAGATAAACCACTATTTGTCCAAACTTAACGTTAAAATCCAACAATCTATTATTTTAAATTACATGCAAAATCTTTCATACCTGCAATCAATGTTGCGCTGACAAACTCCAACAAAAGAGGGTTAAAACACCGGGAAGCCTGGGGAAGGAATGTCATAATGCCTTAATAGTTCTGCTGTAACTGTCAGAAATACTAAAGTAGAATTAGAAATGTTATGTCCCATGCAAAGGAAGAATATTCTCAACATGTAGTAGTTTTGAATATGGCAGGACTGGTCTTTGAGCAGTGTGAATGCCAATGTAAATATGTCCAATCTGTATTTGTATCTTTACAAAAAATTAGCTTACTTTGCTTGTAATGCCGATTGTTGTTTTTGCAGCTGTTGTATATTCTTCTTGCTTTATCTATTGAACGCCCATTCTAAAGAGGCAACATGGAACAAGGGCATGTAAAGCAAATATTTACCATTGGCTTCTCCACACGCCACTGTTATCCACTCACCTGGTTGAAAAATGAGCCCTGCTTCCCATGCTCTTTGCATAGATGATAGCTCAATCACAGTAAGAGGGAAAATGTGTTGACGTCTTTCTCCTTAGCGGAAAAAAACACTTCATGTGCTGCTGCAGTTGTTGTTTGAGGAAAGAAAAGCAGATTAGTGAAAACCTCACCTGGGAGAATTCAACTTGGAATGCTGGGAGGCCCCCACAAAGCGCCCATTCACGGGAAGGTAGTAGGGGGAGGAGCCGGCCTGATCCTGGGAAGGGGAGGGCAGGTGTAACGGTGCTTATGGGGTTATGAATAAGTAAAAGTGAGATACAGGGTAGTAAACGCCTTTGTGTATATCAAAATAGTCTGTTAATATTAACTCATTTTGGGTTAATATTTACAGTACAGAAAGAGGATGTGGGCTCTGCAACTGATGGCCATAAAGGCAGGGTGAGATTGACATGTAGGGAAAAAACTTTTTAACTACCACCCAAAACACCACTTTTTTCTGTTACAATCAAAAAAGGTACAGTTTATTCATTTTGTACACAATTATATAAATATCAAAGTCAAAGAGGATTGCAGCTAATTGATGCCTTGTGAAGTGTATAAATGCATAACCCTCGTCTGGTCTACAAGGCAGAATGTAGCGTACAACAAGAGCATGACATCACAGAGCAGTATATGCAAAAACAAAACAAGCAAAAGTCAGACATGTTCAAATTTACAAAGAGACGTATGGTCAGTTCCAGAGTTCCAGAAGGTATATGTCTGCAGCGTGTACAGTCTGACAGTCCCAGGGTGGGTAATAGTCACACTGGGGTGTTTCCCTTTAGCTGGCTGGGGGAGCGGGGCACATGCTCTCCCAGTGTAGATAAACTGGCAGAATGACTGGGCCTGGTGTTTTGTGGCTCATGCCCTGGGGGTCTTTGTCGGGGAGGGAGTGTGGAGCAGCGGGCCGTACCCCTGGAGCGCCGTGGCTGTGGCGGGGGTTCTTTCAGACGAAACAGGTCAGTAGAACTGGTCTGAAGGGGCTCTGAGCTGGGGGACCTGCAGGGCTGCTCTGAGGCCTGAGATGAGGTAGTGATGGGCCTCAGTGAAACCAGAGGGGTGGAGTTCTGCCTGGACAGACTGGAGTGGCTTGGCCGAGGCAGGCTGTAACACGCCTGGGGCCCTCGATGGCACGAGGGTAGGGTAGAGCAGCGGCCCTTTGCTGCAGCAGGAGGAGGGTCTATCAGTGTGTAGGGGCTCCCATCTACAGACAGTGTTCTGGAGGTCTGCAGGCAGTGGGTGGAGCCAGGTTTAGATGGGGCCTTAACAGGTGCCTGGGGTTCACCCTGTATCTGCTGCTGAGAGGCTGAGTGAGGTGGCTCTGCTGTACAAGAAGACACATCATCTGCAGGAGAGACAAAATAAATGATCAATATCGCAACTTTCGCTTGTATAATCACCCATGCCCTGAGTGACCCCCCAGTACATGTGAGGGCATACCACAGATTGCCTTGTACACATAATTCCTTTCATGAACTAATGCTCAGAAAGTATTCTCAGTCAGCCTCTTGCCAGCGGTGGCCAATATAAGTGGCTTATCCTGCACAAGACCCCCATGTGCATACATATACAGGATATAGAAGTGAAATAGCACATGTTACCTGACATTCCTAGCTCAGTCATCAAAGCATCCAGATCCACTATTTCTGCCCCGGGATGTTCTGAGTCCTCTTGTTCTTTTTCTTCCTCCTTGATATCTTCAGAATCCTGTGGTTGCTTCCACTCACCACCATCACTACCAGAGTCTTCACTACTGTCTCTTTGCTCCATTGGGCCAGGCTGCTCGTCTGCTGCTTGGGCGAATGATCTGACTATGTCCGGGTCACTGTCTGAGGGGTGGATATAATCATTCCCAAAGTACAGCTCCTCCTCCTCCATCAGACGCTCTATTTCCTGGTCTTCTGCTGCAGCCTCTACAGTTAAATTGATGTTGGGTATGGAGCGCTTAGAATGGTGTCCGCGAGCGCCTTTTTCATGTTCCACCAGGAAGTCCATCAGCATCATGTTCTCCTTCTTCAGCTGGTCCCGGAGCGAGCGTGGCACATCAGGGATGATCCACGCTACCACCAAGCTCAGGAACATGGCCAGATTCTGGGCATAGAAAAACGCCTTTTTAACAGCTCTCTGACACAAATAATAATTAGACACACAATTTACAAAATGATGCCCAATTAAAAGAACCTCATTTAAATTAAATATAAAAAACACAGCAAAAGACAGTTTGAAAGAAGCTACAACAATAGTTATAGAGATAAAAAAAGATAGCAAAGTAAAATAACAGCTAAACAAACCAGAGCCTAATGAGATGAGACTTGACTCTGTCAGTATGTGCAGCAGTGTTTAGGACTCCTATCATTTTATAGGATGCATTTCTGTCCCAGTGTTGCTTCAAACACTTGTCATGTGTCCTTCCAATAGACAGCACTCTTCCTGAATAATACAGGCACTTAACGTTATGAAAAAAATTATACTACAATCTAATGATGAAAGAGAGGTTGAACAGTGTACTAAGGATGTTTGATGGCGCGAGCAGTGTGCAGGCTCTGACCCAGGACAGTAGAGGGCAGCACTTCACACAAAATCCTCACATCAGAGCTGACTCCCACCAGGTCAACGCTGGCTTATCATAAAAGATCCACGCTTTACTGTTCTGACGGTAAAATAACATAAGATGGAGACAACACGCACTCCAACTCTGTTTGGACTGGGAATATGGGATACACTTTATTGATCTAATAATGCAGACATTTACAAAAGTTGTACTTTTGTGGTCTGGTCAACAAACGATACCTTTATACAGCTGCAAACCAGTTTGGATTCAAACAAGAGCATGGTACTGATCTGTGTATTTTTGCCCTTAAGGAAATTCTGGACAAGTACCACAGTCAAGGTTCCACAATTTTCACCTGTTTCTTAGATGCATCCAAAGCATTCGATAGGATTAATCATCAGAGGCTTTTCAGGAAGTTATCTAATAGAGGTGTTCCTGGCTACCTTATTAGGGTCCTCATATTTTGGTACTCACAGCAGAGTATGCGGGTGAAGTGGGGTGGGTCAGTGTCAGACTCATTCAAGGTCAGTAATGGAGTCCGGCAGGGTAGTGTGATGTCCCCCCTGTTGTTTAACATCTATATGGACGATTTATCTGTACAGCTCAATCACTGTAAGACTGGGTGTGTTGTGGGAGGCAGAGTGATTAACCACCTCATGTATGCCGATGACCTGGTTGTGCTCAGTCCGTACAGTGCAGGACTTCAGCAGCTCCTCAAGATATGCTCTGAGTACGGTCTTCAAAATGATATAAAATATAACTCTAGTAAAAGCTTCATCATGATTGTGAGGACAAAAAATGACATAAAATCTGTATTTCCTGCATTCTCCCTATGTGGTAATGCTCTAAATGTCAGTGAGGAGGTAAAGTACCTTGGCCATTACATATGCAGTGACCTCACAGACGACCGGGATATACACAGACAGAGATGTAAACTGTATGGCCAATCCAACATGCTGGTCAGAAAGTTTAACATGTGCTCTGTGAATGTTAAAACCTCCCTGTTCCAATCTTTTTGTGCTCCCTTATACACAGCCCAACTATGGCGGAGCTATAAGCAGGCCAGTTTGCAGAAGTTAACTATTGCCTATAATGACTCGATGAGGATGCTGTTGAAGATCCCCAGACACAGTAGTGCGAGTCAGATGTTTGCTGAGTGCAGGGTGCGCTCCTTTCCTGCTGCCCTACGTCACTGCTACTATCGGTTCATGTGTAGAGTGGTGAGGGTGCCTAATGCTATTGTACAGTCACTGGTTTGTCCTTACATTAGCTCAGTCAGGTTCACTTCTTTGCTCTGGAGTCACTGGCGTGCTTCTCTGTATGTGTGACTTGGTCTAAATATGTGAATATGTGATTACTATGTGTGTTTTAACTCTGTTCTGTTATTTTTAAAACTTTTCTTTAATTATTCTTAGCTATGGATCCTGTGCTTGCATGTGAGTCCTTAATAAAGTATAAATAAAGTATAAATAAATAAATAAAAACGACTGCTGCATGTTCAGTCTACATCAGTTCATTAAACAACATAAGAAAAAACAAGTTTACAAGCTCTAAATGTTTTAAAAGAACTGCCTGGGATTGTGTGTGCATAGATGTTCACAGGCAGGATATAACATAAGATTAGATAGACTTTATTAATCTCACAATGGAGAACTGTACATGTCTCATTTGGCATAAAAAGGATCCCTCACGATGTGAAAAATATAGGAAATGCGCAAAAGACAGGAAATGTGCAAACATGTTAAAAAGTGAAAAGATGATCTCTTCTGTGCAAGATATATTATGTATATTAAATTAAAAGTGACTATAGCAGTGTGAGCTTACAGTCCAAGTGCAGGCCATTAAGTGATAATTACATATACAGTATTGGCAATTTAAATCCTATCTCCATCTATCACAGTGGACCTGTGAGCCTTTCTGCTGAAACAAATTCCACTAACTTGTTTTGCGGTTACTGATTTATTATTTTAATCTCCATCATTCTGTAAACAAGCATTTGACAAATGGACATTGTTAAATGTCCCTGCCCGTAGTCAAACATCAAATAACATATTATGTATTTATATATGAGCAATTTTACTTGTGATTAATATAATCAGAGTCTGCAAAACTAAATCCTTAGCATTTCCCTCACCTCACATTCTGCTTATTCTTTCAGATTTCCCAGCATTCAATATCAATTCTAGTTCTGTAGGAGCTTGATTGTGTTCTTTTAAAGTTTACTAAAAGTCACAAACTTACACATGTTTATTTTTATTATGTTTTGTAAATCTGTCCCTCAATGTAATCAAAATATACAGTTAAATCTATTCCTTTTTTTACCTGGAAGAAAATGACAAAAGCCAGTTTGGCAGCCAACATGGACCAGTAGTGCTTGGAGAAGGTGTAGGCATCAGGCGCCCAGGGAGGGTCTCTGTAATCTTTGTACCTGGGGGACACAAACAACATTTCACTTGTAAGTAAGTAAGTAAGTAATCTGTATTTATATACAGCCTTTCACAGACCAGAGTCACAAAACGGTTTACAATGGTTATTTTTGGGCAATCGTCCTCTCACGGAGATGGGAGCGGGGTCGCCAGTACAGGAGGCGCATGCCACAACTATAGTAAATTGTTTTAGTGGTAGGGGAAACCGGAGCACCCGGAGGAAACCTACGCAGACACGGGGAGAACATGCAAACTCCACTCAGAAAGGCCCTGTTCCGACCGGGATTCGAACCCAGGACCTTCTTGCTGAGAAGCGAGAGTGCTATTTTTATATTTCAATTGTATTATATTTACAATATTTCTATTTTTTATTTTGTAATATAATTTGATTGACATCTTGTGGGTATTTTGGATTGAATAAACAGGTCTGAAGCCCCGCTCACCAGACGCGCATTCTCTAGTTTTCAGACGCAGAGGACTTCACACCAGAACGTCCTGACGCGAGCCGGAAGTGCCGGTGTAGCAGGCCAGTTTAACCCCCCGCCAGAATATACCCGGGGTTAAAGTAGCCTAGGCCAGATTACACCCCGGGGTTAAAATAGCCTAGGCCAGAATAAACCCCGGGGTATAAACTGGCCTAGGCTATTTTAACCCCCCATAGGCCAGATTAACCCCCCCTTTCATTTTATATAATAACAATAAAATGTCCATTTTTAAGGAATCCTTCTAATGAAGTGTATTTAAATATAAAACAATATACAGAAAAAAAGGACTGCACTCTGTGCGTTCATCACAGGATTTTATTCAAAAACAACAGTTGACGCATCAGCAGTCACACCGAGGAAGCAAGATGTAACTCTTCCATGATCAAATGAGACGGCAGGAAACACATCGAGCCCAAGAAACTCTTCGACTCCGACACCATTGATATGCACAGTGTAGCAGTGAAGCAGCGGCTGCGGAGTCCGAGACACTGACACGTTTGTCACGTGACCGGTTGTTTTGATACACGCTCCGATGCAGTGTTTTGAAGCAATTTACTTTATATAACAGCAGTATGTGTTCACGGAGGTGACTTTATATAACAGCAGTATGTGTTCAAAGAGGTGACTTTATATAACAGCAGTATGTGTTCACGGAGGTAACTTTATATAACAGCAGTATGTGTTCACAGAGGTGACTTTATATAACAGCAGTGTGTGTTCACAGAGGTGACTTTATATAACAGCAGTATGTGTTCAAAGAGGTGACTTTATATAACAGCAGTATGTGTTCAAAGAGGTGACTTTATATAACAGCAGTATGTGTTCACAGAGGTGACTTTATATAACAGCAGTGTGTGTTCACAGAGGTGACTTTATATAACAGCAGTATGTGTTCAAAGAGGTGACTTTATATAACAGCAGTGTGTGTTCACAGAGGTGACTTTATATAACAGCAGTATGTGTTCAAAGAGGTGACTTTATATAACAGCAGTGTGTGTTCACAGAGGTGACTTTATATAACAGCAGTGTGTGTTCACAGAGGTGACTTTATATAACAGCAGTGTGTGTTCACAGAGGTGACTTTATATAACAGCAGTGTGTGTTCACAGAGGTGACTTTATATAACAGCAGTGTGTGTTCACAGAGGTGACTTTATATAACAGCAGTGTGTGTTCACAGAGGTGACTTTATATAACAGCAGTGTGTGTTCACGGTGACTTTATATAACAGCAGTGTGTGTTCACAGAGGTGACTTTATATAACAGCAGTATGGTGCGCCATAAGTTAATTTAATTATTAAACGGTATTTCCACATCGGCGAACACGCTCGAAGCAGTTGCATAAAGTCACGGGAGCATATGTTCACAAGAACTATGTCCCCCATTGTCAACCCTGGTTTAGTCCTGGTTTAATCCTGGTTTAGTCCTGGTTTAGCTCCTGTTTTGGCTGTTTACAGTATGTTCAGTCTACTCACTCAGACCACTAATGTCCCTGTGACCACTTTGGGCTCTCTGATTGGTCGCTGCACGAGCGTCCCAAGGAAACGCTCAGCAATATTTGCACCTCTGCCGCGCAGTTCATGCGTCTCTGCCGCGCAGTCTGTGCGTGCATCCCGAGATGCACATACATGTCACCATTGACTCTGCATTGAAAGTCGACGCAGCATGATCCGGTGTGAAAGCCCCTTAAGATGAGTCATCACATGAAACATGTGAGAAGTAGGTAGATACATCACAAGCAAAGTGTGAAAAGCAATCACACTTATTCGGGCTGCAGGAATTAATTAACAAACTATACTTCTAAATGATTTTAAATGATTTTGAAGTTTTAAAAATATATTCAATAACGTATATTTTATTATTATTAGATGAAACAAGAGGGGGGTTAATCCGGCCTAAGGGGGGTTAAAATAGCCTAGGCCAGAATAAACCCCAGGGCGTATTCTGGCCTAGGCTTTTTTAACCCCGGGGTGTAAACTGGCCAGGGGGTTAGCGGCTTCTTGTGTACAGATCTTCTCCAATATGCAGCTTTGCAGCGTGTCTTTGCTCACAGACATTCCACGGGCATTCAATAGTAGTATGTGTTCACGGAGGTGCACCATACGTGTTTTCATATTATTAAACGGAATTTCCGCATCGGCGAACACACTCGAAGCAGTTGCATAAGGTCACGGGAGCATGACAACGCATATTTTCACAAGCACACAGTCCCCCATTGTCAATCCTGGTTTGAGTTCTGGTGAAGTCTGGTGTGGGTCCTGTTTTGGCTGTTTACGAGTAATTTCAGTCTGCTCGCTCAGTCCGCTGATGTCCCCGTGACCACTTTGCTGCTCTCTGATTGGTTGTCGCACGAACGTCCCAAGGAAAGGATGAGCAGAATCCATCTCCTGTGGGCGTTGATTTTTCGCTCCTGCTCCTCCCTTTTCACTTTCCCGCCAAGTCCGTGCGTAATTATTGAACAGTCCGTTTGTGCATGCCGAGAGGTCCGTGCGTTGTGACGGTCGAACGCGCGCCACCACAGACTTTGCATTGAAACCCGACGCAACGCACGATCCGGTATGAAAGCACCATAAGGCAAAGTGGGGTTAAATGTCAGTGGGAGTCGGTGGAGAAGGTCTCGTGGCTCAAACCTTCAGGCTCAAAGGCCAATGCTCTACCAACTGGGCCACTGCTACACCCGTATGTGTTTATCATTTTGTATAATTATTTGACTTTGGTGTAAGATGGTGCAATAGCATGAATTCCTGTGTCTGTGTAGGTTTCCTCCGGGTGCTCCGGTTTCCCCTACCACTTGAAAACATGTACAATAGGTCTGAAAGTAATGATTGAGAGAATGGATGCTGTTGGTTGGGGGCTTTGACGTGCCAGTGTGTTTGGCGTCTCGTTTATGTCAACTCCGTGTGTGGAGAGAAAGAAAAAATATCGGAGCTCTGGACATTGTAAAGCGCTTTGGGAGATCTTGGTCTGTAAAATGCACTGTATAAATAACTTACTTACTATTACTTACTTACATTCATAAAACCACTTCAGTCTACTATCCCCTGGGACAAGCTGCTTGCACAGAACAGTCTGACTGAACCTCACCTGCACACAGACACTCCAGAGAGCAGCGTGGATGTGGGGGCTGATCCTCTTGCAAAGTCGCTCACATTAAAGTAGGACAGCGAATGGTTTGTGTATCCAGCCATGGTCCCGTTCACACTGTACATGTACTGGTAGACCATCCGCGGCACAAACTCCGACGTGAAGGAGATGACAAAGGCCTGGGACAGCAGAGAACACAAACTCACTGCATTGTAATGTGAGCTATGTAGATTGTATAGACCAGGACAATTCAACTTGTGGACTATCTAATCCAGCCCTCAGCCCATGTTGCTGGCAAAAATAATCCGATTCTTTTTATATATCAAGCATAGCAGCAATTTTGTTGTCATTTCCAGTGAGAATTTACTGGCATTGTTCCTTTTCCAATTGACATCATATTATTTTAGTTATTTTTTAGATCAAGATTTATTGATCTAAAAATATAAATATATATTTTAACTGGTTTAAGTCCGACAAAGTCCTGGTTTATACCTGGTTGGCAGTAATCCAGTCCTGGTTTTGTACTGTTTGGTATTTAACAAACTAAAATACAGAGGGTGTGACACATAGCAGTGGTCAAGGGAGCCAAAGGGGAGCAATGGCGTCATGAGTGTGATTCCTTTTGCATGTTGTATCTCCTAAAATTAAAGCTGAGGTACCCAACTAAATGTAAGATTCATTTTTTTCGTTTTTTTTGAGTATTTCTGTCCTATGTTTTATAAAAACAAAAGGTAGCATCTTATCGGACATGTTCACAACATTTTACTTTGTCAGGGCTCTTTCTGTTGGGACAAACACAACAATAGAAAACGTTGGAAACCCCAGCTTTAAATGATCATAGTTTAGGATTCACAGCGCACGGTCTACTGAATGTCATATATGCTTACGTTGGTAATCACAGCAAATTTACTAATTCCACACAGAATATGGAACCAAATCCCTGAGATTGCATGAAAAAGAAAATGGGAGATGAAGTTATGTAGAGAAGTAGACAAGAAAAGAAAAGACATTTGTGATTTTCTAAAAAACAAAAAATATTAAATAAAACAATAGAAGGCAATGAAAGGTTAATACAAAATTAAGCTTGCGCACTGCAAAAAATTATAAAATATGAGGTAGTAATGGATTTATCTTTGAGCACATTCAGATTGTCTTAAAAAAAGATTCGCCAATGGGACAAAGCCATTTTGGAGTCACCACTAAAAGCGCGGGACTGGTGCTATGAGACTCTGGTGGCAGCTCTGATTGCCACCCCCCGACCCAGAAATGGATTAATAAAGGGACAATGACATGACACATGACAAAGTCTTATTTCCAGAACTATTACTTAATTTTCTCATTCCAGGGGAGACATGTCTTCTATCTTTTCAAAACAATATAAGTTAGCATGTCCCATTGGCATATCTAGTCTTAAGGGAGCCAAATATGCTCAAATGAAGATACTGTTTTACACATTTTTCGTCACTTTTTGCTGTGTGTCTCTTGTAACCATGCATTAACAGTTTAAAGTGATGCATACCTATGTCTTTACACCTCACCGGGTCGGGCCGGCGGATCTCAGTGACAAACTTGGAGGCGTCCAGTCGGATTTCGATGACGTTGTTGAGCAGAGCGAAGGCTGGAGCCAGAGGGAACGACGCCACGAACAAGGACACAAAACCGAACTGGATAACTGTGGCAAGTTCAACACAACACAAGACAAGTCACACACTGTCGCCACTAAAGACAGAAATAAGCAGTGCAGAGGATGCTTAGGCTTAATATTTGTAGTAAGACGACATCAAATTCAAGCTTCAAATGTAATTTAGGTCACCATTACACAAAGCTTATCCCCTAGCTAGACTCTGAGAATGGGTTTGACTTTTTTTCTTAAAGAGATTGTTCCAAACACTTGGACTTATTATTGGTCCTTATTAACCCCAGAATGTCTGATATGGAAACAATGCTGGGCCCTTGAGAACTAAAATGGTTAGACGTATACCAACCGAGGTATAAATTGCTCCTTAGTTGTCAATAAGGATGTGTCCCGTCACTCAGAGAAGAAAGGGAGAACCGGAGAGCAGGTGTGTTGTCTTTCCCAATTTGTCAAACAAGAAGCTTTATGATTGGCTTAATGAGAACACTTATACATACTCATCTCCATGTACTCCGGTGTCACTCCTTCATACGGCTCCAGGGTGTGGTCCTTGTGATACTGCTGTCTAGGCCGTTTCCCCTCCCCCTCATTCTCCTCTTCCTCTGCTGCTGCTTTCCTCGCTCCCTTCTGTTCCTGGAAGGATCTGTACATCTTCTTCAGTTTACTGTAACAAAATCAGAGACAGACTGCCGTTGTGGTGCTTGCATACAACAACATACTTTAAAGGTCCTATATTATGCTTTTTGACTTTTCTCTGCTTTAAACATGATTACAGTGCTATTTGGCCTTCATATACATGCCCAGAGTAGTTTTTTTATTGATTCTGTCAGGTTTCAGTTAGAGAGTGATCTGTCTCCTTCAACCTCGAGAGGCAGCGAAACGCCCGGGATCTGTGACGATTTAAACATCAATGACAATTATGACACGCACAAGCCCGTTTATTTCTAAAATGGTTTTTAAATAATGTTGTGGGAAAACAATACCAACAAATATGCCAAACATAATGAACATAATAATAATACTAAAATCCAGGAGGTGATTCATGAAACAGTAAATTACAGCGCACAGTCCAGCGTATGTGGTTTGGTCCCGCGTCCCCCACAGGAAGCTATGCTGTTGTTTTGGGTGTAAATATGTGACGCACTATTTGGCCTGAAGAGGAAGAATGCGGATTGACATTTTTCACGTGGATCTGCCTCTGTTTGAATGAATCTGTTCATCTGCAACACTTCACAAAGACTGTTCCAGAACTAGAGGGACAATGGAACTAGACCTACTCAAAAACTGATCTGGAAACCAGTGTTATTCCCACAATAAAAGTCGCTATCTGTAAAATAAATAATTAGGGTCTGATTGTGGATCGAAGACATAGGGCTCAATGTTACGGATTGTCCTTGTTGGAAAAAGTTTATTCTCATGTCTGAAATGACTATGTACCAGAGATAAACAACTCGCATCGTGAGGCTAGGTAACCGTGCGGGCGGGGGGAGGCGGGCTCACAGACAGAGGAGCAGACTTCTCTCTGGATCAGCTCGTTTGAGTCGAGGTGACGTCATCTCTATGTTGTGTATCATTCAAATTACTATCACACATGTGCATAGGATGGACTGTGAAAGAAGAAGAGTGCTATATGGAACCTTTTAAACACAAGAGAGATGTTAAATAAACTTACGGTATCAGGACCTCAAAGATGTTATTCTGGATGAGCTGTTTCCCAAGCATAATCATACTGAGCTGGATGCACAGTTCAATGAGGCAGCCTGGAGGGGCACACTGAAACACAGGAGGCAGCCAGTCACATCTGCTTCTGAATCATGTCAATTCACAATTAGGGTTGTCTAAAATTGAAACTAAAAGTAGTCTGAGCAGGTATTGATACTAATATATGTTATAATCTGAGTGATTCTATCTATGCCAAATGTGACCCTGTAACTTTCTCCACTCAATAAAGTTTATCTTAAAAAAAACTACTCATACAAGACTTGTCAGGTGGTATTTTTTTTTGGAACAAAATATCATGCTTGAACTGAACCAAAACTTGACCAAAAGTAAGAACCACAATTCTTTGTTGTCTGAAGTTATTTCACTGCCAACCAAAAACCCACATTTACAGCTTTTTCCCACATTATCCCTGTTTTCCCTTGTCATGCATAGTTTATTATCATTCTATTATATTACCACTTTGTAACTCCCACCGTTTATAAATATATGAGGTTCTGTCCTCTTTAAGCACAATTAACTACAAACTTCCCACTGGTCAAAAACACAGTTCAGTAACCCAACTCACCTCCTCCATGCGATAATCTCCAAAAGCGTAAACATAGTCACCAGGGCGTCCAGAAAATCTGAAAAGATTGCTCATTGAAAACACCAAATATTGCGATACACGTATTTCTGTAATGTGGAAAATCCCAGCACAAACCTGCCCTTAAAGAAGGCCACATAGAAAATGGGTGCAAATGCATTCATGGATTTGAGGAAAAATGACTTGAAGATTATTCGCTCTTCAAATTCTTCTTTAGTCCTGGGGATTTCTGTGGAAGCAAGAATCCATTGTTTTCCAAGAGGGTTTATCACAAGCTTTTCAACAGCTGACGTTTGAGAAGTAGTCTTCAGCACTAATCTACTCAGGGTGAGCTTTATGTACTACATATATTTGCGCACATGTGCGTACATGCGCGCAATAAGCAAACAAGGTCACAAAACACTCTGGGTTTGTTGCAAGCTTGTGGCAATGTTCATATCAAATCCAAACGTGTATAATCTAGTAGAGGAGATCACAAAATACTTGTCCCATATCCTAGTATTGCGTCACATGCAATCTTACTGCATATGGAAATATACACCATTATCTTTTTGAATAAGTTGTAAAACTGATATGTCTTTGAATTCATAGATTGAACAACAGAATCGGTGGAGAGAATCCATGCCAGTCACAATTACAATATTTATACAGTGGTCCCTTGTTTATCGCAGAGGTTATATTCTAAAATTAACAAGCAAAAACAAGTGTTTTAAGTCTGTAGAACCCCTCACCGCATACCTAATACACAATAGCCGTGTTCACCCTTACGGCAGCGCAGGTATTTATGTGACGTGTCTGTGGAAATTAATTTCCTTCAGGGGACAATAAAAGTCTATCTATCTAATATCTATTACTAGCTTAAAGCTGTCCCACCCATGGGCACAGGGGGCATCCGCGGCACTACAGACAAAATTCACGCGGGCACCCCAAAAGAATCTGCCATAGAACTCAATTTAAACTAAAACAGCCCGACCTCAGCTGACAGAGAACTTGACTCATAAAGGTCAAATTTTGTAAGGATTTTAGTGACTCTTTTTTTCTTGTTAAATCCATTGGTTTTACATAAATCCACAATTTAGTGCAACAAACTCCTGCTCAAGCTCCACTCTAAACAACAGCGCCTGATTGGTCAGAATGCTGCCATGCCCCTTTGTGCATGTGCATGAGAACCACATGCGTGCCCTTGTTAGTATTTAGCCCAAAGCATCATGTGAGCTCGTCCACTACACAGGTTGCGGCACGGAATATTTCCTCACAGGGTTCTCTTTTGACCAAACTTGTGAGCAATGTCCTTGAGTAGGTCCCAGTGGGGGCGGGTCCCAGCTCAAAAGTGGCCAAAATGACGTGCGCTGACATGCCCCCGGGCCAATGGGGGTGGACCCAGAACTTAAGTAGAATTAGCCAATGCCATATTTTAGCATTGGCTAATTCTAGACCTCTGGAAAACGTCTTTACAGGATGGTCCAAAAGTTGGCTCTTGGCCCAAAGCTCCGTTCCACATGTGTGTCAATGCTGAGGGGGGTGAATTTTTTTGGACCACTCTAGTTCATTCGCTGTGAATTTTTGAAGTCTCTCGTTCAAATGAATGGAGTTGCGCCGGCTGACGCATGCGCAGATGCGTTTTTCCACAATTTTCTTGTGGGCGGGACCACTCGCGGCCATTTTGGATTGCTCCAGTGGAGCATTTTTTTGGCCCATTAGTTAGAACGGCTTATTAGATATATATATATATATGTAAAAAAATGTATGTTGTAGCAATATAGTAATTTATGTTGTATTTTTGTTGTATCGTGTGACATCGTACCGAGTTCAGTGAGCCAAACGGCGATGGCCCCGTACACCTCCTCCAGCACCAGGACCACAAGCATGTTGAGCACTATCCCTGTGGTGGTGACGGTAATGCGCACACTGGCTTTGGCCTCGGGGTCCGGATTCATGGACCACACACTCAGCATGCAGATCCGGTACACGGCCACGCCCACCACTGCAGACACCGTCACCACAATCTGCACACAGCACATTCTAATGTAGAATCCTCTCACTACTACACTGCACCTGTGATTCAGCTGGCACATTTACACACTAGCAGCATTTAAATCGTGCCTCACAGCTCATACTATCTATTTGAATTTCCTTCTGGTTATGTCATGCAATATTTTAAAGAAAAATAAAATTTTGTTCCATTTGAAACATAAAATACATTATGCTACATGAATAATACCATTAAAAATATTATTTTCACATTGTCACATTCATAAAAGTCATCGACAGAAGAGTCAAACGGAAATCTCGATACCTCCTTATCATTGTTATAATCCAGATCTGTCTTTTTTCTTTTTCTTTATTACTTACCAAAAATATAACAGTTGACACATTGATGAGGTATCCGCACAGGTGATCTTCAACAGCCAATGTGTCAATTTCTTGCTGTAGAAAGACAAGTCAAATGGTTCGTTAGACAGCTGTAGTGTGTCTCTGAAAGAGGGCCTCCCTCCTTTTAATCGACACCTTTAAGGCAATGCAATTTCATGTGCCATATCATGTTTTGTTATATTTCTGTAGAGTATTGTGTATAAAATATATAGAATGGTGTTAATGATAAGACTCTGTGGGTGAGTCTTAACATTTGACCAGGAACAACTAAGGAAAAGTCTGTGAAATAAAATAAGCACATGAAATATAAAAAAGTTTAAATAGCGTAAATGTAACGCATAACAGGTTAAAGTGATTGTCTGGAGTTTGTCAGAAAAAAGAGAGAGAGATACATGATTTGAAAAGAACAAACCAAGCTCCCTCCCCCTTCCTTTCTGATTGGTCTACGCCTACGTTTCCGTAACAATCAATCAACACATTTAAATGTTAATCTGAGAACACATTATACTTATACATCATGCACAGAGGTTTTCAGAATTACCAAAAATAATGTTTTAATGCACAAAAAAAGTGATCGCGGTAAACCCGGAAGTAGCTATTAACATCAAGTGAACATTATAGGACACATCTGCAGAGGATCTGATTATGGATATAGGTACAGTATATAAATGATTATGGATATAGGTTCAGTATATAAATGATTATGGATATAGGTTCAGTATATAAATGATTATGGATATAGGTTCAGTATATAAATGATTATGGATATAGGTTCAGTATATAAATGATTATGGATATAGGTTCAGTATATAAATGATTATGGACATAGGTTCAGTTTATAAATGATTATGGATATAGGTACAGTTTATAAATGATTATGGATATAGGTTCAGTATATAAATGATTATGGATATAGGTACAGTTTATAATGTTGGGTTTGGGTTTTGCTCTGCCTCCCCCCTCCCTTTCTGTTGTTTTAAAGGCATGTGTGAGACCGGGGGCGTGGCTGGCTCAGCAGCAGGTGTGTGTGGGCTCACACACCTGTTCCTCATAATCACCCTGGCTTCAAGTACCTGGTTGGAACTTCTCGTCGCTGCCAGATTATACTATGTCAGACGTCAGTATACAGCAACAGTCTGAGTTTGTGCTTTGCGGTTTGTCTTATGGTTTTTTTTGTGTCCTGTGTTCAGGTCCTCCTTTTCCTGACCAGCCAGCCAGCTCCCTGTCTCAACCGCCTGCTTTAAGTTTATTCGTTTTGTGAAGTAAATCCTCTTATAATTTCGCTCTGTCTCCGTCTCTGCTTTGGGGTCCAGAACACTCCCATAACATATAAATGATTATGGATATAGGTTCAGTATATAAATTATTATGGACATAGGTTCAGTTTATAAATGATTATGGATATAGGTACAGTTTATAAATGATTATGGATATAGGTACAGTTTATAAATGATTATGGATATAGGTACAGTATTTAAATGATTATGGATATAGGTACAGTATATAAATGATTATGGATATAGGTACAGTATTTAAATTATTATGGATATAGGTACAGTATATAAATGATTATGGATATAGGTACAGTATATAAATGATTATGGATATAGGTTCAGTATATACATGATTATGGATATAGGTTCAGTATATAAATGGGTAACTCAGCGCGGATGATCAGAATTCTTTGTTCAGTTTTCATGTAGTTTCAGAGCCTATGAAGGCTTGATTTGGAGGCTCCATGAAAACAAACAACTGAACATACGCACAGCTACGAGCACAGCCGATGATTGACAGCCCTTGGCATCACTTGATTGGTTAAAGGGCATCGTGGATTTTGAGCTATAGGTAAGAGAAGGGAAGGCGAGACTTACCCGTAATATTTTAATTCATAAAATGACTTATATCAACATTTAAGGCCAGGAGGTCAATTTAATATATATTTTTTTATTCATTTAGAGTTCCAATCACTTTAAACAATTAGTAATCTTTAATGAAACCAACTCAAAATGTTAGCCTAGTTTTTAAAGTCTGGTGAATTACTCCCTGGTACAGGAAGTAGAATTGACTAGAATTATGAGGCTGAAACATTATTTTAATGTCACAGATGAGGGGTTCCATTTTAGAACTATGTTACACTACTACTTGTACAATATGTTTAGGTCTATTCATAAAATAAATCTTGAGCTTTTTGACACAAATTAAGACATAATTGATGTGGAAATATTAGCCAGGACGTCTGTCACTCTAAGAAAAGTCCCCACTTTGGGAAAAGAAGTCATGTCTCACCTGCATTTAAATCATCAGCTGATGTGTTTCTGCTGTGTACAAACATGCACTAAACCCTCATGATTGTGAGCACTCACACATGAATATGGCAGTCCCCCTTCCTCCTCTATCTCTCTGTAACCAGGGCTAATCTCAGCCAGGTAAGCTGCTTTGCACTCAGGAGGATCCACTGCTCTGATAGCCTTCCCAATCAGTAGTAAATACATTGACGTACTGTAGATGTCAGAATTAATACTTAATTTTTAATACTTTTGTTCAGTAAATAACGTTCAATCTAGCACCAAATGTTATTACTTGATTGGTTTTAACTACAATATTTACAAAAATGCAGTTAATATAAATATATATCATATTTCCAAGCCAAATTTTCTGAAATACCTTTTTGATCGGCAAATATAACACAATGGATTTCTGCATCTGTGAGTGATGTCATCAGAGAACATCCTGTAATTTTCAACATACTTTGATACTTTTCTTACATTTAAAACATGTTTATTAATGAAAATATGTTGTACATCTGTGCAATGACAAACTGATTCTGATTTAATCATAAACAATACTAATTTACTTTTACAGCTCTCCAACAACAAATATTTTTGATTGATTGATTTTATAAATTCGATTTTTTTAACATTCCTTAGTTTACATGATCCTTGGTACATGATGCCTACTATGTTTACAGTATATATTTACGCATATAAATAAAGATAAATATTCAAACAGGCAACAGTATTTTCCTTGGTTTCACCTTGTGTTGTATATTTCAATAGGTTTTTACAAATGTATTTCTAAAAACTTGCAGACTCACTTGTTAGGCCCACCCTATATGATAATAGTTCAAATAAATGCATGAATTCAATTATTTAGCATTGAAAAATGATGACAACATTTTTCAATGTTGAGATTGAGAACAATTGTAAAACCATACTCGGCAAACAACTCTGCTATCTTATTAATGCTAACTCCTCACCAAATACTAGAACTAGTCAACTAATGCAAATTATGGTAGAATTAACAAATAAAAAAATTAACTCAAAAAACAACAGCTTTATCTAATGCTCACACTATACCTGAGAGATAAGCATTTGGTCCGTCTCTCCATCCGTCTCGTCTGTGCTTTTCGCCTGCTGCAGATTCAAAACAATAATTATGACCCATTAAAACAAACCCAATCCAACATCTATGATCAGTAAGGGTCAGAAATGTGTTAAAGTGCTTTTGCATCTTATAGTTGTTGTAAAGCTACGTCTAGAATTATGTATTGTATGGACACCTGGAATTTCTCCTACAAGGATCAATAAAGTATCTATCTATCTTTTAATAGAGCTCACACCGACCTTCTTTGTGTTCTGTGCCTTCATCTTTTCTCTTTTCTCCTGCAAAGCCGACTCATACTCGGGCCTCAGCTCCTCCTGTCACACAAGAGCAGTGATAAAAGGCTCTGTTCAGCATTATTCCCAAACTGTCTTTTCCTTAGCACTTAAACTTTGAAAAACAAAAATATATAAATAGCATTTTTATCATATACATACTATATCAGCAGCACACATTTGACAAATGTCATCATTTGGAGCATTTGATCCCACAAAATTTAGCATTCACGGTAGAATCGAACATTACATTTTCCTAATGAATGAAACAGATGCATAGGCACTGTGTACTTTATCACAATGATCAAAATATAAGAAAATCATGGCTTTGCGCACCTCGGACCATATACTGTTTGGGGGTAAACAAATTGATATTACATACTCCTGAAACAATTTTATATTAGTAGCTTTCAACATTATCATTAATTTTCAGCATTGAGCTACTAGTAGCATATGGGTTACTTTGCCATCATTTTAAAGCTAAGAAAACAACTATAGAATTCAATCCATTCAAAAATGTTAAACCCAACGAGCATTCGAAATATCTACTAGAAATGGATATTCAATATACTCATATCAAACAAAAGTGCCAAAATGCTTAATGATGTAAAACAAATAATTATATCAAAAGAAAACCACTGTTATACACTGATAAACATGTGGATGAACGTCTACTTTGTTACTTTTGCTCTGTGTGTTTTGTTGACAGGCTTACAGAGGATACATACCTGCACACGCTCCTGTAGCCGGCAGCATTAACGAGCACACACACAAATAGAAGACAAGTCAAAGATCAGTGAGCTGAAGGATATTAGCTGTAGTGTTTTCAGAATCGGTTTATCCCATTAAGGGTCCTCCCGAAGCCGCTTGAGTATTTGTGTTTGTCTATAAGAGGCAATGTATATACAGTCCCTTGCGAAAGTATGAACCTTTCAACATTTCGCCACATTTCAGGCTTCAAACATAAAGATATAAAAATGTAATTTTTTGTCAAGAATTAACAACAAGTGGGACACAATCGTGAAGTGGAACGACATTTATTGGATAATTTAAACTTTTTTAACAAATAAAAAATTGAAAAGTGGGGCGTGCAATATTATTCGGCCCCCTTGCGCTAATACTTTGTAGCGCCATCTTTTGCTGCAATTACAGCTGCAAGTCGCTTGGGGTATGTCTCTATTAGTTTTGCACATCGAGAGACTGGAATTCTTGCCCATTCTTCCTTGCAAAACAGCTCGAGCTCAGTGAGGTTGGATGGAGAGCGTTTGTGAACATCAGTCTTCAGCTCTTTCCACAGATTCTCGATTGGATTCAGGTCTGGACTTTGACTTGGCCATTCTAACACCTGGATACGTCTATTTGTGAACCATTCCATTGTAGATTTGGCTTTATGTTTTGGATCATTGTCCTGTTGGAAGATAAATGTCCGTCCCAGTCTCAGGTCTTTTGCAGACTCCAACAGGTTTTCTTCCAGAATGATCCTGTATTTGGCTCCATCCATCTTCCGATCAATTTTAGCCATCTTCCCTGTCCCTGCTGAAGAAAAGCAGGCCCAAAGCATGATGCTGCCACCACCATGTTTGACAGTGGGGATGGTGTGTTCAGGGTGATGAGCTGTGTTGCTGTTACACCAAACATATCGTTTTGCATTGTGGCCAAAAAGTTCGATTTTGGTTTCATCTGACCAGAGCACCTTCTTCCACATGTTTGGTGTGTCTCCCAGGTGGCTTGTGGCAAACTTTAAACAAGACTTTTTATGGATATCTTTGAGAAATGGCTTTCTTCTTGCCACTCTTCCATAAAGGCCAGATTTGTGCAGTGCACGACTGATTGTTGCCCTTTGGACAGACTCTCCCACCTCAGCTGTAGTTATCTGCAGTTCATCCAGAGTGATCATGGGCCTCTTGACTGCATCTCTGATCAGTCTTCTCCTTGTTTGAGATGAAAGTTTGGAGGGAAGACCGGGTCTTGGTAGATTTGCAGTGCTCTGATACTCCTTCCATTTCAATATAATTATTTGCACAGTGCTCCTTGAGATGTTTAAAGCTTGGGAAATCTTTTTGTATCCAAATCCGGATTTAAACTTCTCCACAACAGTATCTCGGACCTGCCTGGTGTGTTCCTTTGTCTTCATGGTTCTCTCTGCGCTTTAAACAGAACCCTGAGACTATCAAAGAGCAGGTGCATTTATACGGAGACTTGATTACACACAGGTGCATTCTATTTATCATCATCAGTCATTTAGGACAACATTGGATCATTCAAAGATCCTCACTGAACTTCTGGACTGAGTTTGCTGCACTGAAAGTAAAGGGGCCGAATAATATTGCACGCCCCACTTTTCAGTTTTTTATTTGTTAAAAAAGTTTAAATTATCCAATAAATTTCGTTCCACTTCACGATTGTGTCCCACTTGTTGTTGATTCATGACAAAAAATTTAAATTTTATATCTTTATGTTTGAAGCCTGAAATGTGGCGTAATGTTGAAAGGTTCAAGGGGGCCAAATACTTTCGCAAGGCACTGTAGATATGACACATACCATCATGTTTTAGACTTTAGAACCACAGACTCACGTTCAGAATAAGACCATATATGTTTGCATTTGATTGAAGACACTCACCATTTCTCTCAAACTCGACATCTGGAGCAGGGACATAGAGTTGAGGCTTCTCTCTCTCGGTGTTGTGGGTATTGACGTGTTAGCTGATGTCCGTGAAAATAATCCATGTTGTCAAACCACCTCCAGACTTTTTGATTCTGTCCACTTTTACTGCTGTTATCTTTCATTTCACAGTAGTCACTTTTACGCTTCTTAAATTTTCTCTGCACTGCGATGTCCGTGATATCCATTCCTTCGTCCCCAGCGCTATCGTCGCTAACACTTATTTACACTCATTCGGGTGGCACCATCGAGCTCAAACTGAAGGTGTTGCCTGCATCCGCAAACCGGGTCGAGACGGGTCAAACCACAGATCCATGAGTCCAGCCCGGGGAAACGGCCCTAATGTCCGCAAATGTTCATTTCTTGGAGATTGCTCCTCATCTGAACTGACGTCCGAGTCCTCAAAATCAGAATTACTGTCATAACAAGTGGGCAAGGGCTCATAAAGAGCCCTCGCCTTATATTGTCCATCACTAAATAACAAATATCTGTTTAAAACGTCCGCATAAATACAGTCTATGGTTATGGCTTGGCAAATAGCATATCAAAAAAGCCCAAAGACCCCTACGTGTACGTCACTTCCAATAATTATTCATAGAAACCGCGAAGGGTGAAACTATCTGTCAAAATTAGTTTTATCTAACACAAAAAAGACCACAATATACCAACAAAATAACAATAGGTCCCTTTTAAGATCCAGCCTGCAGAGTGGGACAGCTCAGATACGCTGCTCAGAGGGGGCTCTCTTTCACACGAAAGATGAATTCTTTGCCTGATCTGACCCTCACCTCCCTGCTGCTCCTCGCACGTAAATTTGGACATGCGCAGTGGCCGAGAGCAAACGTAAACAATAATGGCGGCGGGTTCTACTCCTTCGTTCGTTCAAACGAAACCACACAAAGCTCTAGGTTCAGTTTCCATTTTTGCAACTGCTGTTAAATGCATCATTTCACGTCTTGCAGAGGAAGTGAGTATACTGCTGAAGCACGACACACGCGTGTAAAGTTCCTCTGCCCACTACTGGCCGGGAGCTAGAACTACATCGTTTGTGATCCTTGTATGGACGCAGTGAAATTTTTTATAAGGAGCCTGGTCGTTTCTGTTAATAGCTTGGCAACGTCTGCGCAGCGCCTCCGTCTAAACTGGGCCTGTGTGTGTTCATGATTTATGCAGTTAAATACCTGGAACAGTCTTCCTAAAAATCTGACCATTTTTAAATCCAGGTTAAAGACGGTTCTGTTTGCCTGTGCAAACAACTGAAGCTTTTTAAGCAAGCACAGTGATTCAGATCACCACTCAACATGAAGCCCTTGATCTGGGCAATTGTGCAAGTTAAGTGCAAGTCGTCCCACAGTGAGGAAATGTCAATGTTGCGGAACACAAGACAGTAGTAGGAGCATACAGGGAGCACACAAAATATATGTTAAAATTATCTTTTGTTTCTCTCTGTTCCTTTTGCACAGAACTGGGAAAAAAGCTTTGCATACTCAGCTCCTTGTGTTGCAAAAAGACTAGAAATTAACTGAACTTATTTCATTGAAAGCTTTTAGGTCAAGATTCAGTACACTTGAGACACCCTCATTGTAAGTAAGTAGTAGTAAGTAAGTATTTATTTATATACCGCCTTTTCACTGCAGATCTGAGTCTCAAAGCGGTTTACAATTGTTAATTTTTTGTGCATTAGTCTCTCACTCCACATAGAGATGGGAGCGGGGTCGCCAGTACAGGAGGCGCATGCTAGAACTATTGGACATATTTTTAGTGGTAGGGGAAACCGGAGTACCCGGAGGAAACCTACGCAGACACGGGGAGAACATGCAAACTCCACTCAGAAAGGCCCTGGTCCGACCGGGATTCGAACCCAGGACCTTCTTGCTGAGAGGCGAGAGTGCTATCCACTCAGCCACCGTGCCGCCCATTGTAACTGTAACTTGTGCTGCCTCTAGTCCAGGACTCCCTGAAAAAGAAGCTATTAATCTCAATGGGACTTTCCTGGTTAAATAATGTTATAAAAAAATTGTTTATAAAAAATGTTATAAAAAAATGTTTAAAAAAACAGCCAAACTCCAAGTGATCCACTTGTAAAAACAAAGAACCCAGAAAGTTACTATTCAACACTTTGGGCTGAGGGTGAGGTCCTCTCAGTTTCAAAGCCAGCATGTTGTGGTTAGATTTGTTCAAAAACTTCAAGTGTATTTTCCGTAAAAAGTGCAGAGGCCTGTGTGAGCCCGTGTCAGCTCACCTCATCGTCCTGCATACTGGTCAGGTCCCATGCGTGTTTCAGGTACATTTGACGCCTTTTCCAGTGCTCCAAGAAACAAGCGGCTAAAGGAAAAACAAGATTAATTACAATATTGTTTGTTTTAACTGTGACCTTTAGCAGCAGACCAAAACAATACAACACAAGCTAGTATGAGACAAAAACACTCATTTGTAATCATCGCTAATGAAAAACCTCATGTCAAATATTTGCACTTACAATGAAATCACAAAACAGTCTATTTGATCATCAATGGACTACCATTTAGGGCTGCAAGACTAATTGGAATCAAAAAGAAAATACAAATTGATGATTCAATATAAGGAAATAAAAAAAAAATAAAAAAATAAATGTTATAAGATCTGAAATGTGATCTGAAATGTTTTTCATATAGTAATAGTATAAGAGTATTTATTAATAGTATACATGGAATTGTATACATTGTTTCACTTTGCCAGCAAGCACATATTTTGGATAACCTTTCCAAGTGTAGAACTGGTATGGGCTAGATGTATACTGACTGACATATTTCCAGTTGTGAAAAAAAAACCCCAGACAAAACAGTCGATGCACATGTTAAATGTGTGGCTACATGTGAAATAAGTTTTAGACCTAGGCTCAATTTTTTTTGCCCAAATTTGAGTTGTTTGACAATTGACAGAAAATACAGTGTCTTACATTTATTGCTATCGAGAAACAGACGGTAATGATCATTTTTATGATTGGCTACCTTGGTTTTTGTCTGCCCCCGCAATGTCAGTGTTCTAGAACCAAGCCTGCTAAGCCAAGGCCCCTTCACGGTACTGACCGGGCGGTGCTTTCACAAGCAGGTTTGGGCATTTAATCCAAGTAGTAGAGAGATATCACTCATTTTTAAACATATGGCAAATCTTAACATAAGTAGTAAATCTGAAGCCAATTCAATATTTGGCTTTGGATTAACTCTTTAATGGCTTCCTTTTTGTAGATCACTTTTTGAGTCACTAAACCTACTTTAAACTTGGAACTGAAATCTACCTCTTTGGGGCATCTCACTTGGTTTTAGGCACTTTTAGCTGCAAACTGACTCTCAACCATTTGGTAGAGGCCTATAGATAAAAAATAGAGGTTCAAAAGTAATTATTTGTGTTATTAGTGCTCCCACATCTTAGAAACCCAAACAAAATTTGTTGCATGGTGTGGGAAATATGGACTACCGGAGCTGGAGGATTACCTATTGTCCATGTTTTTAGTAGTAAGGGACACCGGAGAATCCGGAGGAAACCTACCCAGACATTGGGCAGAAAATGCAGACTCCACTCAGAAAGACCCTGTTCTGACTGGGATTCGAACCAAGGACCTTCTTGCTTAGAAGCGAGAGTGCTATCCATTACAATGTAAAGCTGGAGCTTACCCCACAAAGACATGAAGATGGCGAACAGCACAGTGGCTCCGTTGTCAAACAGATACGTGGCTTTGGCCAAAGAGCAGACAGAGCTGAGCTGCCAGTAATCACACACTCGATCACACAAGGGACACATGGTGATGTTGAGGCGCTCGTCACAGGTCTCCTCACTGCCACAGAGCACACACACATAACAGTGCTAACATTGCTAGCAATGCTTCTATTAATCAATAATCCTATTTTAAATGACATTGTGAAATACTTGAAATCAAGGTCTAATATGAAACAGTAGTTAGTTTAGTTGAATATCCACAAGTATTTTTCAAAGATATGTATACATTGTATGTAATAAAAAGGAGCTTGTAGTATATTAAGGATCTCCCCGAGGTTTCTCACTTTTTTCCCACTGGTTTTTTTTTTTTTAAAGAGTTTTTCCTTGCCGATGCAGGAGGGTCTGTTGGGCAGTTAGTGTCCAACTAGAAGGACTGTGGTGATGATCCAGGACACATTAACTTTCTACAACATTTATGGACATTTATCAACATGTGTTCTATATTCTTTTTGTGTTTTAACTGTTGATTCTCTGATCTGTGTTGGTGATTGAATGGTTTTGTTAAGTCTCTGAGACGACTTCTGTTGTGATTTAGGGCTATACAAGAATAAATTGTAATTGTATTGTATTGTAGTGAGCTTCCCCCATTTGAAAGACTGTTCTCATATAAAAACTTTGATAAAATCGAGATTATGTTTTTGTCATATCATCAAGCCTTATTTCTATGTTGTGTCGCACTTTACATGTTTTTGCCAAATACTGTATTTGTATTTGAACTTTGTGTTGCACCTTATACCAGTAATGTGCACTTTCTCTATTTGCTGCAAACTGTTAATTATATTGTATCTGGTACATTGTGACTTGTGACTGTCACTACGTTGGTAACTTAAACTTTTCTTTAAACTGTAATTTAATATGTATGTTATATTATTGTATTGCCGCTATCTGATTAAGTTCAGATGGCGGCTGCAACTTTTGCTTGGATTAAACTGAAATTGGACTAAAGCTAAAGAAGGCTAAATATTGTGGACAGATTAATGTTTTTATTAATATAATTATTATGCCATCATCTCACTCATGAAGTTGCAAACCTTTGGGTATTGATTCCCATTTACTTAAATAGACTGTAGACGGTATACATTTTGTGAATGGTAAAAGTCTGAGGGCCAAACAGAAAAGGTCATTCGGCCAGGGGCCACATTTTTCCCTGCTTTAATTGAACACATACTTGTGCATTATATTACTTTGTCCATATGAAATGAGTGATTCTAAGAACACAGCTTGTTTCTGGACTTTCAAAGCACCTGTTCTCTGTGAACATGTTCCACTCAGGAAATACTTCCTATTAGGTTCTTGGCATAAATTAATGTGCAGTTGTGCTCGTTAAACTACTAGGGAAAGGACAGGCGTAAAAACGGTGCGCAGAATAAAGCAGACACAAGAAAAACATAATTGCATGGTTAAACCTGGGATTTTCTGCTCTTTTCATTAATATATTACTCACTTTGAAACCGAAACAAACAACCGGCACAGAAAAGCAGATATCAAAAAAGATATCAAAACCTGCACCCGCAAAATAAAAATCAAATGATACCAAGCCCTACATTTAACCGATTTAAAACTACTGTAAATCTATATAATATTAATGTAACATTTGTATAACCTTCACTTACAAATGTCTTTCAGTCCTGCAATTGTCTATAGGCTCTGCGAGAACAATCCAGTCCAAAACCTAGTCTAATCACTTGTAATTCCTACCAGGATTGAGACATACTGTTGTATTCCATCTTTATTTATTGCAAACACTTCTTTTAGGCAAATATTTATTAATTATTTACAAAATTCATTTGGATTGGATTTTTCTATGCATCTCCTGCTGGACACAGACAGGATCATAAAGCAGAGGTGGACGAATGGAGGACAGAGAGCATGTATGAGTAATTTATGATAAATGCTGTTGTGTTACCTGGGGATGTTGGAGTCCACCGTGAAGACGCCGTATAAGAAGACCATGATGCTCAACAGAGAGGGAGGGATAAGAAGCTGAGTGTAAACGCCCAGCCAGGCAAAGTACAGGCCTATCTGCTCACCAAAGTACTTTCTGTGGAAGACACATTTCCAGACATAGTTCAACAATTTTAATACTGTAAAAAGTTAAGCACGTGTGGAATGATTTTATTTTATATATTTGTATAATTGATTTATATTAAATAAGAGTACTTCTTTCTGAAATTACTGCGATTTTGAGCATATTAGGATTAAGAGATCCTTTATTTGTCCCACAGTGTTGCATCACCGGTTACAGAGCAGAAGGAATGAGGAGGAGCACACAGCACAATATAAATAAACAATAACTCTATACTAGGGATGTAAAAAACAACAAATTTTCATGACCGATCACTGAGCCTCATTAACCGGTTGAAACCAGTTAACAGCGTAGTTTAAAATATTCCACGTTATTTGAAATAACAGCCATTTCGAGGCACGCACTTTTCATAAGTGCAGCTATAGGTTCTACTGGGTCAGAGCCGAGCAGAGCGATACCCGCAACAGTTTTGGCACCTTTGCGCACACAGAACTGCTTTTTTTAATCTTCCTATTAGTACTCTATACTAAATAAAATAAAATATCTAAAGAATAAAAATAAAAAGAAGCAGTGCAAATGTTCAACAGGCCAACATTAGAATAGGTTCAGAAAAGCAACATTTCAGTAAGTTCAGAAAGCAAAATACTGATTTTTTTTTTTTGCCTGTATATACAATGGGGTAGACGGCTTAATTTCCTTAAAATATGAAGTACCTGATCAGATCCACTGGCTGGTATTTGTGCATGACTCCATAGTTGGCCCATTCTTCATGTAAAATCTGGGAGACAAACAGACCAAACACAGACCATGTTCTTTACAAGGATTTATTAATAATGATGCATCAGTTATATACAAATATATGATTTAAGATAACATAAGATAGACCATTACTCGTCCCATTGTAAGAAGGGAGAAAATAAGAGCACTCAGATTGCACACATCAAACAGGATCTATTATTTAAGATAATAGATAATAAAATGTAATAAAATACTAAGCAATAACATAATAAAATTAAAGCCTCAAGCGGCGTCAAACGGCCCTCCCCGCCCTGCACCGCGCGCACTCCCCGCCCTGCGTGCGCACCGCCCCAAGCCGCAACGCGCCGCCCCACAACGCCCCGCACTACGCCGCACCACACTGTACCACGCAGCAACGCGCAAAGGAGGTGGCGCCGCCGTGTGCTGATTTGTTCCCGTAGCCATAGAAGAATGTTTGTCAAATTGTAATGAATATGATAAGTAGAGCTGGTTTGGCTCCCCATGTAAAACTTTGTCTCAGTCTGTAGGGGGCGCTAATGGGCCAATTTCAAATATTTCACTTTCAAATGACCTAAACCCTGGATTCAAGTTTTGTGCTCAGACTTTGTTTGTGCAAATTGGAGCAAATTTTATGTTGTCCAAAATGGCCAAAAAAAATTCTCATTTTGCCGCTCCGCTGCTCAAACAACGTTTCACTGATCAAAATTCCCTGAAGTCATTTTGATGGTACATGTGTTGAGATTGATGTGGAACGATTTTGAGGCCAATCGGTGTAACAGCCGAGGAGGAGTCGCTTTCCAACCGACATGTATGAAAATTATTGCTATTCCTTTTTCCATTTTGCAGTGAAATTCATGGGCTTCCTGTTTGTCAGAGGGCGGGGCCATAATAAAAAAATGTTCATGTCTTGACTTGAGGAATATGTGTACCAAATTTAATGGCTCTACGACAAACTTGACCTTTGAAAACTCCCATAAGGATATTAAATTGGCTGTTGGAGGTGGCGCTAATGAGCCAATTTCAAATGTTTTACTTTCAACTGACCTAGACCCTAAAGTTGAGCCATGGATTCAAGTTTTGTGCAAATCTGACTTTGTTTGTGCAAACGGAAGCAATTTTTCTATTATTATGGCGGGGCCATAATAATATTTTTTTCATGTCTTGACTTGATGAACATGTGTACCGAATTTCATGGCTCTACGACAAACTTGACCTCTGATTTCCCATTGGCTGTTGTAGGTGGCGCTGTTCTGGCATTTTTTGAGTCCCATAAAAATAAACACCAAAATATCAAATTTTTCGCTAGTTCTGATTTTTGGGCAAATGCATGTTCAGGGGGTCAAACTAAGGCTCAAAGTGCAGAAGAAAAAAGAAAGAAAGAAATTAAAGCCGCAAGCGGCGTCGAACGGCCCTCGCCACACTGCGCAACCCCCTGCCCCGCGCGACCCCCGCTCCGCGCAACTTCCCGCCCCCTACGACACATAAAATCCGTGAGCGTGTCCATATATATACAGTCTCCATTGGATGACCATGTGACACGCCATCTTCCTAAAGCCCTGATGGGAGCGACACTGTGTATTTTGAATGTCTATGATCAATGATTGTGTGTCTCTATTGAAAAACTGAACCTTATTCTCCCCATGTAACACTGGACTCAGTCTGTAGAGGGCGCTTATGCAGCAATTTCATGTTTTACACTTTCAGTTTACCCAAGCTCGAGAGTTGAACTATAAAATAAAATTTTGAGCAAATCAGACTTTGCATGTGCAAACATCGGTCATTTACTTTAAATAATAGCGCCCCCTACAAAAACTTTTTTTTAGTCTTAAACCAAAGACATCAAAATAATTCATTTGTTGCCAGAAAAAATATATTTATAAAAGAATATGGTGAGTTTTCATGCATGCTCAGTGGGTCAAATACTGTATGAGATAAAACAACAGAAAAACTAAATGCGCTGTGTCCCCTATGTAAAAGTTTTACTCAGCCTGTAGGGGGCGCTAATGGGACAATGTATTTGTTCACACTTTCAGGCGACCTAGGCCCAGGACTTGAACAACTGTGTCAAGTTTAGTGACAATCAGACTTAGTAAATGCCATTCTCACCCATGTAAAACTTGACTCAGTCTGTAGGGGGCGCTAATGCTGCAATTTAATGTTTAAGTTTACCCAAACCCAAAAGTTGAACAACCGATTCAAATTTGGTGCAAATCGGACTTGGTTTGTGCAAAAGGGTGATGTGTTTCTATCGTCAAAATGGGGAAAAAAGTCACATTTTGCCGCTCCGCTGATCAAACAACGTTTCACTGATCAAAATTCCCTGAAGTCATTTTGATGGTACATGTGTTGAGATGATGTGGAGCAATTTTCGGCCAAATCATATAAAAATAAACACCAAAATATCACATTTTTCAGCAGGTCTGATTTGTGGGCAAAATTTAACAACTTTTCCTGCATGTTCAGGGGGTGAAATAAAGGCTCAAAGTGCAGAATTTGACATCTCTCGAGCAAAAACAATAGGCCCTTTCCCCGTTCAGGGCTCGGGCCTAATAAGGATTTTTTTTTTCGACGTCTCGAGCAAAAACAATATAGATTTCAATGGCACGTGATAAATCATTTTAAAGCGTTTGAGTTTAGCCTTTGCCGCACAGTCCGTGCGTCTCTACCGCGCTGTCCGTGCGTGCATCCCGAGACGCACATGCAGTTCCACGCTTGAACGCGCGTCACCATTGACTTTGAATTGAAAGTCGACGCAACGCATGGTCCGGTCTAAACGCGGCATAAGAAGGACAAGGGCCAGTGAGTCACTATTTGAGAGATAATGATAGAGAGCTGATTGGCTGAGTGAGGGTGGTTTTCTCTGTTTCTCTTTTCTGTCTGAAAAATCTTATCTGAAGATGTGACAGTGGCCAAAAATACAGAAGAATAGAATATTGGTGTTAAAAATCTGCAAACATGTTTCTTATAATCAATCAAATGCTCAAAGTAATAATGATCTACAGGTGTCATGGATTGTCACTATACAGCAGTGGTCTTCATCTCACCTGCCTATCATTGCGTTGGTCCCTCCGACCCCTCCTTGTGAATGAACCCTGAGAAGTACAATACTGTCATGCAAAAATAACATTTTGTTAGATGAGTTTGTTGAGTTTCCTACACTTACGTCATGTAGAGGGAAGGCAGATTCATACACTCCTCGAGCCAGTAATGACTGGATACCTTACAAGATAAAAGCAAGGCATTTAAGAGGGATTTGAAATGCTTCAACAGTAAGAGGCTTCATGCTTACCAGTGGTTTGGCAAGTTTTTGTACAAGTAATACGTGAAATGATCTCAGCAACCTTGGAAAAAGGGATGCAACAGCATGTTATTACATAACATGTTGGAGGAAACAAAGACTTATTTGAAGACAGAACGCACTATTCGGCTGCGTGTGGCGTTATCAAACAGCGTCTCTGTGGATTTGATGTCGTACCTGCACCAGAGGACACACAGAACAAGTCAATGATAGTGTATGACACTCTGAAGAATTATATTCAACATTTGTTCATCTCAATTGGAATAACATTTAGATTCACTCAGTTGCCCCTCCACAGGTCCTCTGCCTTTTTTTTTTTTTTGCTGAACTCTTGGACATGTGAAATATTATATATTATATTAGATTTCCCTCTTACTTATTGCCAAATCAAACATTCTGGGAGGAATCAGGTCCAGTTTGAACTCCAAAAACAGAAAATTACTTCACAGTGAATCATGATTTCACATGTATTCTTTCCCCTCAGCTGTGAAAGGGCAAGTGTTCAAACACATACAAAAGTATTTATGTCTAGATTTGTCCCACTACAACCAGTCAGAGGATTCGTCATGACCACAACCATCGTCTTTTCTTCTAGTACTCGATTTGACCACTGATGTATGAGTCACGTATTTTGAGTAATTTATGTGGCCAATCTTATCCAATGTTGTGATTATTTTATTCTACAAGAAAATAATGTGGTTTCAAGCACATTCTTGTGAAGTGTGGAGGAACTAAGCAAGAGTCTTTCATAACAATATAAAGGAAATTAATTATGATAAGCAATACAATGATTGATGCCTTCATTCGAAATTAATGAGAAACTCTGTAAGATATTTATCTGTTTCAGAAACATGTCCACTCTCCACAGAGACAAATGGGATTCAAATTTTAAAGCTAACATACTTCTCTGTGATCTTAATTCAACACATGGACAAATCATGGGGAACTGTTCCAGATTGTCTTCAAGAGGAGGCTCTAAGGAGGGACAAGGACTCCCTGGAGGAACTAAATCTCTCAGCTGGCCTGAGAACACCTCAGGATTTCCCTAGATGAGCTGGAGATAGTCTACGTGGAAGGATTTTTGTATCAGTGGCATAATAGTTTCAATATTATCATTTATGATAATTATTATTTATGTGATCATGCTGGAGGTTCTGAGTAGGAGTGTGACAGTATATCGATATGGTGTTGTATCGTGATACTTTCTCAAGCAATCGATTGTCAATATGCTTTTGATAAGTATTGATTTTTTTTTTTCATTTTGTCCTTTTTCAATTATGTTTTCCTTTTTTCATTTTTCAATTATTTTTTTTTTTCAAGCTTTGAAAAAAACTAAATATTGATTCTTACTATATGGCTACATTACACATTCTACAATTTCTGTAGAATGTTCCTATTGATTTTATTCAATGTAAGACTTTTATTAAATTGTGCAGTTTAAAAGGCTTTTTTGCTTGTTCACTTTACAGTAGCAGTATGTAATATTTGCATGTCAAGTCATCATTAAATGGCCCCCATATTTCAAAAGGCATTATTAAATCATGCTGTTTTCGAATACATCTTTAACTGATAACAGTAGTTCATCCGAGATATTTGATTATCAAAATGATTTTTACAACCCGTAAAAGTTGTTATTGTTTTGATTTTGATGTCCTACCCTCCGCCGTTTCGCCAATCAGGAAGTGTCATGTAAACTCCGTGCGGCTCACTAATCTCAGTGGTAAAATAACATGTGGCCACAGAACTAAAAAAGGTCTTGTTATGACTCTCAAATAATTAATGACAAAACAAAGACTAAAACAAGGATTTATATCGGGACGCCTTTGAACAATTGAGACAGCTGATAAAAGTTTACGTGTGATGCAAAATTTGCTGGTTTGACTCCGTTCTTCAGAATATTGTTTACAGCGCGAATCGGTGGTCTTGTGATTAAAACTACGAGCTCACAATGCAGCAATCCGGGTTTGATTCCGGGCAGAGCCTTTTTGTATTTAATTGCATGTTATCACATTCTATGACAGATTGCTCTAAATACGGTAAGACAAGGCAAGGCAAGTTTATTTGTATAGCACAATTCATACACAAGGCAATTCAAGGTGCTGAACAAAACAAGAAAGCATTAAAATCATAAATAATCACAGAACATTAAAAAGGAAGATAAAAATATAAAATCCCTCAGTTGTATGCACAGCTAAACAGAACCGTTTTTAAACATTGTCAGAGAGGAGGCCTGTCTCACATCTTCAGGAAGATTGTTCCAGATTTTAAAAAAAGACGAAGGTCAAGACGTTTTTTTGCAGATTATAGCTTAATTATAAAAAGAATCATTTGAGACCACATTTACCCCAATTAAAATAATGTTAGTCTCTTTTTGATTTGGGACTTATACATGTTTGTCTAAAAAATAGGGAATAAATAAAATGTAAAGGTGATACCCTGATGTTGATACGCTGAAGAAATACGTTCAAACATCCATTCTTCCCACTCCTATTTTGGACATCAATTGCTTATTTATTTTGTATAATCTATAATTACATTGCTTTTATTTTGTTTTTTATCTCATATGTCCAAATAAAAAAAAAAAACATGAAACATTCATTCAATATTAGCATGCCTCATGGTAATGTGAATGGAGACAGACAAACAACTGATAAAATAATTCCCTTTGTTTGCTGCTGGATTTGGTGTGTATCTGGCAACCTGAGTATTTTTGACCAATATATTGATAATCGCTGCATTGTCATATCGTGAGATAATTGTTATTGTGAGCTTTATATCGCGCATAGTATCGTATCGTGAGGTACCCTAAGGTTCCCACCCCTAGTTCTGAGCGTACATGCAAGACACACGGCCTCTTCATAAACTGAGCATGAGACAAACTCACAAGAACACTTGCAGAACGGGACAGATGTTCTAACATGCAAACAATATTAAGAGCACTCACAAGTGGAGCTTGTCCCTGATGAAGGCGTATTTGAGGGTCTTGAAGCGCATGCGGGTCTGGGGGTCCTTCTGGATCTCCAGCTCAGGGACGTCTGGTTGGAATGGAGTGCTAATTGTGGCCAAAGTGTAATCCCACATGCCAGCGATGCCTGTTCGCTTACGCAAGTCACACCTCTGCTCAAGAAAAGAACACACAAAACACTGTAACAAATGATTGTTGACGAGAGAGCATCATATTACGCCAACATTGTAAAAAATTGCTTTAAAAAGACATAAATAAGGCATACACCTTTTTGACAGCTACTTTAATCTTTTGAAGCTCTGCCTCTCGACTGAGGATGGGCCAGGGGATGTGCAGCCGAAGGAACCGAATGCCATGCACTCTCTGGCGAATGAAAGAAAGAATATAATCACATTTGGAAGATGGCCACCCTTTCAAGAAAACAAAAACCCCTAAAGCCAAACTCTGTGAAAGCTGTAGCTACTGCCAGCCAGTTTGAGGTCACATACTAAATTTTCTGAAATTGGTGTTGCAGTTTGATTTAGCCAAACAGTGTAGGTACATGTGATGGAACCATATGCTCTGATTTTGGTCTCAAGTAACCATGGAAACCAAACACTACTGGACGAAGTGAAGAGTTGACCAGAAAGTAAATACCATGTGTGATTTGTTGATATATATGTGCAGCTTTAGCCATATGTCTGTGTTTATACTTAACAGACTTTACTCGTGTTTTCTTGAGTCTCAGTTTATCAATTGTGACGTGATGTACCTACTTCAAGTAGTATTCTAATGTCAAATGTTTGGTTTTGCTGCTAATTTATAGTTAAAAGTTCATTCTATTGCTAGTTTATTATTAGTTACGTGACGTCTATTGTGCATCTGACAATCTGCGCTGCGTCTTGTGCCAAAATTAAAGGGCATGTCTGTAACTTTTTAGGAGCAACCAATTAAGTGCTGTATGTTTTAAATATTGCGTTAAAGACCTAATTTGTAGCTGTTATATGATTATATATATTTGATTATAACCTGTAAATAAGCTACAACAGAAATCTCCCTCCTCTGACCGGAATCTTGCCGTACTGTAGTCTCCTCAAACCAGCATATTTCCCTTGAGCCTCCACTTCATTGAGAGTGTGTTGTTTTCATTCATTCAGCTGTGATTTGCATTGATAGACAATAATTAATGCATTTCATTATTCAACAATAATTAAAGGAACTTGATCAAATTTACATTTATTTGTGTTTCACGCATAATATCGGTGTATTTGGCCCGCAGCCCACTGGTAATTTTTTACTTTGGCCCTTGGAGGCAAAAGGTTTGGGCACCCCTGCCCTAGAGGGAGTCTCGCGTACCCCACTTTGAGGACCACTGATATAGCACAATTCCATGGTCATGGAATTAGAAAAACATTTGTAAAGCGCAGACCTCTGCCTGAATCTGGATCACTCTAGATTCATCGGAAATAAAAAATCCACCCGTAACGTTTTGAGTTGTTATTAACTAACGTATAGACAAACTAATAAACCCTGGTGCAAACATAACCCCGCTCACCTCCTGGTCCCTCTCCAGCTGAAGGCCTGACTCTAGGAGCTTAGCCTCAAACTCCTCCCTCATCAGCACTTTTTCCTCCTCTGTCAGTCTCTGCTCCTCTGGCTCTGCGGTGGTGGCACACTCTCCAGACTCCCCATCGTCAAACCTGGGGCCCACGTTGGGGAAGCCCACGCTGCCGTTAGAGGCGATGGAGGCGATGGACAGGCGGGACTTAGACGGTCGTCTTTTCTTGAACTTATAAGACAGGACGTAGTCCACTTTGCGCTTCCCATCAGCAAAATACAGGCCTGGGCCCAGCTCGATGCCAGTGACCTGCCACACAACACAGTTAAGAAATTAGTTTGGACTGATTCTCTTAAAATAAGTACATTGTGTTTTTGGACAATTTAAAACTGTAAAGGTTGGCCCTAGGCCCTACAATTACATATAATTCTAGCAGAGATCCTTTAAAAAAAAAAAACATAAATAAATTATTTGTATTTTTGAGGTCTCAAATATGGTTATTTTACTCCACAAGATATTTATGTTCACATTGGAGTTGCAGTGTCACATCCACTCACCGATTGAGGAGGCTCGCTGTGGTCTGGGGCAGAGGGGGGCCCTCCATTAGTCACATCGTTCCCAATTCCAGACAGAGAACGGGCCAGTGACACCAGAGTGGACGAGTGAAGAGGCAGAGGCTCACTCATGGCTGAAACACCAACCACTTTTCCATTTCATCCCTGGAATATGTTACAGATAAGGACAGCATACAACACCAACACCAACTCACCCAACCGATGGCGATGGTTAGTGGAAGAGACCATTTTTCTGTAAAACTGACCTACTGACCTGGAGTGAGACAGGCCTCCTCTCTGACAATGTTTTAAAACAAGGTTAAAAACTGGCTGAACACAAGCAAGCTATAAGGACAAAAAACCCACAATATCCAATGGCTCTACACTACAGAGACTCCAACCATGGAAGTTGCAGTTGCCTGAAGATCTGTGGCATTGAGCATATTCCAGAGACAATAAGAGGAGGAAATAGACTCAAGACATTACTTCAAAGAGAGTCCTACTGGATATATACTTTAAAAGCCACTCAATTCCCAGGCTTAAATGGCAATTTCCTTTTCTTTAAGTACTTTTCAAAAAAGACCATTGATTATATTTCTTATTGTATTATTGTATTCTTTATAGGTGTGTACATAATATTATGCACTTTGTTTGGGAGTTTCAATATTTTTTCCAGATTTTAAACCTTGTGACTGTAGGCCCGCCCACTGACCATGTGACAAGCACCATTCTCTTTAAATCTGTACTGAGACACTCCTCTCGAGTATGCCCTGAAGAAGGCCAGAAGGCTGAAACGCGTAGGCGTAATTTTAACCTCTTTTTGCCATGTCAAATAAAGGCTTTGAAACTTTTGAGTGCCTCAGTCTTCTGTCAGGTTAAAAACAGTTCTGTTTAGCTGTGCATACAACTGAGGGATTTTATATTTTTATCTTTCTTTTTAATGTACTGTGATTATTTATGATTTTAATGCTTTCTTGTTTTGTTCAGCACCTTGAGTTGCCTTGTGTATGAATTGTGCTATACAAATAAACTTGCCTTGCCTTGCCTGGGGTCTCGTTTACTAAAAGAGTATGCGTATATATACTGTATATATATATGAAGAAAGTTTTTTTGGATCTGATTTTAAAATATTGATGCATGATTTATACTGTAGCTAGTTAGCTACATGATATCCACTAAAAGCTGTCAAACCAAGGTGGCACGTCAAAATCATAGACTGTATTAAGGCCTATCACGTGTAGGCAATTGTAATAATCAGCACTCCTGTCCGCACTGATCTTAGGTCTGTGTTTATCTGTGGTCATGTTGAGGTCTGTTTTATCAATACTTTATTAAGTTAAACCGTTATATACACCCAGTTTGGAATTACAATTGTTTTAAATGTACAGGTCAAAGTCATTGATAGCATAATAGATTTATTTAGTCTTTGACAATAACTCAAAGGGTCCCAGGGCCACTCTTCTGTCCTCTTCATACTTTACTTAAACAGCTCAATCTCAGTTTGATTCCTAGTTTCCTGCCCTTGAACTGAGGTGGATAAGCCAATTAGGAACACACATGGGCCACGTCCGTCTCCAAACAAACATGGCAGCCAAAGCTCGTGGCTATATAAACACAGGACAGAGAGTCTAGTACAGCATACTGTACTAGATAAGATGACAAAATATATATTTTCATATACCATATATTTTATTTGTAAATTGTAGCTTACCAATGACATGATTTGTTCCAGTTGAAATCATGTAATAAATTAATCTGACTGCACAGCTTGGTTTAGACTATTCCTCAATGAATGGCAATGACAGGTCAAAGGTTTTCTGCAAGTCTTCACAAGGTTTTCGCACTCTGTTGCTGGTATTTAGGCCCATTCCTCCATGCAGATCTCTTCTAGAGCAAGAGACAAGGCCACTCCCTGCTGTCTGGGGCAACGTGTGTTTGGGACATAGACTGTATATATTAACGGACAGAGTCACGCTTATCTCCGCCGTTCTAACTAATGGGCCAAAAAATGTGCTCTACTGGAGCAATCCAAAATGGCCGCGAGTGGTCCTGCCCACAAGAAAATTGTGAAAAAATGCATCTGCGCATGCGTCAGCCGGCGCAACTCCATTCATTTGAACGAGAGACTTCAAAAATTCACAGCAAGTACACTAGAGTGGACCAAAAAAATTCACCCCCCTCAGCATTGACACACATGTGGAACGGAGCTTTGGGCCAAGAGCCAACTTTTGGTCCATCCTGCAAAGACGTTTTTGAGAGGTCTGCCAATGCTATATGTTAGCATTGGCTAATTCTACTTCTGGGTCCACCCCCATCGGCCCGGGGTGGTATTGCAAGCATGTCAGCGCACATCATTTTGGCCACTTTTGAGCTGGGACCCTCCCCCACTGGTTTGGGATCATTGCGAGCCACGTTTTATCTTAAATGTCTTCTGATTTAGGGTTGATTAGGGGTCTGATTGGGTGTCTGATTAGGTTTTCATTTAAAATCTCAAAAAACATAGCGCCATTCTTTAGTTTACACAAATCAATCGTCCTGGTCTCTCCAGCCTAAAGCATGATGTTTCCACCTCCTTGCTTTTTGGCCTGATCCGCTTGGTTCGGACCATGAATCCTCTCTGCTCCGGGCTGGACCAGTGGAAAACCATGAACGCTGTACAGCAGTACAGTACAGTACAACAGCATTGTAAAGCACAAAACAACTGTTTCAGAGCTACTTAGGACTTGCTGCCGTTTTCAGCGCATTCAAAAGATACAATGAAGATACAAATGAAAATACAACAAAGATGAAACGTGGCTCGCTCTTTCAGCATGGCAATGATCCCAAATACACATCACCTGTCAAAACAGTTTTCACTTGTATTTTTCACCTCTCTCATGTTCTTATATCTGATTTTTCAGACAGAAAAGTGAGAAAGTGGCTGCGAGAAGTTGGTCCTTACTCTTATATGCAAAGATAAGATGTTTTCTAATACAATAAAGACAGCATCTCTGATTCGTCCCAACTTTCTGTTTAAATAAACTGATTTTGTATGAGTCTGTTTATTCCTTGGTGTAACTGTCTGTTTCTGTTTCCTGTAGTAAAGCTTCCTGTCCTGTCACAGTGGGTTAATTGACATTAACAAAAGAAGATGGACAGTACATGAGTCACACAGTGAAACTTACACAGCTCTATAGAGACGGTTTAGTCTTTTCTAATGACACGACAGACAGACTCTTGGCCCAAACACGTACGGCCTAGTCGAGGCTGCTTCTCAAGGGGACAGTTGCAGCGACTCCACATTGAGCTTAGCATTGTGTGAGCTTAACAGCCTTGGTCATGAGTACCCTCAAAGCTGACATAGGACAGAAGGGTACGAGATTATACATCGCTAAATTTAACTAGAGCCTGTTTTTCTCTATGCTTCTGAGAAATACACTAAATTAATTTGCACCTACAAGTAAAGACTGATTGATTGATTGAACAATACGTGGAACTGTCGCCATGCGTCAACTTTGTGCCTCATGGTGGAGACTAGTGCATTAACGAATTGTTTTGGGGACTTGCAAACCAGAAAGTAGACTGCATGATGGAACTCTTTTGAAAAATTAGGAATGCAGAAATGTTCATGATATTTCTGTGCTTCAGCTGTGACTTTTCTTTTACTTACAACTACAATCATAACATATAATGCACAATTTTGCTACAAGATGTTTTGGTCAATGCCCATTTGTGCAGGCTGTTAGCAAAACAACATGTCAATAAGATACATTCTAACAATTCCCAGAGTTCAAAAGCCAAATAGGTCTAAAGCTTCAATATAAAACAGAAGACAGACTTACATTTCACTCTGAATCGTTGGACTGTTTAATCCCAGACAGGTGTCATCAAGGGCGGATTAGCTCATCGCACAAACTCCTCTCAATGAAACACGGACGCGCAGATGGTGGAAAGTGTCTGAGCCAGCGAGAGCCAAAACGAATAAAAGACTAATTAAAGACTAATTAAAGCAATCTCTGCGTTTATCTATTCCAAGCAGCCATTCGCGTGTTTGTGGTACTCACTGGAGAGTTGAGCAGTAGCTGATAGGTATGAGGCAGCAGGAGGCTGGACGTGGCATGGGTGAACTGGTTGCACAGTACAGATAGGACAGGGCGCAGGAGCAATGACCCGTGCGCGTCCCTGTGAGAAGGATTAGTGCGCGCCTCGGATTCACAGGTAATTCCTCCTGACTATCCAGCACACCGGGGCTCTGCACACACACTGGCAGCACTCGAAGAATACATAGGCGAGGTTAAATGTCTGGAATAACATTTGTCTATTATCTATCTATCTATATCTATCTGTCTATTGTCTTTATTTTATTTGCATTGCTTTACAATACACACAAAAAACAGCCCATTCAGCTATACATTTTATCCTGTGGGTAAATAGAGGTTGGCAACATTAAAAATTATATTTTTAGATCTGAATCCGGGATTTTATTCTTAATTTTTGTTTTAGTAGTGGTCGTATGTTCTTGATAGACCTATTTCAATAACTTTTGCCAATGTGGTGAAAGAAAATGACATACCAACCTAATGACAAAGTCAAGTTTGACTTCTTGTTGAAATTTCTAGTTAAAAGTTGTCAAAAAGGCATGAAAATAACAATTTACGACAGACAGATGTAGAGTCTTTGCAGCTTCTCTTTAATCACAGGCAGTCAGTAGACAGCACTGCTTCTAAACAGACAATAAGTGTGACATAATTTCTCATCTAACCCATGGGTCAGAGCAACGGTAACAGCCTCACTGCAGAAAACAGAAACATCTAGACAAGTTCAAATCACACGAAAAAGTCAATTATCAACACCTTCTGTTGAATTCAATAGGTTTGACTTTCCTAACAATCCAACACAATATTATCCCTTATTTCAAATAGGTTTGTCGTTTGTTTTGGAAAAAATGTGAATAATTTATCTGTTGCATACTTGTAATAAAGAAGTGATGATTGGCTGAGTGAGGGTGGTTTCTCTTTTTCACTTTTCTATCTGATAAAAATGTGACAAAGGTCCAAGTCTTGAGAGTGAGGAACTTAAATGGATTTCCTCACACTGTTCCATTTTGTGTGGTTTAATTCAAGGTTTTAAACCACATTGTCACAGCTTAAATGGACTCAAATACAAAATAATGTTTAATAATAATGTTTTTATTATGCCCTGTACAGTGTCCTTGGAGGTTTTGAAAGGCGCTTTTAAATAAAATGTATTATTATTATTATTATTATTAAAATAGGTCAGGAACATAAGTGCAGGAGGGTCAAAAAGGACCAGGACACTCAAAATTCAACAACAAATATGGAATTTATCAACATTTATGGACATTGGTCATCTGCTCCTTATGGACCAATGGCTCAATGTTTTTTTCATCATTGCATTTCTTGTGTTTGAACTTTTTCATTCTCTGATGTTGTTGGTGAATTCAACGGTTTTGTTAAGTCCTCCGAGATCACTACTGTTGTGATTTAGGGCTATACAAGAATACATTGAATTGAATTGCATTGAATAAATGATACTAATTTGAACTTGATGAGATATGGTTATTTTGCAGTGATGCTATTTAAACAAAGAAGTGTTGTAAAAGTGGCAGTATTTCTAAAGTACTGATTTATGCAGATCCTGTTTGTAAATGTCTTTTGCCTGGAGCCGATATAATGCGCTTCAAGCCATCCCATTGAACAGTCTAGTTGCAGTGAGATCTCAGTCACAGTGCTTGGCCTCACAGTCACAGCGACTCACTGACAGCACTGTGTGGAGGCTCCTGGTCCCGTTGGAACACAGCACAGGCACACTCAGGCCCTCAGTGTCCTGGGCAGAGCAGCACACGCACTCCCGCTCCACTGCGCCGCGCTCCAGGGAGTACAGGGACCGGCTCCGGCACTTCCCCTGAGACCACACAGGACTGAGGTCACATTCAGGCATAAAGTGGACATTCTCACAGGACATTTACAAGAGGTCTCTGGCTCGTTCGGAAGTGTCAAAGTGATTCATCTCTAATTCTTGTGACAGGAATAGAATAATATTATTATCATAGCACTTTTTAATGGTCCAGGTTTGGGGTTCTTGAACTGAACAGACTAAAAATTATGACTCAAACAGGAGGGGGGCCACAGCCTGACCATGGACCAGCGCGTTTACCACATCAGAAGTCTTTCAATCTTGAGTAGCATTTGGCTCTTGCTCTACAGTGGAAACAATGCCATCATCAGGCTTGTATATCACATCTGTGTAAGTACATTGAAAGCACAAATGAACAGTATCCAAAAGGATCCTGTATGATGTGAACCTGGCTTGTAACTGTACACCTGTCTCACAAGTTATAGCGGATGAGAGGATAATAGGATTTTATGATACTCATGGAAAGAGGAGGCAGATACACATCTGTAAAAAGCATCTGTGACGAATCACACATTTAGCTGAATTAATATCTATATTAGGTGCAGCATCTGAACTGCTAACACAGGCTTACAGTGCCATCTAGCGGCTGTCAGCGTTAGCACAAGTTACAGTGCCAACTGTGTTACTTAACCCTAACCCTCACTAAAATCTAACTAATTGTACACCATTTAATGCGGTTGTATTACAATCTCTGAATATAAAATATACCCAATTTATCTAACTCCTTACAAATAAAATATTTATGAAAATGTTCAGTGTTTGGGTTGAGAAAACACCAGTAATAAAGTATGTATTGTTTAAGTATTTTGGTAAGAAGAATATGAAATTTTGAATATCCCAAATGATATTGTTCAATAAAAATAAAAAACATGAACTTTATTGCATATGATCAAGATGTTTAAGATATTACAATCTGTGCTAAATTTAAGTTGGAGATAATTGGAAGCCTTTACTTTACCTATTTAATGACATCTGACTTCTTCCCACTCCTTTTCTAGCCTCCATAAGTGTTATGTTTGTATTATTACTCATTTTGTTACACATTGGAAATGGACCTAAGTTGCTTGTAATTAATTATTACTAATTATTTCTCTGTCCACTTGCTCGAAATAAAATAAAATAAAAATAAAAATAAATCCCATATGGCAAATCAATCCCCATTTCTCTTTCACAGATATCTGACATTTTATAAACTGGAGTTAATAAAATTCTTTCTATGTATACGCCATTTGTTATAAATGCATCTATACCCCAGTGATTCAATTCAATAAAATGTATCTATAAACCCAATTCAAACTGTTCCCAAGTTGCCCAAATCAGACATGAGCTTGGCTCACCTCACAGTAGTGCAGCTCCACCTTCTGCTCAGACTGACAGTCCTCCACTCGGATGTAGTTCAGAGTGCCTTTGGTCCTCCGACACTCAGGTTCTTCACCTTCAAACACATGCAGTTCATAAACTCGTTTCGGGAAGCGGCCAGTAACCTTGTGTTTTTATGTCTGAAAATGTCTATTCTAGTTATATTTTTGTCCTTATTCAAACTCATTATGTTCTATAAGTTCATATTAATTATGTTTATTGTCCCGTGTTACGGCCAGATATTGACCTGCCTCTGTCTTTCATTTTTTAGTTCGGGCTGGGAATGTGTTACAGAGGCACATGCTAACAGTGTTTTATTATTTTGACCAGATAAAGAACACCTCAAAGTCTGTTTCTCCATGCAACACCTAAATAACACAACAGTTCAGTACTGTGATATATGCATGGCTATTTTCAGCTTTTAACTATTGTTGATCTTCTCCCTGACCTGATTGGACGACGGGATAACATAAGATTCTTTATCACCATATTTTCCAGCATGATTTGAAACAATCTAGCTAATGAACCTGTAGGATGAACTGCACACAAGGCCGAAAGGCAATAACCATCACGTCCACTATTCCGATAACATGATGCTCCACGTTGTGTTTTTTTGACCATGATGAAAAAAATATTGGAATCTCCCCCTTAATTAATTAAATTAAATCTCCCCCTTAATTAAAAGGGGCAACACTCACATGTCTCACAGCAGCTGTTTCCAAGGCGACTGACTTTACCCTGAAGAACAAATGCATCTAAATTACTTGGATTCATTATATTAAACTACAAAAAGGAATATAAATCTGGAATATTACGCCAATCCTCGTACTTTGGTGCATGCTCATGCAGTGGTCAAACTTGTGAATAAAGTAAAGTACCCCATGGTCCAGACAGGCCTGTGGATCGAACGCAGGACAGGTTGTCACTTTCACCTGAGCCACCAGATCTCCTTTGGGGCTCAGGCTGCAGGAGTACACGCTACAGCCCTCCTCACTGCTGGAGTTCACCTGAATGAGACATCCAGTTTATATGCATGGATACTGCTTAATATTTATTAATAATAATAATGCATTGCTTTTATGTAGCGCTTTTAAAGACGCTTAAAGACGCTTCACATGCCATTATTCATTCACTCCATGCTGCCTTGGGGCACACTTACAGAAGTGAGGCAACCAGTATGTGCCATCAGCCACCACCAACCATTCACACACACACCAGACTCATGCTAGGCAATGGGGGTGAAGTGTTTTGCCAAAGGACACAACGACAGTTTGGCACGTTACAGCCCTGCCCTGCCTAGAAGCTGGCTCTGCTAAAAGTATGGCTACTGTTACTTAAGCAACTTTATAATGGCAATTTATTTACATTTTAGGTAAAAAATTTTCTTTTTTATTCATCTTAGAGACAAAACCGAATTTTGTTCAATATATAAAAATCACGCTAAACAAGTCAAGTGAGTCAAAATATGCATCTTTGGGCTGAGAGCTCATTCTCTTCTCAGTAGTAGTAGCTTACCCTCACCCGTGAGTTTCATTTACTAAAAACTGACAAGGATGAATTTAAAAACATAAAGGGATCCACTGTCCCAGTTCTGCAGTTTTTGAAGGTTTTAGGAAAAAATGTTTTCACACTCAGAAAATAGGAATTATGAAGCAGGAATCACTTCAAATGCAACACTCAACTGGTTGATGTTCCTCCAGACACATCCATGTCATGAACCACTTATCAGGGTTACCCAGACTTTTCCACTCCTTAGGTCAACATGAAGGGTGAGCTAAGGGCTAAGGGTATGTTCTTGGTGTAAGACGTTCTTTTGCACAGATACAGTATTCAAAAGTAAAACATGTATGTATGTGATCTTTTCAGGGCATTTTCATTCTATTAAAAAATAAAAATATTGTTCACTTACCGGCAAGCTGCTGAATGTCCCATCAGGTTTTTGAATAAAACAAGTGGTAGCGACACAGCGGCCACAGCAAGCCCCCTCCTCCGTCTGCAGACTGTACCCCTGCACATTAATTATTCTCATGTAAGGCTATAAACATTATTCAAATGTAGATGCGTCCTCTATTTGACATTAAGCAGCATTGTGTCGGCTCAAAAAAGTTGGGGCTTGTCTGGACCTTTGAACAGCTTGAACACCTGCAGTATATCAAAGGCATATATATATATATATATATATATATATATATATATATATATATATATCATAATGCTCCAGTTAAAATCCTGACTATAACTAGGAAGTACGCTCACAGGTCTCTGCACTGGCTTCCTGTAGCTCAGAGAATAGACTTTAAATCAGCTCTGCTTGTGTACAAGTCTCTCCATGGCCTTGCTCCAAAGTCCAAAGGCCTCCTGCTGGTGCCCAGAGTCAGAACTAATTTGTTTTATTCAAAAAATCTTTTCAGTCAACATTGAGATTTCTTAAGTTCCAAATACATAATCATGACCCGGGGTGTCGGATAGTGGATTCTCATTGAACAATAGACAAAAGCTCGTTATGCCTTCTGTAATAAAAGTGATGAACAGTGTGTAGAGTACAACATTGATGTTACCATAGGACACTCAGGACAGCTGGTTCTCTTACAGGACAGCTTGTACTTCTTCACAACCCCCTGCTCCACCTGACATTCACAGTGTGTACACAGGTCCACCATCAGCTGCTCTCCAGGCTGCGGCAAACACACACACACACACACATCATGAGAACACACATTTATGATTCATGAACACAGTGTGAGTCCATGTGTGACTTACTCCAATCAAAGTATGGTTGAAGAGACAGGCATTTACAGGGACTGCAAAAACAAAACACAAAAAATAGTGAGAAGGCTAATCCTTTTTAGCTGCAATGTAGTTATTATAGATTTGTATTCGTTCATGAATTAACACTATATTCTAAGATAATAGAGGTCAGATAACACGACTCAAACAAGCAATATTTAAAGTTGGGGTACCTAGGTTTAAAACCACAAAAAGGAAAAATGTAATAAAATCCAACTGTCATCTATGTTGGCCTCTGTCAAATCTTTAGAAACGTATTTTGAGACAAAAAAGTGAAAAAGAAAACCACGCTGAACAGTGTCCAATAGTGCCCTTTCTCATAAGTATGTAAAAGAGTGTGAGAAGAGACCTCTGGGAACACCAGGTGTCACAGTGGGGCAGCTGCGGCTATGAAGTGGCAAACTGATTTGGATCCATAGGCAAGACACTTCTTTCCACATTGCCTGTAGGCAATGTGTAGTAGCCTCCTTTCTGCCAGTCTGCCCCAGGGCAGCTTTGGCTGCAGTAGTTTTCCACCACTGTGTATGGAGTGAATGAATAATACATGTGAAGTGTCTTTGAGTATCATGAACATCACTATATAAGTAGTATGCATTTTACAATTTACTTCATCGAAGTTGGGTACTATTTAGTTGATTATTAAAATAATCCAATAAGCAGCGCACATATTCTACCTGCTTTAAGATAATGAGTGTATAAAATGTGCATTACCACAGCGACAGGAGGGACAGCAGCCTGAGGGGGAACAGCTCAGCTCTGTCCCCAGGGGGCAGGGGGTAAGGTCCACCGCAGAACAGCTCACGTTCCTCTCTGTCACAAACACCTGATCCTGGACCTTCACACACTCGTGGAGGACACACTCATCCAGAGGAGAAGACCACACATCGCCCACCTGCTCCACACAAGCCAAACCAGGTGAAATCATGGTCAGTAATGTCATAACATCATATCAACAGTGAATTCACTATTAGTATTTGTTTAGATCCAAGAGTCGCACAAGAACATAAATCTAACAAGTGAAGAATTTCATCCATGCTACGACGTTATTCCTCATCAAAAACAGACCTGTTTTTTTTGCTTCAAAACGCAGTGTCTTCTTGCATAAATCTACACACATCCCTCCACCCCTCCTGTCTAAATGCCCCAATGATGTCATGGAAAGAACTGCTTTCATTTTAAAACAAACAATTTGCCTCTTTACAACTGAGGATAGATTGTGTTTAACTACTCAAGATTCTTCCATTTTGCATCTGTTTTCTACTTATTTCTACCACTAATTCATCATATGTGTTCTTTCAACATAATGTCTCTTTTACAGAAATTTTCGGTTTGATTGACAATAAATGATGTACTCACAAATCAAATGTGACATATCTTCACTACAAGAATTATGGTATTATCAATTTGTGTACGTACATGTCGGATCTGAGCTGCCCTCAGAGTGTCTCCTCTAATTTCTCCTTGTGATGTCACACAGCTCGATGACACACACTTCCCACAGCACTCGCCTTCGGATGGAGCGTACCTGGAGCCCTGCAAAATAATTACAAATACACAATGGCAGGCACATAATTCTAAAACATGTCATAAGTTCATGTCATTTAAAAAGTACCGGTATATTTGTCATATAGCAAACAATATTCAGGTTTAGTTGCAGCTTGGTCATGATGTGGGTTTTATTTTTGTATTTTTGTTTTATTTTGAAATTGGTTCCCTGTGATTTGGGTTTTAGTTGTTCCTGTCCTGTTTTCCCCTGTGTCTGTGTCTATATGTACCCTGTGCTTCTCTCCCCTTGTTGCTGGTCCATTGTGTTGTCTTTGTAATTTTTTTATCTTGATTGAGTAGATTTTGATTAGACTGTCTAAAAAATAAAATGTTCTTGTCAAATTGCAATACAGTTTGACAGTATGGTAGACTAGAAAATATGATTAAAAGTATTTTTTAATCTCGATTAGATTGTCTAAAAAATAAACAAAATATGCCAATCCAACAGCCAAGAAAAGCAGTATGGTAATATGCCTGTGAAGCTTCTTGTTCCATCGGAAATAGATCAAAACAAACAAAATATATCTATATATGAAATCAAACATGAATGTATTTATTGTAATTTGTTGTTGTGGAAATGAAGGCTCTAATGTAATCCTCATATCTCACCAGAGGGCATGAGGTGGGGCACACAGGTGGGGTACACTGGGCCACATGTAGACGGCTCTGGACGTCCTGCTGCTGGCTGCACACACATTTGTTACAGCCCTCCTCCCACTCACTGCCCACCAGGTGAACCTGGGCCCCCACCACACACACCTGCAGGAACAAGGAACAAGACAGCTGTATTTAAACTGCCAAAAGAGAATTAGCCAAATAGCAAAATATCAACAAATTGTGTTATTCCGCAAATATTTGTAAAAACACAGCTTCATACACAAATTGAGATAAATATTTGAACCAAACAGCAGTGCTCTTTCTCTATTTGTACGCATATTGAGTCTACTTGTGTAGCAATGTGTGTATAATACGTTGAATGAAAATGCTATTTGGTTGAATTTTGACTATCCCCACAACTGCACGCTTCCTGTTTTGTGCAAATCAGGAAATGTGTATTATATTAGTCCAAAGTAAAAAATAAATAATCACTCAACGTTAGTGGTTGTGTTGTACAGTATTGTCAAATAAACATGTTTTCAAGTGATAATGCCAACAGAAGATAGGATAAGATAGACTTTATTGATCTCACAATAGAGAAATTGATACATTTGGCATAAATAGTCACTCAGGTTGTGCAAAAGACAGGAAATGTGCAAACGGGGGAGGTGCAAACGTGTTAAAAAGTGAAAAGGTCTCTTTTGTGCAAGATATATTATGTACACTCGAATAAAAGTGACAATAGCAGAAACTTCTCTTCTGACCCTGATCTGATCAGATGTCTCCTTCCCAAGCTGTCACAGATGTTGTTCATTTAACATCTGTGACAGCTTGGATTCTTTTATGGTAAAGAACTTCCCACGAGCTCTGTTAGCGGCAAAGGAGATGGCTAGGCTAAATGCTAGCTATTCACCCTGCCGCATTACATACGTCACAACAAACTCAGATCCAATTGCTCCAATCTACAGAAGGAGTTAACCCCTCCCACCTGTAAACAGAGCTAAATAGAGCATATCCAGACCTTAGAACAAAATGAAATTTGTTCGATGGTGTGGTAAGACCAGGCTAGGTCAGGTGTTTTAACATTGATAGCACAAGTTGACAACCAAAAAAGGGTCAGGGGTTTCTCAACTGATTTAGACTAATTTTGGTGTTCTGAGTCCGAATATCACATGCATTTTACTCTATCAGGTCAACTTTTTGAGATACAACCATAGTGTTACGGATTACATACGTCTACGTTATTATGAATTCTGCTTATCAAATTTGATGAGCAAATTTGATTTGAGTAAATAAAAACTGAATGACTTTGGATACGTTGACTTTTATTTCTTGAGGAAAACGGAAAAAAACGTCAAGGGTTTCTCAACTGATGATCCGCAGAATTTAGTTTTTTACGCAAAATTGATTTAAAAAAATATTTCTGTAGCAAAAAATCCTGACCTGATTTAGCAAAACCAGGGTCATTTTCAGACTCAGAGCATCTAAATTAGTCTAATTCAGCTGGAAAACCCTGGACTATTTTCAAAAAATATTTTTTTGTTACCCAGTGTAGTAAATGAACTGGATGGTGTGGTCACCTTGTCTGGCTCACAGCTGGTGATGGTGCAGGCGCAGTCGTTGGTGGAAGTGGAGGTGATGAAGCCGATGGGACAAGAGCGTGTGGAGTTCTCACACTGACAGACGCACTGGAACGAGTCACAGCATGAGCTCTTTTTCACTGACAGCTGTCGATGTGGTGGACAAGTAGGAGGCGGCTGGACATCACACTGCTCCTTTTTACAAACTGAGGAAGGTAAACGCATGCAAGATCAGTACTTGTTCATGAACTCACAATTAAAATAGATTGAGTTTATACATGTACTCGAATAAATACTATGTTTGAAAACATTTGAACATTTGTACAGAGGGAGTTTTATCACCATTTATTGAGCAATAATAAAACAGATATGTTCTTGATGAGGAACAATGTTGTCACATTGTTAAAAGCTCAAAAAGACCCTTTTGCACAATATGTATCCTTTAACACAATGCAAATCATGTTTGTAGACTTCAAGATTCAAGATGAGCTTTATTGTAACAGACATGGGAAAATTGTCTTGGGCTATTCACCCATGCAGCAGCTAACTAGTGTACAAAAACAATTCAGAAGCATGCATACAAAATATAAAAAATAGCAATAAAACAACAAACAATCCATAATCTCCATTGTCCACACAAATATCCGTCCCATTAATTGAGCCTGACGCTCCGTGCTTAATCTATATGGCTCTGTTCAACAGCCCAATAGAAAAAGGCATCTCGAAGCCAATAGTTTGTACAGGGCGTGTGATGGATTGGCAAGAATTGTGTTGTACAGACGCAGAACGGCCTGTTCATGTCCTTAAGAAAGCCGTGTTCCTGCACACTGATGATCTTCCAAGCAGCTTGTCCTTCAGCTGAATGGAGAGGCTACCATACCACGCAGTGATGCTGTACCTTACTACACTCTCCATCACTGCTTTGTAGAAGATTATCGGAATCTTTGTGTCCACTCCATAAATACTCCACATGTGTGCTCCAGACTAGCGTATTATCAATAAAAACCCCTACGTATTAGTAGATGGTCACCTGAGCGATATCCTGACAACTGGGCTATGATTACCAATCCCCCTGGGATCAAATATGATCTCTTCGGTTTGAAAAACATTTAAAACTAGGTGATTCACTCCAATCTACGCATGTGTGAATTTCCAGTATATATTCGGATACACTGCCTTCCTTGCGGAGTAATAATAGAATGACTGAGTCATCAGAACATTTTAAAATGTGATTGCCAGTATAGAAACTCCTGCATCGATCTGTATAAAGTGTAAATAAAACAGGTGAGCTTACACAGCCCTGCAGTGCCCCTGTGCTCAAAAGTCTGCTCCCTGACAGTGTACCATTCACACTGACTCACTGACTACGATTACATTAAAACGACTTGTACCATCTTATTGTGGGTGGATGCTGTTATATCTTCTACCGTTATTTCAGGTAAGGCAAGAAAGAGATCTCCTAGGTGTCATACACATTAATGCAATGCGCGCCGGTGACGCAACACACCACCATATATGGTAAGGCTAAAATATATATCAGATGCACATTAACTTCAGACAACTTCCTCAATAGAAGATGTGGTTGTAGCATGTTGAATGCTGAACTAAAGTCAATCAGTAACAGACGAGCATGTGAGGTAGGGTCCTGCAAATGCTTGTTAATGAGGTGCGTCAGGGTCAAGATGGTGCTCCTATTAGATTTCTATGCAAATTGCATCGGGTCTAACAATCCCTCTGTCTCTGATCTCAAGGTGTTAATGACAATACTTTCCAGACATTTCATAACAAGCGAGCTGAGTGCAACCGGACGATAGTCATTGCTTTCTTCAAAGCTTGACATTTTGGGAATTGGAATTATGATAGAGCTTTTCCACATGGCAGGAACAGTGTGGGTATCCAGCGATACTTAATTACAGAAGAACCATTCTCACCACACTCATGCACTGGCTGACATTCTCCTGGGTTTCTCAGGACCAAGGTCTGACCATCTTCACAGCGAGGCACTTCAGGCATGGAGCAGTTCTTTAGATCACACACTGCATCATCCAAAAGAGAAGACATTTAGAATACTCGACTGCATTGGCAATGACAGTGAAGCAAAATGTCCGGTCTTACCGCACTCGTACTCAGGGCAACATTTGGACTCCCTCTTCTCCCTCAGAACTTCACATGGGCCACACACAGGAACTAGAGAACAGAAAAAAAAGCATATAAACTCATCATATTTAATACTTGGGACGGGAAGACCTTGTGAGCATACACACCTTTGACGTCGTTGCAGGGCCGGGCTGTGCAGTTAACACGCTGCTGCTCTAAACACATACAGATGAGGCACGGGTTCTCATCCGGGACCCACGACTGCAAGTACTACACAGGAATACAGGGAGCCCAATGTCTTAAAGCACGACTGTGTAGTGGATTATAAAATAAAAGTAAATTCAAAATGTAGGACTTCCAAGTAAGTTGGTAAGCATTATTCTTAAACAAAGGAAAAATGCACTTAATTCATCACACGGGGGGAAGATATATGCTTGAGGAAAGCCTGATGGCCAGTCAGCCCGATGGCAGACTGTGCATCACTCAAACTATTGTCACACATGTGTATAGGATGGACAGTGAAACATGAAGAAGAGCGCAATATGGCACGTTTAACCTTGAATTAGACTTTCCTCAAAAAAAAAACCATGCTACTAATACGACCAAGACTAAACCTATTTGATTCATTGTTAAAATGAGTTTTGAAGTCCCGAGCCACAGTGACTCACTGCCAGCACTGTGGTCCAACTGACAAGCAGATATTTGGACGGAAACTGTGCTTATTGTACATTGTAAGATTGGCATCTTTTGTCCTGTTTACAGTAGAGATAGAACACTCACAGCACGTGCATGTCCTTGCTGATCCACACACTGGTGACAGCGATCTGGAGACACACATGCCCCCTGGTGGAGGAGCAGGCCCTCAGGACAGTAGCAGCCCTCTGTGGGGGTGTCCACACAGGATGAGTTCCTCTGATCGGACATAGTCTGGAGGCTGCTGCAGTCCTCCACACAGTCGCTCCTACACGCATGGTACTCCATCGCACTGGGGCATTGGAAGGCTATAGCACAGGCAAGCACACAGACCAATATCATCTATTCTGTACATGAAGAACCCTCACAATGTGCAATCAAATAGTTGCCTAAATGTGCAAGTTGTGTTAATATATTTGCTACAGTAACTGTACACGTGACTGTTGGAGTTCATGATACTGAGTGTACTGTTGGTCTCAATGCATTGTCCTTGAAATAAATGAATAAATAAATAATGTCTGAAGTAATTACACCCTCGCTGTGTGAAGCTAAGTTTTCATAGATCTTTGCTTCCTGCAGCTGTCAGACTGTACAATATTAATTCACTAGTTACTTTACTAGTCACTTTCCCTGTTGTTATTATTACTATTACCTATTTCCTCCATTCTGCAGTAATGTGCAAAACGATGACATTGAAATTTCCCCACTGTGGGACAAATATAGGATTATTTTATCATATAAAATAATGATGTTATAATGATGTTATAATGAGGCGGCAGTAGCTCAGTTGGTAGAGCGTTGGCCTTTGAGCCAGAAGGTCGTGGGTTCAAGCCCCGCTCAAGACTTTCACCATCGACTCCCACTGACTACTGTTGTTGTGTCCTTGGCAAGACACTTAACCTCTGGGAACACCAGCCACAGTGGGGCGGCTGCGGCTGTAAAGTGCCAAACTGCCGTTGTGTCCTTAGGCAAGACACTTCACCCCCATTGCCTAGACTGAGTCTGGTGTGTGTGTGTGAATGGTTGGTGGTGGTCGGAGGGGCCGATGGCACATACTGGTTGCCTCGCTTCTGTCAGTGTGCCCCAGGGCAGCTATGGCTACAGTAGTAGCTTATCACCACCGTGTATGGAGTGAATGAATAATGACACATGTGAAGCGTCTTTGAGTGTCCAAAAAAGCGCTATATAAAACCGATGCATTATTATTATTATTATTATCATATTGTTTTCCCCGTCAAATTCTCTGCTCCTAAAGTACAATATACAGATCTGTAAATACTTCCTGCTGACAACAGTGTATACTCCACTAGTGTAAAATCATTGAACCAATTGCAATTATAGCTCCAGAGTTTTGATTTTATTATCTTATTTTTTTTATTATTATTAATAAATGATCCTGATGTATGCAATCTGAGTGCTCACATTTCCTCCTTTTATTCTGCTATAATGTGTGTAACAATGACATTGAAATTTCCCCACTATGGGACAAATAAAGGATCATTTTATCTTATCAAACTCACGGCAGAGGTGCGGGCCCCTCCAGTGCATGCAGGCCCCGTTCTGTCTGCAGAGCTGTGCGTAAGCGGACAGCAGCTCGCACACGTCCGACTGCTCACAGGCCACCTCCTCACAGCGAGACAGGAACAGCTGCACCGGGATCACCCCATGACACGGCCCAAACACCTCAGAGCGCAGAGCCTGGCAACCCATGGACGCTCCCAGGGCACATACAGGACGGCTCCGAGGAACACACACACCCTCGCCTCCCTCCATACCCCCGGAGCTGCTCCAGTCCCGCACCAGGGCAGAGTGGTCTGAAGTCAGGCTGCCATCACGGAGGCGCAGGACGTTTACATGCTCCTCTCCACAGGCACCTGACAGAGGAAAACTTTTAGAGCAGAGCTTCATCACTTACATAGTGATAACTGATGATAAAATAGATGAAAACTTATTTTTAGATCATTGAAAAAGCGGGAACAGATTTCCAAGGTAGGTGGACCATCTACTGCCCTACACACTAATGGCATAGCAGGCAATAAGTAATCTTACATTATTTAAATAGATCTGCTTTGTAATAAATTTATGACATGTCAATGGGATACCTATGGGATGCCTAATTAATCTCATCTTGGAATCCCGTAATGGACCATGAATTGTGAATTCCTTCCTGTCATATATTGTATTATATAACCTTTGGAACTGCATGGATTCCTTGACTTTCGCCGGAGCCTGATACAGTGGACTGAAAGAGCTGCATTGATGAATAAGTGTGATTAAAAAAAAGCAGCATTGTAGCCCAAGAGAAATTCACCTATTAAAAAGATAATATTTTGCTAACCTCAATCAAGTTACCAGAAATAAACCATGATTATCCCAAGTGGACAAACTAAAAAACGGCAATTTTAGATTTTATTATATTTTGGAAGACGTTAGCAACGTTAAAATTGCTTCCGATTAAAAGTTTATAAGCTACTTTAAGGCTTATGAGGTTATTTTAATAAGGCAGAGTATAAAGGAGCTAGTACTGATTAATGACCTGGAATGTTCTGCCAGACGTCTGACAGGAAATTTTACTCTTTGTCATATTAAAAGAACGTCATAAGCCTTAAACATAAAGAAGCCCTAATAAACTTCTCTCTAAGTTGCAGAAAAATGCAACACAGAAAGAAGGCATTGGCCACAAAGTTTTGACAAAACTCTTTTGCACTTGTCTCACAGAAAGAACAGAACCAACACATTCTAGTGGCTGAAATATCCCATTTAGAGAGCTCTCCATAGTGTGCTAGCAAGGTGCTAAGGAGAGCGTCATTGGGCACCTGTGAGAAAATGCAGCCTTTTTTCGTGACTGAGGTAAGCGAATCATGCAGCGGGTGCAGTGATGCGGCCACTGTATTGGACTGTTATGGTGAAGAGTAAGGAAAGTCTGCAGGGAGAGCACTGGATTCAGCTCTGTATCATCTCAGCCTTTGGTCATGCAGCTAACATTTGGAACAGTCTACCTTTAAATATTCTTTGACATTGTTTAAATCCCGGTTTAAGACAGATACGTTTTATCTCTATCATCTCTACTCTTTTTAATGCATTGTTGTTATTTATTATCTTAATCCTTTGGGTTATTTTAAAGTTTTTAATTACCTGTGGGATTTTAATTGTGTTTTAATGGTGATTTTGGTATTTTATGTAATAATGTGTGCCTTGTGTGATGTGGACTGTGAAGTGCTTTGTGTTGTCTTGTGTAGGAAAGGCGCTCTACAAATAAAGATTGATGAGATTTGGATAATGACGGAAAGGCCAAAGTCGTGGATACAAGTGGTCTAAATGAGTTTCCTCCACTGAGTGGCTGAGCGCTCCCTCAGATCCCTTGAATATGGAGTGGGGCGCTCATTCACATGGAGGAAGCACAGAGTAGAGCCACTCCACATTGAGAGGAGCCAGTTGAAGTGGCTTTGGCAACTGTTTGAGATGCTCCCTGTGGAGATGTTCCGGGCATGTCCCAAAAGGAGGCCCTACACATTTGTATTAGTACTGTACAAACTGTTTATGTTTTTTAATTTGGTGTTCTTTGTTTTCCTGGATGTGTGTATGTGTTTTTGTTTTCGTAAAATAATAATAATAAAAAAGAATACTCCAATAAATTAATTGAGAGCATTTGGGTGAGTTGGTGATGATCAAGGACACTAAACATTCATCTATGGTCAATGTTCATCTGCCGCTTATAGACCAATGGCACTATTGTCTGAACGTTTTGATCCTCTGATCTGTGTTGGCAACTTTAACAGTTTTGTTAAATGCTCCGAGATAACTTAGGGCTATATACAAAAACAAGTTGAATTGAATTGAGAGTGTTACCACAGAGTCCTGCAGTGGGCCCAACTGTCCCGGAGCCCTGCACAGAGATGGTGAACTCGTTGCTCTGGGGGGTGAAGGTGAGTGTGTAGCCGTGGTCCGATCTGAGCTGAAGCATGATACCCCCAAAGCGTAGCAGCTCAAGGCCGCCATGAGTCCAGGGCAGAGCGAGCTCCTCAGTGCCCATCACGGCCTGCACAACACATATGCCACATAAGTTTAACAAGAATATCCTCATACAAATGGTTTAGTCCTTTAAATTTTAACAAGGTTCGACCATAAACATTTGAAAATAATAAGGAATGTACATACATACTGTATAAACAATCGCTTTTAAATAATGTAACTCTAACAAATTTATTGAACAAAAAAGATCCAAATACATTCCCCAAATGTGATTAATCTTTATCAACATAGATAATTAAACAGCAACGTAATTAATAGAAAAACTGTCTCTTCAACATTGTGCATCTTTGAGAGGAAGAGAGTTTAGAAAAATCCCAGTTTATCTTTAAAGTCGCGGTTCATATAATAACACACCGTCATATCCTCCTTCAGCAGGAGGGTAGAAGCTCCATGGACCACCTCAATAGCCTTCATGCACACTTGGTGGTACTCTGAGGGGTGTCTGCAGGGTCCGTTGTGGAGTTTCACCTCGGAGGACTCAGTCAGACTCTTGTTCACAGTTAGAAGAGTGTAGGAGCACAATCCCTCCCCATCCAGCCGGAGAGCCAGGCTGTCAAACCTCACCACGTGATTAGTCGAGCTGCCCATGCACATGCCTGTAATTCAAGACTTGACATAAACATAGCTATAAGGATTGTCACTGTGAAATAAAAGTAAAGGGGGCGGCACAGTGGATAGCACTCTCGCTTCTCAGCAAAAAGGTCCTGGCTACAAATCCCGGTCGGAATAGGGCCTATCTGAGTTCTCCCCATGTCTGCGTGGGTTTCCTATATAATGAGTGACTGAATGGATGATGTTAGTTGGGAGCTTTGATGCACCAGTGTGTTGGTGTCTCGCTTCCGACATCACCTTGAATAAAACAATATCTGAACTCTGAACATTGTAAAGAGCTTTGGGTGACGTTGGTCTGTAAATTATGTGCCATTTCAATATTACTTACTTATTCATGTTTATTTATACGGGGAAGACTCAATGAGAGTTTCAGACTCTGTAAAATATTTAATAGCCATTGTGTTCCAGTTCAACAAACATGTCAGATACTGTTTTATTCAATGATCTCTGTTGGCGAATCGACAACTTTGTAAAGTCCTGCGAGAAGACTACTGTTGTGATTTAGGGCTATACAGTAATACATTGAATTGAATATATAAATAGCAGTTTTTCAATTGGTCCTTTAATTGTAATACAATAATAGTTTCTTAAAGCAGGCAACTAAGGCCAACCAACGCCTAAAGTCACAGTTTTGAAGTTTTGAACCCAGCACCTGTCATTAAACAAATGAATACATGAAAACGTGAATCTGGCGACTTCGGAGCAAAGGGACTCTCTATAAACTAAAAAAGAAAGAGAATGATAACCATGACTTTAAACTATTACACAATTCAGAAATGTGTTTTCTTTTTCACCAAACCATAAAATGAAGCTTACATGGGCATTCCCAGTGGCAGGCACACGTCTCCTGGACCCTGACCGGGGGCATGTTGTTCCTACAGGCCGGAGGCTCCAGTCTCTCGCAGCTCACTTTGTGGCTCTGCACGGTCACTGCTCCACTGGGGTGACACAGGAGGGAGTGACAGCCATCGTCCAGCAACCATGACTCTCCAGGCTGTAACACATGCACTATGGGAGTTAAACTATTCTGGCAATATGGTCCATTGTTTTGCATGCAAAAGGATATGCATGAAAATCACTGCTCAAATCTACTGTTACATTTACAGATTCTCTTGCTTTAATTCATCTTATAAAGCTGTATCATCTTGAAAGTGTAGCACAGATAACTCAAAGTATCATATATTGACCCATAATGCTCCATTATCCATAGGATATATTTTTTCTAATAACAGCATGTTGCCTGATTGGTTCAAAAGGTTCTGTTTTTACAGGGATATTCATGTGAAGATAACGAAAATGTATTATTTATTAAACAAAACAAACAAAATGAGCTTTTTTCTGCTTCCATACAAACCTTCCTCTCTGTCCCATTATCATCCACGCACAGTCCCGGTGGACCCGCTACAAACATAAACGGCAACACAAACACATCAGCAGAGTGTGGATACTAAGTCTGTCTGATGGAAGAGGACCATCATCACCTCTGCACATCCTCTGGGTGAAGTCCTGGTCCAGGCTCAGCAGCAGCAGCAGCAGCTGGTCCATGCTGCTCAGGTGCAGGCTGTTGTCCTGCTTACCGTGGCGACCCAGCACACTGAGCTCCGCCCTGTCGTATCCTGATCCCACGCCGATGGGAAACACTGACACACCTGGTGGGAAAATACATCTTCCATCAATAAAAGCAGATGGAATACATGAAAGATGAAAGGAGGGAGATCAGATCAGTATGGTGTAAGTTACCAGCTGCCATCGCTTCGTTAGCCGCCTCTGTGACGTCATCAGCGGATTTGTCCAGAACCAACATGACGACGACCTTAGCCACCCCAGCTCTGCCTCCGCTGGCCGGGGAGAGGGCGTTCTGGACGGCAAACCGCAGAGCTGCACCTGTACATATAAACAATCAAGTGTCTATGGATCTATGATGTTTTGTTAGCCTTTTATGAGCTTTAACATTAACGTTGCTTAATAACATGCCTAGTAAATATACAAGTTGTCATTGATAGATGCATGATAACTATTTGAGTTGACTTTGTAACTACCAAGTTGAGGAGTTGCAGGGGTCCTTCTGGGAACTCTGTCCACCAGATTTAGGAGCTGGTCTTTGCTCTGCTCCTGCTTCCAGCTGATTTCGGCTGTATTTCTTTCTCCGTACTGTGACAAACTGAAGTAAGTGTCCTTAGGCCCTGAAGGGGAAAGGAGAATTGGAATCAGAAATGTTCTTGTCCACATACCGTAATGTTTTGTTGGTCACTCAAAGCAGTAGAATTATAAACTATACTCGCTGAGTGATTGATAAACTACTACTATCGCCACCGGTGGAAACATGCTGCCAAATAGCGCCATGCTCCATAAAACCACCACCAATGACCCACTCAGGTACCGGATTCATACTATGCAAAGTGGGTGAATGTGCAGTTTTGAGTAACAGTCGCTCATTCAAATACTAGACCCAAAGTTTTAAGATGGCCCAGTACAAAAGGAATTATTTAAAAAAAAAAAACATTTTCAGCATCATCTTGAGAAATTTTGTTTTAGCACAGTTTTACATAACAAAGACTTGAATATATGAAGATAAGCAGCTGTCTGTAAAACACATTTTTACACCAAATAAACTCTGTAGATGAAAAAAGGCCCAAACCATAAAGAATACTTGCTTATAGTACACGCCTAATGCTTTCAAATGTTCTTCGTCTAATGAGTGGTTATAAAATTAATCTTAATAAAAATACAACTTATTGTCAGAATAATTGACCACCAAAACTTAAGAAAATACCTATGATGACATACCACTAGTTGAAGCTGCCTCCATGGGACTTTTCCACTTTGTTGTCAAAAGTAAATTAAAACATGGCTGCAGCAACTTCATCTCATCATGCTCTTAGTAAAACTGCCCTAGAACATCATGCGGTGAGGAAACATCATGCAGTGGCCGGCTGATTGCTTCTAACAAATCTCGTGTGGGACACTTTACCTTTGTTTACCAGTTTCACTACTTTATTGCAGCCAATACTGACCACTAGGAAATGTATACATAACCTTAACAAATTACCGCAAAGTAAAAAAAGAGATATCATGATTACGTGTACAAATTACAGTATATATATCGGCGTTTACATGCACACAATAGGCTAAAAAATACAAAACAATTCCCCCCATTCTATTCACCAAAAGGTAAATGCTTCTCATCTCAAGTCAGCTCTCACATTAAATTATTACCTAGTTCTCCAGGAGGATATATGAGATTTAAGGCTGTTCAAGAGCAATTTATCGCTGGTTTTTACCATAATTCCCAGGGAATATGAAGGCAGCCCCAAGTTTGATTAGATATTTGGCTAATGTAATGATTTGAGTGGCTCAGTGGCACAGTGGATAGCACTTGTGCTTCACAGCAACAAGGTCCTAGGTTCGATTCCACGTCTTTCTGGGTGGAGAGGGTTGAATGAGTGTAAGTTTGTGAGTGTGACTGGGACTGCAGATCTGGTGCATTTACATCTGTTTATAAATAAACAGATACAAATATAACTTCAAAACATGATATCATCTAAAGGCAGCTTAATTTGAACATACCTATTTTTGCATTAGTGATGAAGCTCTTGACAAATGTCTTTGCATCAGTCAACTGCTCCCCCGCCTTTAACAAGAACACAACGTCCATGGGCTTGTCACATGGCACTAAATAACGACAGAGTACAACCAGAAGTAAATACACCGTCAACAGGCAGCCCGACACTTCCAGTAAATACTGCGTTGCACCTGAAGGGGGCAGAGTGGCTGGTGTGGGCACAATCAGAGGCGGGAGAGTCGGGGAACGGGGAATGATTCTTGTCCGTGTAATATTGATCACACGGTGGACTACGTTTGTGAGATTAAAATAATCTTCCACCATTATTGGCCGCTGTGGAGAGCTGAAAGGGAACAAGTCCACCTCTTTGACTTTTCCGCCCACACCGATTGGAAAGATTTGAGTTTGCATGTTTGTAATTGGACGCGTTATCGTGTCTGTTGGCGGGTTTTCGGTCACAAGAAATACCAGTTGCGGAGGAGTCGCAGGTCCAGCCGGAGGAGCTGTTGCAATCTGTTGAAAAGCAGTTGCAATTGCAGTACCCGTGTTGGTCTTATTCCCACCTCTCCAGTGAATCTCCCTTAACTTTTCCACAAGTCTTTGTTTATGCCATCTGACCTCCCAGTGGCTTATTTCAATCACAACGGTGACTGAATATTGGATTACTGTAATACGAATAACTTCTTCTTTCTCTTGTGCCAGCTGTTCAATAACTTCTTCCAGAAAAAGGACCGACTTGTTGAAGTTGGCTTGGCCCACCGTGTCTGAGCCTTCAATGATGAATGTAAGGTCTTTGGTTGGTGTTAGAGGAGAAGTTGTGGTTAGGGATATGAAAGGGGGTTCAGTGGTACTTTTTGGGATACTTGAAGTAGTAGTGATAGTTGTAGTAGTTGATGTTGTTGTAGGAGTAGTGGTTTTTGGATTGTCTTGGATTGGCTCCAGCCCCAAAGTACAAAGGTAATCGTTTAACTCCAACAATCGGTCATGCAGTTCGCCTACACTGCTGAGAACATACGCCCGGTTTTCTGGACTGATTTTGGTGATTTCGTTGATTTGTCCCATGTCGACCTCGGGGCCCAGCGCGACAGTTAAAGTGGTGATGGACTTCCTGCGCAGCATCTTGAGGATGGCGCGCATGGGCCGGGGGTTTTCGCTGGCCGTGAGGATGACGGCGACGCGGCCTGCATGCTCGCGCTTGTTCTTGTCGTAAATGTTGACGGCCAAGTACTTGATAGCCTCGTCCAAGAAGGCCGCGTCTCCCCCAGTGTAATGGAGCTCGCGGACCATCTTCCTAAAGAGCCATTTCTGAACCTGCAAACACAAAGTATGCTTTCAAAAAAGAAATTGGGCTTTTAACCATGTTCCAACATTGTTCCCTCATCACATCCACCCAGCCTTTCTGTCGTAATTGCTTGTTTCTCAAAACTGGTATGCTATGATGAATAATCAGAGACATTGTCCGGCTTTTGAAAACAAAATTAATTTTGGCAATTTCTCTGGTGAAATGACATTCTTTGCAAAATTTAAAGACAGCATTGGACATCATTTGAACTTGAAATAAGGAAAAAAAACTATTGGCTGCTGTTATTAATTATTTATCATTTATATACAATATTCGAGTTATAAATACTTCAAAGGTGCATATTAGCTGGTACATGTAATTTTTTTCAAACTAGTGATGAACTATATGATAAAGGTGTAATTTGCACACCTTTTAAATGTTTGCCTCACCTGCAGCTCGTATGTCTTCACTCCGGAGTGGTACAGCAGCACTGTTGCTCGTGTGTGCGCTGAGCCCATGCGAAACTTTTCCACCACGCTGAGGATGAAGTCTTTGGTCACCTGGAAGTCCTCCTCGCTCAGGGCCTCCGAACCATCCAGGAGGAAAGCCAGGTCCATGGCCCGGTCACAGCCCCCCTCAGGCATCAGTGTGGTGAAGGGCACGGTGCTGTATGTCCCCCAGGAAGTTGTGGGGGCAGGAGTGGTCAGGGATGCGGGGGTGCAGGCCTCACAGTGCAGCTGGTTGCTTTCACAGTGACTGGATAGAGTGGCAAGTGTTAGAATAATTTCCTTTGTACATTGTAATAAATGCTATTGGCAGAATTACCATATCTTGCACATCTCTGGGACATCTTGGTTGAGGAGAACTTTGGTTCCATGGGAGATTGTTTGACCCTCATGGACACAAACTTGGCACTGAGAGGGTTCTACACAGCGCAGGAGAACTTCATCCAGCAACTGACCTGTAAGAAAGAACAGCATTGAGGTGCAGGGCCAAGTATCCAAGTGTGCATCAGAATCAAAGTTTGAATTTTGTGTTTCTACATAGCTCAGCTCTACATGATACATATTGAGTACCATCCAAAATTATCGCGTTAATGCACTTTCATTACATTGTTCATTAATTGCGATTAAAAAAATTAAAGCGTTTAACGCATTTCCGAATGACCCACCCATGATGTATCCCATAATATCACTCAGAATGCCGCGGACACATGCGCGTGTGAGATGGAAACAGAGCAGGTCTTGGGAATTCAAGTTTTAAAAGAATACGCGAGTGACCGCGGGGCACTTGCTGTTGCCTGATGTATGAACTGAAGTCCGCATCCTTCGTGGCCGCAGCGTTCTGACCCGGGGCAGTGCGGCCGCTCTTCCCACCTCCAGCAGCAGTGAGCCGCTAACAACAACACGGCAAATGGGGCCCGGTAACGTCATCCAAGACCACACACGCACAGAACTATTCTCTGCATGTTGTGCGTGTGTCTTTGCCTAACATGTGCGTAAACCTGTGCTCGCGAACACACCGTTGAAGCTGAACTATGGAGCCTCAGGAAGTATCTCCTCCTGAAACGCAACTCGCTAAAGTAAAGCTGGGGTACGTCAATTTTCCCTTTCATTACCAGCTAATGTTGGTTGTGCCCAAAAGTAAAAGGTTGTGATCAAATCAAACAGATGTAAGTACATTTGGTATGAATGACAATGTGTCATTACATTTGATAATCTCATTTAAATTCAATTGAAATAGAATGATACAAAATTTGATTAATTGTAAGTTAACTCACCATTATTATGCGATTAATCAACCGAAAAAATGTAATCGTTTCACAGCCATAATTTTCATCCATCAACCCCTCGGACCCTGGCAACACTATACTGAGCGACATCACGTTTCACAATCCTCCACTTCTTACTATCTATGGCAGGGGAGTCAAATTCATTTTGGTCAAGGGCCAAAAAAATAAAATTGGAAATAGTTGAGCCGAAAGAATAGAGGGGTTGTCCTTTACTTATAATTGTTTTTTATATTATGAAGGTATTTTCACATTTTTCATTTGTTTATTGTTTAGATTTAACCAAAACTAGACCAAATATTAATTTAAACACATTGTTTTATATTCAACCATTTCACTTCTATTGATCCGTTGGGTTAAAATTTTAGAATAACTTAAATGTGGTTGTTTTCCTGAAATAATAGATTATGTATAACATGCCTTGGTAGCCCATAATCATAAAGACATAGGCTATTAATAATAATACATAATTATTTGGACTATTCGGACTGCACTTTGTGGGAGCTGTTTCTGATGACCAAGTGAGACCCCCACCAAATGTCATAATGCCCTTCTTCTCTCCAATAGTGTTAATTAATGCTTTTATCTTTTAAATAACGATATCTTATCGTGACTGTTTACATCTGAGGCTTCTCGGCCCCCACCACCCCCCTCCTCCTCCTCCTTACCAGCACCGGGTGAGTACTGTGGTGCAAACACTGACCCCTGTCCGTCTGGCAGTGTAACGACAGTCCACTGAACTGTGCTGACTCAGTTATGCATCTGGAACTTAACAAAGTACAACAGAGTTCACTTTTTAAACCAATAGAGACTGTGTGTGTTTCTCGCACCAGCTCAGAAATGTGTTTTAACTTGAATAAACACAAATTTAAAAGAAGGACAGCAGTTAGACGGTCCAACTCTGGAAATCTAATTCCAGTTCTTTGTAATCAATCAACTAAACCCATTGACACTGATATTAATTTTAACCAGATCACTATGCAACAAATCATTTTTAATTAATAATTTTATCTGTTCGTATGATCTTGATTTTATGTTTATGACTGAGACATGGCTTGACCATAATACAGGAGATGCAGTTTTGATAGAAGCCTCACCACCAAATTTCAAATTTGAATATGAAACACGAGAAAATAAAAGGGGGGGGGGGCATAGCAGCAGTTTTTAAAGATCGTATTGTCTCCCATAGAGTGTCTCTTGGGAAATTTTCATCATTTGAGTATGTTTCTTTTAAAATAGAACAAAAGAAATCTTCTTCCATTCTTATTATTGTTGTGTACAAGCCGCCACAGTCATGCCATAGTTTCACTGATCATTTCACTGAGTTGCTTTCAGTTGTGTGCACAGATTTTGATGGTTTGGTCATTGTAGGTGATTTCAATATACATGTAGATAATGCTAATGATAGATATGCAATAGAGCTGAGCTCTGTGCTGGAAACCTTTGGTCTCACTCAGCATGTGAGTGGCCCCACCCACAGCAGAGGACACACTCTCGATCTGTTAATTACCAAGGGGGTTAATATTTCAAATGTAAATGTGGTCAATGTTGCTCTGTCTGATCATTTCTGTGTATTTTTTGACATGTGTCTTGATTGTAAACCACCAGCTGAATCTTCGGTTGTTAGAAGAAGACACATAAATGATAATACAGGCGAACTGTTCATGGGGAGGGTAAACTTTGAGAACACGTTGTGTGTTACTGTAGATGAATTACTTGATTCTGTCACCACCACTGTTTTGAATGTTCTGGATACAATTGCTCCTGTAAAGGTTAAAATAGTTACAAACAAGCAAAAAGCGCCATGGACTAAAGCAGACTCGGTCAGGGCACAGAAGAGAGAGTGCCGGAAGGCCGAGCGGAAGTGGCGGGAAAGTCAAATTCAAAGTTGACCATGAGATCTTCAAAGATGCGTTGTGCAATTTTAACAGGGAACTACGTAGAACGAGGGAAATGTACTTTTCTGAAACTATTGAAGGCTGTAGCAACAATCTACGTGTTCTGTTTTCAACAGTAAATAGATTGACGAATCCCCCTGTTAAGATGCCATCAGAACTTACTTCCAAATCTAAATGTAATGAGTTTGCTCAGTTCTTTAATGACAAAGTCCAAGGTATCAAAAACGCCATCACCTCCACGATAAAAATAATAATCCAACCGCCAGTGAGGCTTTTTGGGCTGACGCACTTTACACCAGTACAAATTGAAACTGTCCAGGAGATAATCACTAGTCTGAGTTCCTCCACATGCAGCCTGGATGTATTACCTCCTAGATTTCTCAAGTCAGTTCTGAGCAGTCTTTTACCTTCACTTACACAAATAGTTAATATGTCTCTTGAATCTGGAACATTCCCAATGGCCTTGAAAACGGCGGTCATCAGGCCCCTCCTAAAAAAGAGGAGTCTGGAAGCCCTGGCACTCAAAAATTATCGGCCCATTTCAAATCTGCCTTTCATGGGAAAAATTCTAGAAAAAGTTGCCTATAAACAACTTACAGAATTTTTAATAATCAATAACGTTTATGATATGTTCCAGTCAGGGTTTAGACCCCACCACAGCACTGAGACCGCGCTAATAAAGGTAACAAATGACATCAAACTAAACACTGACGCAGGAAAAGTCTCAGTCCTTTTTCTGTTAGATTTAAGTGCTGCTTTTGACACTATTGATCATGGCATCCTCATTCAGAGACTTGAGGACTGGGTTGGTGTTGCTGGCACCGCCCTAAGCTGGTTTAGGTCCTATTTACAAGACAGAAAGTTTTTTGTGGAGATCGAAAACTGTACCTCAGACCACTTGGCCCTGACCTGCGGAGTGCCACAGGGGTCAATCCTGGGTCCTCTTCTGTTTAATATTTACATGTTGCCTCTAGGTCAGTTGATTCACAGTAATAATGTCTCTTATCACAATTACGCTGACGATACTCAGGTCTATGTGTCCCTGACAGCAGGAGAGCATGAACCAGTGGACTCGCTCCTACACTGTGTCCAGAAAATCGGTGATTGGATGCAAAATAACTTTCTCCAACTAAACACCGACAAAACTGAAATAATTGTTTTCGGACCCCAGAAACAAAGAGAGAGCGTTATTTGTCACCTCCAGGCTCTCTCTCTGCAGCCCTCAAGTCAGGTCAGAAATCTAGGAGTGATAATGGACTCAGACTTAAATTTCAAAAGCCACATAAAATCTGTAACATCAGCAGCTTATTACCACCTAAAAAAACATTGCTAAAATTAAAAACATAGTGTCTAAGGCAGACTTGGAGACTCTTATACACGCTTTTGTCTCCAGTCGGTTAGACTATTGCAATGGCCTGCTCACAGGTCTGTCCAAACAGGCTGTAAAACAGCTGCAGTACATTCAACATGCAGCAGCTCGAGTCCTGACCAGAACTAGGAAGTGCGACCACATTAGTCCAGTTCTCAGGTCTCTGCACTGGCTTCCTGTTCCTCAGAGAATAGACTTCAAAGCAGCTTTACTTGTGTACAAGTCTCTCCATGGTCTCGCGCCAAGGTACATCCATGACATGTTTGTGCCATATGAACCGACCCGGACTCTGAGGAGCACAGGGACTGGACTCCTGTTAGTGCCCAGAGTCGGTACTAGACATGGGCAAACTGCATTTCAGATTCATGCGGCTAGAGTCTGGAACCGTCTTCCTGAGAATGTGAGACAGGCGTCTACTCTGGCATCTTTTAAATCTAGGCTCAAAACAATTCTGTTTAGCTGCGCATATACAACTGAATGATTTTATCTTTTCATCTTTGTTTTTATCTTTAATCTTTTTAATGCACTGTGACTATTTATGATTTTAGTCCCATCTGTGATTTTAATGTTTAAAGGTTTTTAATTTTTGTGATTTTATTTTTAATGTTTTTAATATATCTTGTGCTCTTAATGTGTTTGATTTATGCATGATGTGATAGGGGATGTGAAGCGCTTTGCGTTGCCTTGTGTAGGAAAGGCGCTCTACAAATAAACGTTGATTGATTGATTGATTGATTGATTGATTGATCTATATCTATCCTCAATCTCCCTTTTTTGTTGTTAAAACCCTCCTGTAGTAGTAAAACCCCTCCTTCAGAACCTCAGCAGCCTCCATCTTCCCCAACTGCCCTAACAGAAGAGTGCCAGTGTGGCTGTTGTATGCACCTGGAGGGCAGTGTGTGTGGCATCCCTCCACGCAGCTCAGGGGACAGTGCAGAGGCTCTGGATGCTGGCAGCTGATTGGACAGGCTGGACCACAAGCGTTGTACCTCCACTGACATAGCTCCTCACCCGTGTCGGCACGCACCGGGTTCAGGTCTTCACAGCTCAAAGCTTCAGACAAAAAGATCAGGGCAGAGAAAATCATAATGATGCATTTTTGATTGCTTTTATTTGTTTGAATTTTATTGACTTCGAACAATGCAAATGTATAAATATTAGGGCTGGGACTCAATTAAAAAAATTAATCTAATAAATTAGAGGCTTTGTGATTAATTCATCGCAATTAATTGCATTTTAATCGCATGTAAATATTTGTCCTGAGAACAGTGAGAAGTAATTTTTTTTCCCATGGATTTTTAGTTGAATAATGACTGAATACATAAGCTTAAGCAACACATGTTCATTGTGGATGAGAAGGGGATCAGACAGACTTCTTTCCCATCAAATAACGTATCTGTCATCGCATCCACACACTCTGACCACAACAGACACTTTTTTATCCCAAAATCCAGCCCTAAAGCTTATAATAAGTTTTCGATGTGTGCATTCGAACTAAAACATCAGCAATAGCAGCTCACACACCTGTGTCGCTGCTCCTCCTACGCCTCCTCCTCCTCCGCTCACACAGGAGCCGCTCGTTCCTCCTCCTCACACACACAGTCTATAGCTCCATACACAGCGCTCTTTCTCGTCTCTAACTCACTCAGATTGAGTGACCGCTAAAGTTGGTCTATGCTTGTTTTAATGTACAGTACTTTTGAACAAGAAAAGTCACGAAGCTCGAGTTGGTGCTCCTGAACAATAGGCCCGTCTGAAAATCATCCAGTGAGCAATGTTCCACGGTGGAAAAAACACATGCGATTAAAATGCGTCAATTTTTTAAATCATAATATCTAGTGATTAACATCGCTAGCTACTGTATCTTAAAAGTACTCCTGTTATGCCTACTTTCAGAAGACATGGAGTTACTCACGACAGAGCTGATTGGTCCTCCAGCTGATGGACAAGCCTTGTTCTGAACAGGCCAGAGCGTAGGCTGCCACCACGTCACAGAAGCAGGCACAGTCTCCCACCGAAGGACAGGAGCAAGCTGCATCCACACACATCTGCACAAAAGGCTCCGCGTCGATCTGAGTGCAGGGAAAGACCACCGTATGTCAGAAATATAGCACAGAGATGCATTGTATTTTGACCAGTAAAACAGTAACTGATTAACAAATAAATATATATCATAACACTAACATTGTCCATCTGGTGGTTATTATTATGTTAAAAGTTCACCTGATCATTGCATTCTTTGAAGATTGGTCCAGTAAGAACACGACAGGACTGCTCCACTGTGACTAGCTTGCTAATGTCGTCATTGCAAGGAGGAGGCACCTGAATTGACATGAGACAAAAATATTTTAAGTAATTCTAAGCATTCCTAAAATTTACTTTTATAAATGAACAGTCAAAGGAAAGAGTGTCATTTTGACTAGAGGCTGAACATTATTTACTGTGGTTAATTATCTGTGGTTATTTTTCTATATTTAGTTAAACCTGTATTTTTTTTGAATAATTACATCCTTTTATACACTACGTAGGCTTAGTTCATACTCTGTACTCACTTAAAAAAATAAAGGGTACTTTGATTACTATTGTACTGAGGATGGCAAAGACTCTCTGAGCGTAAGGAAGCTGAAGCGCAAATTCAGACTGAAAGACCGTGCCACAGCGCTCACCCGTCCAGGGCCAGCAATCACACAGCTCTGCCAGGCCTGAACCTCCGCCAATCACACAACCTGGCCAGCCTCTTGCCAAACCACTGACAGCAAAGCGGGCAGTTTAAAAGCAGCAACTTCCTAATAATCAGCGCTTCCTGAAGCTCCTGCCCTGGCTCCTGCTCTGGCTCCTGCTCTGGCTCCTGCTCTGGCTCCTGCTCTGGCTCCTGCTCTGGCTCCTGCTCTGGCTCCTGCTCTGGCACCTGCTCTGGCACCTGCTCTGGCACCTGCTCTGGCTCCTGCTCGGCCTACGCCCCATTCACACCATGCTACTGTATAGCCACCACCAGTGCTTGACCCCGGGGGATCTGAGAGCGTCTTCAGCAGCAAATGATCTCCCCTCTACAAGTGTCACTGCCGGGGTCAAGGCGCCAAACAAATACATCTTTTTCATGCATTAGTGTGTCTGTCTTGGTCTCTTGAGATTGAAATAGGTTTATTATCAGTACTATTGTTGGCATTAGTCTATCTAACTATCTAAAATAAAGATATAGTGACGTTTGGTTACAGGCTTTGTGGAGATTTGGCTTAAAGAAGACTATAGTTGTAGTTGTGTCTTCCGTTAATAAGATGAAAAGTTCAAACCGAAACTTAAAGTGGTTCTCACCCCCGCTCCTCGGAGTTTACGTCACTCACACATTTCCTGTTCAAATCTTCCTCTAAATGGGCGTAGCCTGGAGGACTAAAGGGGGCGTGAACAAGACTGGGCCGTTTACATTGCTCTGGGCGGGGGGCTGCTGACGTCAGGTCTTGCTTCAGACGTCAGGTCTTGCTGCCGCGCCAGTGTTGGCGCCAGATTCAAAATTCAAATATAGTAATACAGGTCGCCAGCAGATGGCGCCTCACAGACGGTTTTAGGCAGAAAGTTTAACTTTCAACTAATTTGCACCAAAGTGACAAAATAATGACCAGGATATGTAGACAAGACTATTGGACACTCATTTACTGTATATCGTTTATCAGCAAAAAAAAGTGGATTTGAGGGTGAGTTGTCCTTTAACATCTCTTTTTGTCCTTTAGTCAGTGAGGCTCTCTGGTCTCTCTTTGGTCTCTCTCTGGTTAATCTCATAAAAATAACTAATTGTATGATCTATTCTTTATTCTGTTTTGATTATTCTGTAATCCAGGATGTGCATATGTAGTTTGTTTTCTGTGCCTTTGTGTCCTTCTTCTGTACTGTTTTTATTGTGATATGAAAAGTTTGATTGTAAATTAGTTTTGGGGGTGTGGGTGCTTTGTGCTTCAGCCCACTCCTTTTGTGCAGCATTAATAATGTTCAAATAAATAAATAAAATCAAAGGCTAAAAAGATATCTTGCATGTTCGACACACCTAGTCTAAGCAGTCATCTGGTCTTTTTCAGACTAGAGCCAGCTCCTAAATTCATTAACATAAAATTGAATGTATCCAGACCTGTGTTACATCGGCACAGCTGGGCAACACTTTCCAGGAGTTCCCGAAGTGCGGCGCGTCCACCTCCAGTTGGTTATTGCTGCTCATCAAGTCATTGTTAACGTTTCCGTCGTAGTTTCCACAGAGGCCACACACTTTTCCCTGCACATGACCCCTCACATTAGAATAGAGCGTGTAACAACGACACCATACTGTACATACCAGTGAGGACATTTACAAAGCATAAGCAAAAAACTCTATTCAGTGTTGCTCCCAAACTGATCTGACCACTCTTGTCCAAGTACATGTGGGATGAATAAAGGATCTCTTAATCTTAAATCCAATTGTATGTATTGTATGTTGCTGCAAGTAACCTAATGGAACCAAAACAAAACAACTGTGTATCCATCGTAAAGATCAAATGTCACTTGTCTCCGGGTTACGTGGTGAACACAGTAGAAATAGTTTGATTCACTTACGCTAAACGGACAACATTTAAACAATCACATTATACAAGCGTACAATTGTCTTGCTCAATCAAATTAAAGTGGACGAGAAGACTAATCCGGTTTTCACTAGTGCTTTGTAGGCGTCCTGATTTGGATGAGAGGATTACCCTGTAGACAGGAGAAATGTGCACGCGGAGGTGGGTTCCTTTATCCCAGTTGATGGTGAGATGCTTTCCCAGGAGCACAGTGTAGGATTGGGCCGACCGCACAATCTGCACCTGTGAGCCTAGCAGGACTGGATTCTTCACTTTTACCTGCAGCAAATACACGCGTGTAGTATTAGGTGGAGAAAACAGGACACATTTCCTTCTGGTGCACACTGGGTAGTCTTGCACAGTTTGTCCATTGTGGTTTTACTGCAAATGGAAAATAAATTATTCAATCTTGAATCCTAACCTTTCTCAGAATACTCTGTTTGAACTGCTCAAATAAAGAAAATAAATTGATATCATTGATTTGGATATATTGTGTCCCCAGCATCTAGTTATCTAATTACAATCAATGAAAATATATGTGGAAGGCTCAAAATAGACTTGCATCATTACCCTCAAGTAACATGTATGTTTTTGCAGGCACTCAGGAGGACATTCTCTTTTCCATTGATGAAACTGAGAAAAGCCTGAGGAGTCGAGGAGGACACTGGTTAAAAAGGAGGCGATGGCCTTACCTCTCCGTGCTGCATGACGATCACGCCTCCTTGGAAAAAGATGGTGATGACTTTTGCACATCGATGTCCGACAATTCCACAAGGTCCATTCTCCACCAGCACTCTGAAGGAGCCGTCCTCACCGCCGCACATGTCCTGCACACAAACGCTCAGTTTTCTCTCATATTTAAGTTGTCCAAATCTAATGTGACCTAGTTGGACGTGCCTGGTAACCACAAAAAGTAAGGACTAAAGCTTATTTAATGTAATCAATAGTTAAGGAATGACAAGTGAAAACACGAGACAACTCAGTATTTTTGTTGCATGATGGTTTTAACTATTTCAGCACCAAAGTGTCACATTTGTGAAAATGTTCATTAATATGTATTGTCCCTCCTTTTCAAATAAATAAATAAATAATAATATAAAAAAAATTGATTAATATAAGCTTGTTGGTTCATTCAAGCATCTAGACATTATGTCTGTGGTGTGTGCACGTCTGTGGCGTTTTTTTATATCTCACGAGACAGAAACTCCTGTAGTATGGAGCCCGCTTAAAGGGTGCAATAACATTTTTGGTGTCTGACGGCTTGTTGGAGGAATTCCAGCTTAGTCTTATTACTTTCTGTATATTGTTAGACATTTTCGTTTATGTTTTATCAGTTAAATGTCCCTTTGACTTGACTGATGTAAGACTACTAAAAAGGCGTTCTGTCCCAATATTGTATCTGTATTTCAATTACCTTCACACACACACGCACACACACACACACACACACGTACACAAACAATCACAGAATACCTCCCTCAGTTACTACTAATTTCCTTGATTTGTTATTGTCTTATTTGTTGTACATTTTTTGTTTGTTTTGTTTTTTGTCAACATCAGTCTTTGGTTATCTTTCTGACTTTTATGTTGTTATTGTTATTGTATTGTTTGTGTAAATGTTGCATAATAAAAAAAATAAAATAAAAAAAAAGGCGTTCTGGCCCACATAGAAGTCATCGTTGTATTAAAATATAACTGGGATGTCATGCACACACAAACACTTGGAATGAGACAGGTCAGACTTTGCTTTCCTTGAGCAGAACACATCATCATTCCTCCTCCTACTTAACAGCACAACTTTCAGGTATAGACATGTAAGCAGACTTGTAATCATTACCTGGATGAGCACGTACTGACAGAACCCAGGGAAGAGGTACTTCAGCCCATCAAAGGTGATGTAGTGGCCCTCCCCAACCGTCCGGCAGACTCCGTCACACACGTTATTGGTGCACTCCCACTTCCTCTTCTTACACACACTGTACATTGGTAATAGTTATTTATAATAATAATTAGTAAAACAGTGTAGTAATATGATGCCTGTGTTATAATCTATTCATAATGATAGAGATGCTATACCTGATCTTTTGATGCTAGTGTTAGTGATTTTAATTTATTGTATTTATTATAGTTATTGTTCAATAATCTTGTGCTGTGTGCTTCTTATTCCTACTGTTATGTAACTGGTGATGCAACACTGACATTTTTCCACTGTGGGATGAATAAAGGATCTAATCTTAATGTTAAATAATTAAGAAATCTTTTAAATTTAGATAGATTATTAAACAGGCATTCTTTTTACACAATATGGATATAGGGCACTGTAGTAGTAGATCCCAGTGGAAGAAAACACTGTATATCTACAAATGAATGCACAGGGAATTCCGAATCATGTATCAGTCAATTCAAACCTAATAATGAAGGGAGTATAGAATCTGAAGGCCCTTTTTCTTCTCACACCTTCCAGGGAACCCTCCCAGAAAATGCCTTCCCTCACAACTAAAAAACTGTGTATACAAAATGCTACTCGTGACCTTACCCTATGTGTCAGTAATGTCCGTTTTATATATAAAACGGACACTACTGTAATGGAAATATTATTATGCTAATTATTTGAGTCTATTTCATCAGTTAAATTTAAGATACTACACTCGCAACATAAACAGGGGGAGTGTGTGCGCAACCCCCCAACTGATATTTCCTGGCACAAGCTAGTACAGCAACACTCCCTTTTGATTCATGAGAACCAGGAAGTCACCTGTGACTCCAGACACAACCATAGCCTGGTCATGCTCCATCTTAGGCCACACACGGTGGCTGAGTGGATAGCACTCTCGCCTCTCAGCTAGAAGGGCCTTTCTGAGTGGAGTGGAGTTTGCATGTTCTCCCCGTGTACTTCGGTTTCCCCTACCACAAAAAATATGAACAATAGGTCTGGCATGCGCCGCATGCACTGGCGACCCCGCTCCCATCTTTGTGTAGAGTGAGAGGACAAATGCCCCAAAAATAACAATGGTAAACCGCTTTGTGACCCTGGTCTGTGAAAGGCGGTATATAAATAAAGATTACTTAATTACACGCACGCACAGTTAACAATTTTTAGAATTCTACTTTGCACAAGATGACCTCTTGTTACACGTTCAATAGTTTATTAATGAAGTATTTGTTTCTTTATCTTTAAATAGATCTGTCATTTACCAGGTATTGCACTCTATAGCCACACTCTGTCCAGATGCATAAGCCCGGTTGTTATGGTAACAAGGACATTCCTGAGGTAAAATGCAATCTCTCCGATGACGCACCTGTTGGACATATTTTTCAATCACATAGTGCGTCATAAAAAAGTGGACACTGACATCGGATGGACACAAGACATACGGTTCCCGGTGGACAGAGACATCCAGGAATACAGGCCACGCCCACACATGGGAGGTCTAGGTTCTGACAGGTCCGGGCACATTCTGGACCTGTCCCTCCGGTCTCACAGTCTGCTCGGACAAGTGGAGGAGGGCACTGAGCTGACCGCCGTTCTGCACAAACAATACACACATTTATACAGCAGAGCGCACACATCTTGACATACTTTATGTTGTTATACAAAGTGTCAGGGCACAAGAACCTCCTGAAAATATCTTCCACGTACCCCAGGGGTTTTAAGCTACTGATCGGAGGCCACTACTATTTTGAGATCAGATTTAAAACTAACTTTGATTTTGTTTTCCTGTTTAAACTGAACAAAATCATAGGATGCATAGTACGGTCCCTTCTTCCTCCTCTGTCTCATGCCAAACAAAATGTGGGAAACAGATAAGTAAGAAAGATAACAATAACGGACATCAAGCATGTGAATACAATCAAACTCTCTCGGACTTCTCATTTCTTTTTGTTTTAATAGAGATGGAATGTAAATGATTCAAACCTCTGGATGGAGCCAAATCATCATCATAAAACATGTCTGACAGCATGGTCCCCTCCTCACTGGAACTGCAGTGCATGGCTCCATTCTCACAATGACTGTGAACAGTAACTAACTTCAGCATAATATAGAAAACATTTACATGTTTTGAAATCATACTGTATTTGAAACAGTATATAATCAATCCAGCCCAAATTGTTCCCCATAATTTTTCATGGGTCAGAGCACAAACACAAACCCCATGAGCGGCACGTTGAACACTCTGGGCAAGAGAACTTTGTTGAAAACCATTCACATTTGGATACACCCGCTGTATACACCTGCTGATCCCATTTATTTAAGTTACTTCGGCTTCAACCATGATTTGGTTAAATATTCACCTCATCATGATGCACCCTGATTCAAATGAGTTTTTTATAGATGGTGGATTAAAGTAGATTTAGGAATATATTTGGTGAATTGCACACAGAAAACTAAAATAAAATGTCCCCTCCCCGCACTAACGAAGCTTTCGCCTCCCACTACCCCCCTCCCACAAAGCGCATGCTCGCGTGCTGTTGTTTACGGAGCTGGATACGTCTTTTGTTTTAGCCCAAAAACAAATGGAAATGTATTGTTCTTCATTTGACTGCATGCCTCAGTGCTAAAGTAGTCTCGTCCACCGCGCTTCCCGAGTGCCTCTCTCCTGCTCCTTCAAATGCCTGGCCTCTCTCGGTTCTTGTAGGGACTTTCTTTTGGATGGCTGTTTCCCTCTATAAGCAGTAACCGGTCACAAAGACACGGGAAGTTTCAGGTTCGCCTCCGCCATCATGCTCGTCTACCTCAGCTCTGTGTGCGCGCTAATGAGTAGACCTGTAGATTTTCTAAAGAAAGTGGGGACCAGTGGTCCGCTGTGATTGGTCAAAATCTGGTCCCAAAATAAATTCTTTTTCACGTTGTACGAAAATTTGATCGAAAATAAAGTTACACTCCAGTACAAACCAACGCTACTTATTCTTCAAAAGGACTGCAATGTACTCCATGGATCTGAATTGAATTTTCCTAATGAATACAAAAAGTGAGGTAGTCCAGCTTTAATAGATGGTATACATGGTTTCATTTAGTCATATGGCATTATAAAACAAACCACATAGATGAATTCTATAAAGATGGTCTTATGTGTGCGTGCGCGTTAGGTGTATGTGTACCTTTGAATTTTTATTGTGTGGGCAGGACAGAGTTTTCTGTGCGCTGAAATCCTAAAAGCACAGCACAATTGCGCATGCGCGCAGCTGAGAGGGAACACTAGATGTGGGCCACATGTGACAAAGATTTTGGTCTTGTGGCCTTATTACTGCCCGTATGAAACAGATCACAGCCAGAAGCAGGCCCCACAGAAGGCAGTAGAATTGATTATGCATAATTCAATAACTATTTATGGTTGAAGGTCTCATTAAAGATGATTAATGATGGTGCCCTCACTCTTGTTCTTGCCCTTTTTCCCTTTAAAAATGCAAAAAAATTAAATGCAGCCTTATTCTTCTTTAAGGTTATGGGAATGGTATTGTTCACATTTTGATCTGTGGTGTCCAACACTGTAAAACAAACTAGCAAGTAATATATCAAAGATGCACTATAATATCATCAGTGAAAGATCTTAAGTTATATATTCATAAAGAATTAGTATACCAGATGGCGTGGTGGTCAGCATACACATCGCTGGGCTGGTACAGCTGTCCATCGTGCAGACAGGGGCAGAGGTCCGCACTCACACACTCTCCAGAGTCGGTCAGGTATTTCCCCACGGGACAGAAGCAGCCCTCCTCACACTGCCCTCCACAGCCTGGCTCCAGTCCCGACAGAGACCTGCATGTCCGCTCACAGGGATGCCGGCAGGCCTCGTACACCTGGCCTCCAGAGCACTGCATGACTGGGCAGAGGCAGACAAAAGTACAAATGCGTTCATGTTATGTATACTTCACTTGTTAGGGCTGGGAGAATACACCGGTTTGCAACTTCACTTGTTAGGGCTGGGACAATACACCGGTTTCCAATGTTTTATGTTACACAGCAATTCTAAAGCTGCGGTGTTTGATTGTTTTAGCTATTTAAAATGCAAGTAGAGCCGCTGCTTCTCCACGTCCAGAGGAGCCAGTTGAGGTGGCCTCTGTTTTGGATGCCTCCTTGGGCAGGTGTTCCGGGCAAGAACCACCAGGAGGAGACCCAAGGGATGACCAAGGATACGTTGGCGGGACTATGTCTCTCAGCTGGCCTGAGAACGCCTCGGCATTCCTCCGGATGAGCTGTAGGAAGTGTGTGTAGATAGGGAGGTCTCAGCGTCCCTGCTTATACTGCTGCCCCTGCGACCCGGGAATGAATAAAGTGAAAGAACATGGATGCAAATAATAGTTTACTGACACATTGGTGAATAGAGTGTCCAAAGTAGGCAAACAGGTAAGTATATACGGTGCTGTATTGTATGCATGAGATAAATGTGGCAGAGGAAGCACGCACCACACAGTGAGGGGGACCTCCAGCTCAAAAGCACTCCGCGGTTGGAGCAGGCCGAGGCGTAGGCGGCCAGGGCAGAGCACAGACACTCCTCTCCATCAGAGCAGGCGCACACATCGTATCGACAGAAGCGTTGGAATGGAGCCGGGTTCACCAGGAAGTGACAGGGAGAGAAAACCTCGGACAAGATGATCGCGCACGCCTCCTCTGCGAAGCGCACTGCGCAAACAAACACACTCTGGTTGGTTACTTTCATTTAGTCTAGTGTTCCCCAACCTTTTTGAGCTGTAGCACACCTTTGTCATTGCAAAAAATTACATACACCACCAGCTGAATTTGTTACAGAAACTATCTTTGAGCCACACTATAAAGCAACTATAATTATTTTTACAATGCCAAGTGCGTCACTCGCTAATTCACTTCCCCTATACGCGCAGAGTTCTGGTTAATTTTTAATTCATAAATAATCAGAAACACCTGAGTCCTCCCCCCCTCCCCCGGTGTGTGAACGATGTACCTCTCTTGGGATTGGCAGCACACGGGTCGGCCTCCTGCCTGTGGATGGCCTCACAGTCTGCATTGATCCTCCAGGACTGAGCGAACGCCTGGGCTCCCCCTTCCACCAAACCCGCCTCGGACATGAAGTCGTCTCCTTGGTTACCGTTGTAGTTCCCACACAGGCCACAAGTGCGCCCCTGCCACCGTGGCCCCAGCTGACACAAACGCATTGCTTTAGGGAGAGGATTTCAACTATGTTCAAAAACGTTTGTATAAGTCTTTGAACTCAAACTCCTGTAAGCTGGGCTGTACACACAAGGAGATTTTACATTCCAGTTTACAGTTTACATACAGTTTTCACACCCAGTCCAAAGTACCTCAGTGTGAGTTTAGTCAAAGAGGGGATTCCAGATGTAACATGACTTGGAACATTTGGGTTATGTATAGTGCTTAATCAACATTTCAGTTTTCAAGATAAAAAATTTTATTATAATTTTCTTAACCGCTTCATGACCCCTAACAATAAACAACATTTCCTTTAGCGCAGTAGTAAACTTAAATCAACTTTACTCCATGTTAACTTAAATTCATGTTTTTCACTTCTACAAAACACTAAACTTCACCATGTAGAAATGTATGTACATTATTACTATTTACATCATTCAAGTTACCATATTTAGCTCATATAATCATGATTCTATTTCAGTCTTCAACTACTAGGCAAAATGTATTTTTGCACAATATACATTGAAATTTCAGAAAGACTCCAAAAGACCCACATTTACCTTTACACGCAGCCGACCGTTTCCATCCCACTCTATCTGAAAATCCTCCTTGAACCTGACGTGGACAGACGATTGGACAGACCTCTGGATGTGCAGATGGCCTGGAGATGAAGATGAGAAAGCCTTTACTACTCCCACAATGATCAATGTCACAAGGACAGTACCAGATTTTAAAAGACTTCTTGTGAAAATAAAATGAAATATGAAAGTATAGATATCAGTACCATGATGCATGGGTGTCTGGATGTCCATACTGTTGACTGACACTAAACCTCCATGTTTGAGCTTTATGGTCATGTTCTCCAAAGAGGGCAGGCTGAGCGTCACGGAGCGCGTGCACACAGCGTCTTGGTTATCGGCACACTGAAAAATGTTTACTTATCAAAACTGTTTTTACAAAGCGCTGCACAATCAGCCAAACACATGTAGAGTTTAAAACAGAGAGTTTAGGAAGGCAACTCAATAAAAGTGGGTTTTAAGAAGTGATTAAAAAGAGGATGCTGATAGAGCTAGCCTTATCTCCTCAGGCAGGTTCCAGAGCCGAGGAGCCCAGACAGAGAAGGCTCGGTCACCTTTGCCCGGAGCCTCAACCTTGGGAACAGCCAACAGGGATCTGGCTGAGGATCTAAGGCTGCGGGAGGGGGCTCATAGAGGTTTAAAAGTTCATGAATGTAGCGTTGTGCCAGACCTAAACAAGCTTTAACAGTAACAGTATAATCTTAAAATCAATTCTAAAATGCACAAGGAGCCAGTGGAGGGATGCTAAAACAGGGGTGATGTGCTCCCTTCTGTTAAAACCAGTGAGAAGCTTGGCCGATGCTTTCTTAATGCTAGTTGGAGGCGGGAGAGGTATTTGGAATCGAAACCGGACACAAGGGAGTTACAGTAATCAAGGTGGGAGAATATGCAGGCGTTGATGACTTTGTGAATTGATTTTTCCACAAAAGCTTCAGAAAGTGGTGTCATAAAGGCGTAGCTATCATTACATTTGTTGAAAGAATGTAGGTTTATACATTTATTTCCAAAACAGCAAATCTTCCATAAAGTTGCATTAACACCACACTGCAAAAAATGATAAAATGAGAGATAATAATTGCTTGAATCAAGTGTTTTTTATTTTTTATCTTAATCTGAGTACAATCTAAATGCCAATGAGACAAAGCCATTTAGTCTTAATAGAAGAACAGTTGCTTTATTTTCTCATTCCAAGGGAGACATTTCTGGTTTTTTGTTTTTTAACAAGATCATTTTTATTGTCCCATTGGCAAATCATGTTTTAAGGCAGTTATAATGTGTTCAAATCAAGCAATTTTTGACTTATTTCTCTACACCTTTTGCAGTGGAGCCAGCCATATGTAATTATGGCATCGGCAAATTCTACAACACAATATATGACATATGGCAAAAAAGGAAAAGAAATACCTGCACATTCTCAATAATAACTGAAAAGTCGTTCTCAGCACAATCCTTGACCAGGAGATACTGACACTGTCCGGTGAAGGTGAAGAACTTCTCATCAAATGTTTTGAAGTGCGACTGGCCTAGGACTAAGCACTCCCCTGCAGAAATACCAGCAATCACATATCTGTAATAAATACACTACAGAGAAAACTCAAAACAGTGTGAAGTATGTTTCCTGACCCGGGCAGCCTTGGTTTGAGCACTCCCAGGAACCATGACGACACACACTGCGGAAAAGAAGACAATTGTACAGAAGATATTCAGAGGACAACTTGGTGTTTCGGGAGCAAGAACAATGTATTTCATAATTTCATGGGCCATTTATCAAATAAAACAAACAATGGTAATAATAAGAATAACGTTTCAAAATCAAAATTGCACCTAGAAGATGGACAGGAGTTTTTACCTCAATCAACTCATGTGCCCTCGCCTGTGATTGACTTACAAAAGTTATTCAAGTTTGGCAATACAAATATAATAACCATTGTAACCAATAGGATGCTGTTTGGATGCAGTTTTGACGCCCCTTACCAGGTGTTACAGTCCTGAGAGATGGTGGATGCAGGGGGGAAGTGTCGGCCCATGTGGACACAGGAACATTGGGACACCTCCACACAACGCTGTCCATCCAGCACCTTTCCATCTGCACACACAATACTCACTCACTCACTTTCAGACACAATGATGCAGTAACTGAAATAAGACATTTATTTGGCCTCAACTCCAGTGGTTGGGTCAAACAGACTACATACACATCAAATAGAATAGATGTGGCCCCACTGTGCCCCCCATGTGTCCATCTGAGGGGAGCAGTCCGTTCACAGAGAAGGAGGCAGACGCACATAAAAATAATAGTAATATAATAGAATTTTTTTTTTTCACTGTTTTATATAGCGCTTTTCAGGACACTCAAAGACGCTTCACATGTCATTATTCATTCACGCCATACACGTGGTGATAAAACTTCTACTGTAGCCAGAGTTGCCCCGGGGCACACTGAAAGAAGCGAGGTAACCAGTATCTGGCACCTGCCCCTTCAACCACCCCCAACCATTCACACACACACCAGACTCATTCTAGGCAATGTAGATGAAGTGTCTTGCCTAAGAACCCAACAACAGGTTGGCACTTTACAGCCGCAGCCGCCCCACTGTGGCACCTGGTGTTCCCAGAGGTCTCCCATCACAGTGCCAACCAGGCCCTGCCTAGCTTAGCTTCAGAGGTCTGACGGATCTGGCTTTTACATGCAGGTATGGCCACAAACATCATTGAATTAATTTTTGACACAGACGTGTAATGTAACACAAAAAGTATTTTTTGACAATCTGATCTAGCAAATCAACAAATGTATAGTTCTTTGAGACAACTGTTGTTAGTATTAGTAGTCATATGAAAACGCTGAACTTTACACACACACATGAGGATTGTAGCTCACCAGGACAGATGCATCCATCAGAGCATTGTTCAGAGCAGACCTCCTGGATGTTCAGGCTGTGACAGGTGGTAGAGCAGGACTTGGTGCATTCACTGTACTGCATTCCCATGGGACACTTGGGAACTAGGAACAGACAAACATCGATCAGGAGTCATACTTCAAGAAGAATACTTCAGGAGTAGTACTGTTATCTAGTATAGTTATACTACTAAACTATTAAAATAAACATCAGGAATTAATTTTTGAAACAACAAAAACTCACACTAACACTCAGTTTGTTGACTGTGTTTTCCCACATATCTATGGAGATCTCTTTTTTGTGGCTACCTTCTTTTGCCGTAAGTTCTGCCAAGAGAACCCATATGTCATGGTGTGGATTTTGTGTTATTTTAGTTGGTTATATTTTGACTTAATTTCTCTGTGGTTTTAGTTTAGTTTGACTTTGATGGTCTGCCCCGCCCTAATGTGTTTCATCTGTGTCTCTCTGTGTCCATATGTACTTGTGCTCCTCTCCCCTTGTTGCTAGTCCATTGTCAATGTCTTTGCTTGTCTTTGTTAGTTCCTGGTTCCATTTGGAGTTTGTTTTTTCATCTTGGACTTTTGTCTATCTTCATACATTTTGTATCATTTTTGCATTCCTGTATTTTGTGTCCTCCTTCACTTCTTCACCCCGTGACACTTTAGATCATTCCATTTTAAGTATGAGCTGAGAGAAGTAATGTTTCAAACAGACCAGGGGAGAGCAGGGGACAGAACCACAAACAGCTAATCTCGCAAAAATGAGTCACAAGCGGGCACAAAAACACTTCAATACAGGTTCTCAAATGTATTAGTACCTAATTTTTGCAGAAATTCTAGTGTACTCACTGCAGTGGCTCTGGGCAGTCCAGCCGGTCAGCACTGTGGCGTGGTTGTGGCAGGAGCGGGCATACTCCAGCAGGACGGGGCAGTAGCACTCCTCTGGGGCCCCCTCACACTGACAAGCCTGCCGCTCACACAGAGCCACAAAGGCCTCAGCAGACACCACATGAGAACCGTGCAGGAAGGCCGATGACTGGCCCAGGACACTGCAGCCCGACATGATCTGCACATACAGAACCACTGTGTGAGGTCATTCATACAGCGGGGCAAATGTTTAGCTCCCACAGGTCAACATTCTATGTATGGGAAGAGTGATGCCTTGGAAGAGAAGACGAGTGTGGCCCAGAAAACTCTCAGATCTGGAAAGGAAAGGAAGAATGGACAAAAATTCAAGCGAGGGTTGAAAGACACCTAAAAGAAATATCTTTGTTCTAAGTAGTTGCTGACGGGGGGCTGTAGGTAATAACTGAGTGTCTTAGTATGATGCAATAGAGATCCGTTCATCTTTGGTCCAGAGTTGCCACTGTTTTACTCAATTCATTTAAAACGAGAAAATAATCATACACCAGACACATTTTTCAATTTTTTTATCACAAACTTTTTTTTCAAAACAACACAACAAAGTAGACAAATGTGAAGAAGAATACTGCCTGATTTAAAATTGTTTAAAATGCCAAAGTATTCAGCATTAGAGCTTCATACTCTAGCTTGTATATCTATGAATTTCTGGTCATTTTACCACATGCAGCTTCCTGCTTTTGGAGTGTGCAGTCGCTTTTCGTACTGCTACTCCCTCACTTTGTGTTTTAATCTGATGATGATTTAATTTCTTTTCCCAAACTCCTCATAGAAATCACCACTGTTAGCAAAGCAATATTTCTAAATTCAAAAAATACTTTTGCCAGTCAAAAGCTGAATTTACTGCTCAAAGGGAATAATCTGGGCTAAGGACAAACAAATCCAGGTTAAAAACAGTTCTGCTTCTCTGTATATACAATATACTAATATTACTTTTGATTTTTAAGGTCTTGTGTGATTACATGAAGAGGGTTTGAGGCCCCATCAAAAGAGGATTGTGTAAGAAAAAGAGCCTATATAAATAATTAACTCTCTTTAATGCACAGTAATTATTTATTATTTTAATGCATTGTGTGATGTTAATGTTCCTTTTCTTATTTCTTATTCCTTATGCAGACTCCAACAGATTCTAAATGAGACAAAAAAGCAACTACCTGATATGTTTCAATGAGAGAAGAATAAAGGTTTATCTTATCAACATTATGCAGAACGAGCTTCTTTACATTTTTCTATTATCAAAATAACCTTATGAGCATTAAACATAAGAAGACACTATTAACTTTTTACATTTATTATATTAGTTTTAGTCAATGGCCAAGATCAATATAATGTTCTCAATTTAACTTCCCATCACCGACTTCTGACCTGACTTCTGACCCTGGTTTGAACTGGTGCTGGGGTAACAGGGCCTATTAGAAATAGTGTTGAAAACCAAATAATCAGTCCTGCAATGGAAACCAGCATGAAAACAGCAGCAGCACCACATTCATGTCTCGTTGTGTGGAATAGTAACATACAATATACTGTATGTGCCCAGTGAATGTTGGCTCTCACCTCTGCAATCCTACCGGTGTGATTACAGGTCATGCTGGGTGGGGTGACCCTTTCGCACAACTGGGACGCCCCCTTCACTGCCCACGAGTTTGCAAAGTCATAGCTGTCCTCTGTGACGAAGCCTACAAACACATTCGCTAATTAGAGCAGGATTTCAGTTAATCTCATCCGACCATAACTGTTGCTTTGTACGTCTTATCTTTTCCTCTTCCTGTTTCTCAGTCCTGGTGGCAAATAATATTTGCAAGATTCCACTTAAAAAGGCTCTTTAAAAAGGCATTTTGATTGAAGATATTCAAATTTCAATTGAAAGCTGCCAAACTTTATCATACTTTACCGTTTAAAATCCGGAGTGATGTGTTCATAAACATGTACTGTCCCAACCAAATAAACAATAAATAAATAAATACATACCGCTAAAAAGTTATCTTAAGAAGTTGAAGACCAGTGAAATATCGAGCACAGTGAATGAATTATTGAATTGCCTCTGAAGTAATTGTCAAATGGAATGTCAGAAATAAATGCTATATGTTAATTAATTTGTTTTAGCAAGTTTGTGCAATAAATTCTAATTTCAGATGGTCTATGATTAAACAAAAAATTAAGGTAGTAACCCCAGCTTTACGCCTGTATACCTTCTTGAGCTGTGTATTCGTCTGAGGTGAGGCCGTTGAAGTTCCCACAGAGACCACAGGTGCTGTTGGCGTGCACCTGGCCCAAGATCACTGCCATGTTAGAAGCATGATCAATGGTCACGGAGAATCCAAATTCTTCACTCCACAGCTTGTAGAAGCCCAGCTCAGTGCCCACAAACAGAGAGTGGGACGCATAGGGCACAGACAGACTGCAGTCAAAAGAATCTGCGTGAAGTACATGGCACGTCAGAATAATGTGGAACAAAATATGTCTTACATTTTATCCCCTTGTGAGAGGATTCCATTGACAGACAGGTGCAGCTCAAAGGCATCACCGAGGAACAGAGTGACGCCAACACGCCTTCCATCCACAAAATCACCTGGAGACAGAAGGAAAATGGCTCAGTAAAATGTGATAACCATACTCTTTACTTTCCTTTTTCATACACACACACATCCAAAATGCATTCAATCAGTCCCATTGCTGCAGGACCTCTATGAAGGCCGAGCTTGAGGCCGGGCTGGTCGTATCAGTCCTGTTCTTAAGTCTAGGGAAATCCAGCAAACCTCAGATGAGCAAACTGAGCACTACCAGAAAACAATATGAAAGCGAGTTGTGTTTTCAGACCCACGTTGAAAGGCGGGTTATGGAGGAGGTGTAAAAATGTAAGTGTTTTCCCCGTAGGGAACTTTGTTCTCTGCATTTGACCCATCTTGCAATGCAACTAGGGGCTCAGCCAGGATCAGTGGCCCCCATAGTACAGTGCCCCAGGGACCTACTCGGACTCCCAGAGATAGAGGATTTAACCAAATGTGCGTGTGTTTAGTGGTAGGGGAAGCAAGAGTGCTATCCACTCAACCACTGTGCCGACTCAATAAACCATGTATTGAGTCGTGTCTTGTGTCTAATTGAGGCTTCATCTGCGGCCTTCGTTTGTTCATTAGAGGATTTATTCTTACCATTGTGATCAAATGTGATGGACATCAGCACGATGCCACTCAGTAAAGCTCTTAGTTTCTGCAGCCTTCCCTCAAACTTAAAAACTAAGTAGAACTTCATCCTAATCCGTAAATTTAATTATTTTGTTTAAATGTGGTGGGTAAGTGCATGCTGAGAAAAACACGTACAACACGTTTGTGTGCATATATTAAAGGAGATCATTCAGAGACCTGATCACAGCCAAATGCTACATTGTCTTTATGTTCTGTCTTATTAATATTTCATCTACTGTATATATTACAATCATGAAATGTGTTTACCAACATTAGTTTTAGCTGTGGTGTAAAAATATATATAATTGTTGAAACAGCAAAGCGTCAGTGTGAGTGGAAACCAAACTTGTTTTTAGTCAGTGTGAAAACCCATTTTATTTATCCTATTTCTTTATTGAGTATTCAAAACCTTTTTTAAATTCAATTTATTTTTGTATAACCCTAAATCACAATAGTAGTTTTCTTGGAGGACTTTACAAAGTTGTCGATTCGCCAACACAGTTCAGAGAATAGTGATTTTTGTTAAGAAATGGTTTTTGTGTATATGAAATTGTTGTTATTTTGTTTAAGTTTAATAAAGAAAAATCATGCTCCTCTGTCATGTCCTCAACTTCCCAGATAAATACCAACACCAAAAATATATTACTAGAGGCACATGGGCAGAAAGACATCTGTTGTACAGTAACTTATTATTGATGTTGTTTGTGGCTAATCGACTAGAACTAGAAAATTCCCACTGTGAACTGTTAAGTTCTTCTCACAAATATTAACAAATAAATGAGATCTGGCAATATGATATAACAATAATTATAATTATATTCCATCATCCCATCTTGAACACAGAGCATGCAAAAATAAATAAGTAAATATTGTCTGACTCACCGAGAAGTGTGAAGGAGCGCTGTTTGCAATCCCCAGCCAAAAGATAACTGCAATCTCCAGCGAAGTCATACAAGACGCCATCGAAAGTGTGGATGTGCTGCCGACCAAACAAGCTGCACCTGCCCCTGGCTCCTGTCGCTCCAGCTGCTGTGATAAAGCCGAACTTTAATCATAATAGCAAGAAAATACAAACAAATGATTTACATTGAAAAAGCATGCAAATTACCTGTGTGGTGTATAAGAATGCATAAATGTAGTAAGTATATCCATTGAATCTGTAAAAAGAAACATTTCTCATGAATAGGCCTGCATTTTGATTGGGAAACATGCATACCTCCATGTTTTCAGTCAATTTGTTGTTAGAAGCAAAGGAGCTTTTGTCTCAAATATAGCATGGTGCAAAACAAACAGCTTGTGCATAGGAAAGGTTTTATATCAGAGAAATTCCCAGCGCTAAGTTAGTTCCCTCCCCTTAATGTGTCCTTTGGAGTGGGTAGTTGTGGAGTGACACCATCATAAACATGGATTAGGACAAAGGCAGGATGTGCCCGCTGACAGTGGCAGCCAGGCCAACCCAAACAGCCCTCTCACTGCTTAAACTCATGTAAACATGATTAACAGGCACCAGTTACCATTAGTGACTCAGAGCACAATCTTTCAGCCCTACTTCATTCTACATTAGAATGAAGTAGGGCTGATGAATCACAATCTAATCAAAAAACAATGTTGTTGTTGCAATTAGCAAATATCAAAGGCTGCATTTATTATAATACTTTATGAAATGACAAAATATGGTTTAGTCCATGCCTAATTTTTAAAGCGTTGCTTAAAGATGTTTAAACATGTTCTTGAATAAACAACATTTTCTGTTTGGTACAGAAGCCCTGGCAAATGTATACTGTATTTGTACATTTCTTGTTTTATATACAGTGCCTTGCGAAAGTATTCGTCCCCCTTGAACCTTTCAACATTTCGCCACATTTCAGGCTTCAAACATAAAGATATAACATTTTAATTTTTTGTCATGAATCAACAACAAGTGGGACACAATCATGAAGTGGAATGAAATTTGTTGGATAATTTAAACTTTTTTAACAAATAAAAAACTGAAAAGTGGGGCGTGCAATATTATTCGGCCCCTTTACTTTCAGTGCAGCAAACTCACTCCAGAAGTTCAGTGAGGATCTTTGAATGATCCAATGCTGTCCTAAATGACTGATGATGATAAATAGAATGTACCTGTGTGTAATCAAGTCTCCGTATAAATGCACCTGCTCTTTGACAGTCTCAGGGTTCTGTTTAAAGCGCAGAGAGAACCATGAAGACAAAGGAACACACCAGGCAGGTCCGAGATACTGTTGTGTAAGTAAGCTAGTAAGCTTTTATTTATATACCGCCTTTTCACTGCACATCGGAGTCTCAAAGCGGTTTACAATTGTTGTATGGGGGTGCCAGTACAGGAGGCACATGCCATACGTATTGTACATATTTTTAGTGGTAGGGGAAACCGGAGCACCCGGAGGAAACCTACGCAGACACGGGGAGAACATGCAAACTCCACTCAGAAAGGCCCTGGTCCAACCGGGATTCGAACCCAGGACCTTCTTGCTGAGAGGCGAGAGTGCTATCCACTCAGCCACCGTGCCGCTTGTGGAGAAGTTTAAAGCCGGATTTGGATACAAAAAGATTTCCCAAGCTTTAAACATCTCAAGGAGCACTGTGCAAGCAATTATATTGAAATGGAAGGAGTATCAGACCACTGCAAATTTACCAAGACCCGGCCGTCCCTCCAAACTTTCATCTCAAACAAGGAGAAGACTGATCAGAGATGCAGCCAAGAGGCCCATGATCACTCTGGATGAACTGCAGATAACTACAGCTGAGGTGGGGATGGTGTGTTCAGGGTGATGAGCTGTGTTGCTTTTACGCCAAACATATCGTTTTGCATTGTGGCCAAAAAGTTTGATTTTGGTTTCATCTGACCAGAGCACCTTCTTCCACATGTTTGGTGTGTCACCCAGGTGGCTTGTGGCAAACTTTAAGAGACTTTTATTGGATATCTTTGAGAAATGGCCACTTTTCCATGAAGGCCAGATTTGTGCAGTGCACGACTGATTGTTGTCCTATGGACAGACTCTCCCACCTCAGCTGTAGTTATCTGCAGTTCATCCAGAGTGATCATGAGCCTCTTGGCTGCATCTCTGATCAGTCTTCTCCTTGTTTGAGATGAAAGTTTGGAGGGAAGGCCGGGTCTTGGTAGATTTGCAGGGGTCTGATACTCCTTCCATTTCAATATAACTGCTTGCACAGTGCTCCTTGAGATGTTTAAAGCTTGGGAAATCTTTTTGTATCCAAATCCGGCTTTAAACTTCTCCACAACAGTATCTCGGACCTGCCTGGTGTGTTCCTTTGTCTTCATGGTTCTCTCTGCGCTTTAAACAGAACCCTGAGACTATCAAAGAGCAGGTGCATTTATACGGAGACTTGATCACACACAGGTGCATTCTATTTATCATCATCAGTCATTTAGGACAACATTGGATCATTCAAAGATCCTCACTGAACTTCTGGAGTGAGTTTGCTGCACTGAAAGTAAAGGGGCCGAATAATATTGCACGCCCCACTTTTCAGTTTTTTATTTGTTAAAAAAGTTTAAATTATCCAACAAATTTCGTTCCACTTCACGATTGTGTCCCACTTGTTGTTGATTCATGACAAAAAATAAAAATTTTATATCTTTATGTTTGAAGCCTGAAATGTGGCGAAATGTTGAAAGGTTCAAGGGGGCCGAATACTTTCGCAAGGCACTGTATATTTTACATGGACACAACAGTTGCATTGGACAGACCAAACGCACTGCCTTTGGTGCATCTGTGTGCTCCCATGTCTTATCACATACACAAAGTCATGATAAATAAACCTAACCTATATCAATCAATCAATCAAATGTTATTTATAAAGCGCTTTTCATACAAAAAAATGCAACACAAAGTGCTTTACAGTTGTCGTTAAAAACAATCCAAGATGCCCACCCCTAAACCCCACCACCCCACAGACCCACCCATAAACCACATTTATTATTATATATACACCCACATGGGTATACACATACACACATACACACACACACACACACACACACACACACACACACACACACACACACACACACACACACACACACACAAACACACAACACACACACACACACACACACACACACACACACACACACACACACACACACACACACACACACACACACACACACACAAAGATAGGTAAAACAGGCAAAACAATGAAAAGATATAGGGCTGGGAGCAGATGTATCCAGCTGAAGAAGCGCCATCCAAGGAGCCATCTGCACCAGGAGCAGAGAGCCGCCTGCAGCCACAGGGAACTAAAGACCCAGGGGAGAGAGGACGCCCCAGACCCCCACTAGATCCAAGAGCCAGACCCCTGCAGCCACAGCAGACCCCAGTTCCCAGTGCAGAGGGCTCCTCCAGAGGAAACACTGGCGACACTAAAACAATGCAATAGAAAGTAAAAACATTAAAATGTGACACTAAAAAGAAAATGGCAGCTACCTAATATTAATAATAACAAAAGTAAATAGGTAGATAAAATAAATGCATACGAAACAAAATAAAATGTGTCTAAAAACACAAATAAATGAACTAAAATGCAATAATAATAAATAATAATCAAAAGCTAATCTAAAAAGGTGCGTCTTGAGCAGTGGGGGCGGGTCCCAGCTCTTTACAAGATGGACCAAAAGTTGGCTCTTGGCCCAAAGCTCCGTTCCACATGTGTGTCAATGCTGAGGGGGGTGAATTTTTTTGGTCCATTCTAGTTTACTTGCTGTGAATTTTTGAAGTCTCTCGTTCAAATGAATGGAGCTGCGCCGGCTGACGCATGCGCAGATGCGTTTTTTGACAATTTTCTTGTGGGCGGGACCACACGCGGCCATTTCGGATAGCTCCAGTAGAGCACAATTTTTGGCCCATTAGTTAGAACGGCGGAGATAGGCGTGACGTTAATATATACAGTCTATGGTCTTGAGCCTGCTTTTAAAAATATGAATGTTCTCTGCGGCCCTGAGCTCCTCTGGCAGACTGTTCCAGAGACTGGGGCCGTGGTGCTGGAAAGATGCCTCACCGTGAGTGTGTGTCCTCCTGACTTTGGGAATGGTTCGGAGTCTGCTGCCCGAGGAGCGCAGGGGCCGGGAAGGTTCATAGGATAAAAGCAATTCTGAAAGAAAAGAAGGCCCAAGACCATTAAAACATTTAAAGACCACTAAAAGAACCTTAAAATCGATCCATACTCGATCTCACGTGGTGAGTTTGAGTTCACTTTATAGGACCAGGAAACGTTCAGGGTTATTTTCAGATACATACTTTTTCAGTAACTGCCTTTCTGTGACACTTCTTTAAAGCTGCACTAACTGGCTTTATTTTTGTATTCATTACAAAAATTCCATTCATATCCATGCAATGCTTTGTGATATACGTCCTTTTGAAGAAAAAGTAGCGCAGATTTGTGCTGGCGTGTAATTTAATTTTAGATCGAGTTTTCGTGAAACAAGAGAATGTGTTTCGGGTCCCGATTGTCACCAATCACAGCGGACCACTGGCCCCCACTTTCTTGAGAAAAGCTACAGGTCTCTCGTTAGCACAGACAGCAGAGGTGAACTTATGAGGTAAACAAGCGGCAGAGGGTAACCTGAAACTTCCCGTGTCTTCGTTACCGGTTTCTGCTTACACAGCGAAACAGCCAAAAGAAAGTCTCGTTCCTCTGCGCTTCCCGGTTCTATACTTCTATGGCCACGCTATCCACGCTAAAATGTGTCCATATTGTGAGACGTGAGCTCCGTATACAATTAGCATGAGAGCACTGGCTGAGGGGGAGGGGGGTAGTGGGGGGCGAAAGCTCTGTGCGGGGAGGGCGAGCAGAAAGAGCGAGCTCAGCGTTCTCATTCGAACATTTCTCAAAGTCAGTTAGTGCAGCTTTAATCGGTTCCAAATGAGAAAACCCTGAATTTATCCAGACAATCATCTTACTGTCAAAACACACATGTTCCCCCAGTGGGTCAGAGTTAGATTAATATTATTCATAAAATTAACTAAACCTTCTAAGAAACGATCATGAATTATTTGCTTGCATTAAATAAAAAATAAATTATATGCAGATGTTTGTTCATTTTTGGGTTGCCCCTCAGGGATGAATACTGTTTTTGACATAAAGTGATTGTCTGGAGTTTGTCAGAAAGAGAGACAGAGAGGTACATGATGAAAAAAAACCACGCAAGCTCCCTCCCCCTTCCTTTCTGATTGGTCTACGCCTACGTTTCATTATACATTATTAATACACATGCACAGAGGTTTTCTAAATTATTTGTTAACGTTTTAATGAAAAAAATAATGTTTTTATGCACAAAAAAAGCGATCGCGGCAAACCCGGAAGTGCTATTATCATGAATTACACATTATAGGACACATCTGCAGAGGATCCGATTATGGATATCGGTTCAGTATATACATAAGTACCTCAGCGCGGATGTTAAGAATTCTTTGTTCAGTTTTCATGTTGTTCCAGAGCCTAATAGAGAAAACCAACAACTGAGCATGCGCGCAGCTGCGAGCATCAGCGCCGATGATTGACAGCCCTTGGCATGACTCGATTGGTTAACCTCGACGGCATTGTGGATTCTGAACTATAGCTAAGAGAAGGGAAGACGGGACTTACCCATATTATTTTGAATTAATAAAATGAATTATTTTATATCAACATTTAAGGCCAGGAGGTCAATTTAACACATTTCCTAAAATTTGTAATTCATTTAGAGTTACAGACTATCACTTTAATTGAGTTGTCTGTCCATCGATGTTCTTCCACTTTATCGGTTGCTAAGTCGCAGGGGCAGCAGTCTGACCAGACACGTACTTCCCCACACACACACACTTCTTCCAGCTCATTTGTGGGACCTGAGGGTCCCTGGCCAGCAGAGAGACACCTCAATTGACCCTCCATTGTCTTCCCTTGGAGAGGGAAGAACATTTTATTCCGATTTTATTACTTCACACAAGTAACAGACAACTGTGAAGTGAAACAAAAATGATAAATGATTCAGTTATTTAAACAAACAACAAACAAAACTGAAAAATTGTGGAACCCCCTTTGCCTGTAATAACAGCAGCAAGTCTACGGAGGAATGATTCTACAAGATTTGCAAATCTAGAGTACAAAAGTTTCGCCCATTCCTCTTTACAAAACAAATCTGTCACATTAGATGGAGCGTTTGTGAACAGCAGTTTTCAGGTCTTTCCAGATTGTCTATTCAGGTCTAGACTTTTACTGGGCCATTCTGACACATGAATGTTTTGTTTTAAACCATTCCATTGTAGACGTGAATCCTCCCTCCAGACTCAATTGTCTTGCTGACTCTAGCAGGATTTCCTCCAAAATATCCCTGTATTCAGCTCCATCCATCTTCCCTGCTATTCTTACAATCTTCTTGCCACTCGTCCATAAAGGCCATATTTGTGTACGACTGATAGTGATACTGAGCAGTGCTCTCCTTGTTCTATCTGTTAGTTTAGGTCAAGGGTGTCATTCATACGGCCCGCGGGCCGGAACCGGCCCGCCAAGAGATTTGACACGGCCCGTGGCTCATTTATGTAAAAATATAATAAAAATACATTTTAAAAAGCCGCTCCGCGACGCCGCAGCGCCGCGCTCAAGGGTGAGTCCAGTGCGTCTGTAGTGGCTCCACAAGAGCGGTGCAGAAGGAATAACATCTTAAACTACAAGACTCGGCGAAAAATACGGCACTTTGAGCGGAGAATTGAGAAAACAGAAGATAAACCTGTCTGGCCCTGAAGACACAGCAGTCTGTTTGTGTCCAGAGCAAGAGGTTAGTTCTGCTGCTGTAAAGGGAAGCTACCTGTGCTAACAACATTAGCATCGCAGCCGCACAGTGAGAGAGAGTTTGTTAAAACTCTTACAGGCTGCAGACATGGTCTGAGAAACCACTCGCTTTTACCAACATGTTGCCATTGATAAGAGACTGATGTTACTGATGTCACATATTCATTTGTGGTGTTACTGAAACTATCAGAGGAGTTTTGAGCGCTGCTGCTGGTGCTGCTGCTGGTTCTGCTGTTGTTGCTGGTGTGTTGGACAGTGTGGACGGGTACCGATGGTAAAAACAGGTGTAGTGACAAAGCTGCAAATGGAGGTGATGATTTTTGGACATTTGACTGTATTTTACACAGAGACACTGCTGCAGTCGTTAAGATTGGATCACGTTATGGAAGTTGTTTTATTCATTTCAACTGAATCAGTTTGATGCTTTCTCTCTGATAATAACATAACCATGGACCTTACACACTGAAGATGGTTAATGTGATAATAACATAACCATGGACCTGACCACACTGAAGATGGTTAATGTGATAATAACATAACCATGGACCTTACACACTGAAGATGGTTAATGTGATAATAACATAACCATGGACCTGACCACACTGAAGATGGTTAATGTGATAATAACATAACCATGGACCTTACCACACTGAAGATGGTTAAGCTGAGGTGCTGTGTTTTAGTGCTTTTTTCTGTCTACCTACTTTACCTTTGTGAGCAGGTTTTCTCTGTAATGAGCCTTAAAACAAAGCTAACACACAAATATTAATATACATATTGTGAAATACCATTTACAATGTAATATTGTAAATACATTACATTATTTGCACTATGGAAAACTCACTGTTACATTTAAGTTTATAACAGAAAACTGAGTATTAAAGGATAGTGTTTTAAAGGAAGTTTTAAATAAATGTGTTTATGTGCACAAAAAGTTGGACTTTGTACCGTTTTTGGATATTTTTGTAGAGCATCTCCTGGTCCGGCCCACTTGAGATCAGATTAGGTTGTATGTGGCCCCCGGACCAAAATGAGTTTGACACCCCTGATTTAGGTGGACAGCCATGTCCTGGTTGGTTCACCGTGGTGCTATACTCTTTCCATCTCTGAATGATGGATTGTTCAGTAACAGTACTGATGTTCAAATCTTGAGAATTCTTGGTAAAACTTAACAATGGTGAAGAATATTGTTATTCACTTTTTTGCACTGATTATATTATCAATATGCACATTCTCAAGTACACGGTTTCTCAAGTACAGGCAATTGTCATAAATGTAATTTTAATGCCTTGAAAACTACCAGATAAAGAAAATATACAATTAAACACAACTTCTTCCCTTTGCTACAAAAATGAAAACAGAAAATTAGCTACCTGTGGCGTCATGTCGAGGTCAAGCGACGTGTAAACGTGTTGGCTGTACACAACACATAATACAATTTAAACAACATAAATACACATTAAAATATGAACACATATACAACATGTATACATTACACAGGTGCTTGCTCACTGAAAGTGGCTCTCACGTTGATGTCTTTGAGCACGAGAGAGCGTGGGCCTGTCTGCCGCAGGGCCTCGTGTCATTCGCACTTCTCACGATAACGAAATGAAGATGAAAAAAATGCATAAAAGTGTAATAACATACTACGTTTGTCAGAGTAAACACCAAATATTACTAAAGAAATGTACACAATTCTAAACCAAATAAATAGAATACACTACACTACACTACACGTTCTCAGTACGTTGGATCTGAGAGCGATGACGTCAGTGCACAGCTAGACGTGCAAACAGTGCAGCTAACGACACTGGACCATTGTGGTTCTTGTTTTAAGATGTAATAAACAAATTTAAGATGAATAACAACTCATTGAGCCATGCACACTTATTTCTAAATTGTAACAGGTTAAACAACACACACAGACGCACGCCCACAGTCACACACAATCAAATAGCCTTATTTAGCGCACAACCATAGGCTGTGTAAATATGAAAGTTTCAACATTATTCCACTTGACCACAGTCAGGCTGGAGTTGCACTACGGCACAATGGTGTCCAGCTAATGTTATGTCTGTGTGAGCAGGGGGCGGACCTCTCCAAACGCGCAGGCAGTCACCACGACGCGCGTATCGTGGACTCGTAACCTCATTCTACACTGCGCCTTCTGTGGACCATTGCTTCTCATTTGCGCTAAAGCAAGTGGGCTTGCTTTATCACCACCATGGCAGCTCTTTCGGGCGGAGAAACGTGCATTAAATACCTCATGTTTGCCTTCAACCTGGTGTTTTGGGTAAGAATTTAGCCTTTTCTTGTTCTCTGTTGTCGTAAACGGTAGCAGTGCACATTTGGCCTATGGTGACTGAGTTCACATTGCTTTAAATAGGCTTCTACGCGACGGGAAATGCCTATTGTATGCAATTTGTCCTTTCATGGGCAGATATGAACGTTGTCTGCAGCATGCATTTATACAGAGCTCTTGGGAGAGTAATCCCTTGTGGCCAACTGACCCAATTACGCGCGCAGACACCGTTGTACAATTATTATGACTATATGTATGGCATGGATGCGTGTTTTCATTGAGATCGTCATGAGAGAACAGCATTAGATCCCCTGGATTGCGCATGTGCAAATTTGCATGTGTGTATTTTGGAGTCGCCTGTCACAAGCTATTTGACTCCACTTGTGTCTAACTGTATACTATAGGGTGCACGGGCTGTGATCCTTTGAGTGCATATATGACATGTTTTGCCCATATACGAGGAGTGACTGGATGTTCTCCCATGCTCTTATAAGGAAAGGGCAGTCGTTAAGGACAGAAGGCGCGTTAATCATTCTTAATCATGTCAACACTCAACACAAAAGCCTCAGTTAACTTTGCAGCCTCTTCCCCCATTGACTGAGCTTGGTCAAATCTACCTCGAACCAATATGCACTTTATTTTGTCAGAATCTACATTAAATATATGAAATGTATCTGTATACAGTTTGTTCCAATCATGTAATTGCTTTCACTTGTTTTCAGAATGATGAGAAATTAGGCGATAGTAAAAAACATCATAAAAAAATACACGTGTATTATAAAATAATACATCCTATCCTATAAAAATACATCCTATTTAAACATCTGAATAGGACAGCAACAGCAGCTTTTGATTGTTCTAGTAATCAAATATTCCAGTGATTATAAGAATCAACTGATGAATAGAGGCAATGACATTGATTGATTAATTTAATTGATTCATAATTGTCTAAACATATGACAAAAGACAGATTTAAGGTGTTGTAAAGGGTCCTAATGCTCATTCACTGATAGTAAGTAAACAAGTAATATTAATTTTTCACACTAGGGTGACGTGTCTTTGGGACTTGAGCCTCAGCACATGATATTCACAACTCTGTCAAATACAAAGCCTGGACAAAGGTCACAGGACATAGGGGACAGGACGAGGAGAGGCTGGGTGTTCTAGCATAAATTGGATTGGGACATGGAACGTATAATCCTCACTTTGATTTATTTATTCAGGCATTTAATCAAACCAGAAAGCCCAAAGGTCAACAATAACAATATTTTACCAAAGTAACCAAGTAACCGGTACATTATCATTTCTATGTACATAGTTTTGACAGTAGATGACAAATATGTACTAAATAATGTATATCTACTTTTGCTCTAACTCATGTAAATAAAAAAAATATACTTGCTCCTGAAAAGCTCCTGAATCCAGGTCATTTTAGATTCAGTGACATGGCTTCACGCACAAAAGTTTCCTACATTTTTATTTCATATTTTGATTGTATTTATTTAATATATATTTATTTATGTATTATATATAGTAAATATGTATACATGTAGGTGTATACATATTCACACAAGGCTCAAATCATCACAAATGTAATTAAACCATCAAAACAATAAAATCACACAAGATATTAAGATAATAAATACCAACAATGTACTAAAAAGAGTAGAGATAGAATTCTTCAGTTGTATGCATAGGCAAACAGAACTGTCTTTAACCTGGATTTGAACATTGTCAGAGAAGAAGCCTGTCTCACATTTTCAGGAAGACCATTCCAGATCTTAGCTGCATACAGTAAATCTGAAACGCTGCCTCCCCGTGTCTAGTGCTGGCCGTGGGCTCGAGCAGGAGGCTAGTCCCTGTGCTCCTCAGAGTCAGTTCATGTGCCAGGCCAATATGGCACGGATGTACATTGGTGCGAGCCTATGGAGAGACACAAGCAGAGCTGCTTCATAGTATTAGTATAGGTTACTTTTACACAACTCTCTCTGTTGGGGAAAAGAAAATATACTATTTATGGAACAGAAATGTAGACACGCCAGCTTTAAGGAATTACATAACCGCTTTTAACTTTAAAAAAAAAATAAAACTTTTATCTTTTGTCTGATCTACCCTCATCTTTAAAACTATTACCTAACATGTCTCAACAAATACTTTTTCAGAAGATGTTGAGCGTGTGTTTAGTAATACAGAAGTGAACGTGAAGTCTAAATATAACCAGTCACAATAGCAAACAAAGATAGATAACGGCACCAGTTTTGGTCCTGGAATAGCCCGGGTAAAGGTTACTTGGTCATGGCACACTTCTTATACTCTCGCTGCCACTCCCAAACTGCACAGTCAGGTGGTATGTGGGCGGGCAGAGCTGCTTTCTCTGTCACGTTTGGAGCATAGACACCATCTTACTTTCTCCCTTGACAGAAATGGCAGTAGTTGGGGGAATCAACTGTGTCAAATGGCTCATGTTTGTCTTCAACTCTATCTTTTGGGTAGGGAGACTCTTTTGACGTTGACTTGCATGTGGTTGTGTGTGTTGTGTGGGACAGAGAGACTGGGAGGAGAGCGATTTAGAAAAAAGAGTGGTGACAGAGCCAACATAGTTTACGGTAGGCTGTGTGCGCTGACTTATTTGACAAGACGCGAGAGTCAGCACTTTGAAACAAACCAGCATTTGTGTGGGAGTAGTCTTTGGGCTTTGTTCATGCTTAAAAAGTGTAGTTTGTCAAGTTGGTGGCACAATAACATAAGTAAATGTTAGTTTTTGAAATGCTCTAACTTGTCACATGTGTGTCTAGCTGGCAGGGACAGCCGTGTTCGCCATTGGCCTGTGGCTGAGGCTGGATCCAAAGACCAAAGGCCTGTTTGAAGGGGACGACTCTCCATATGTCTTCTATAGTGGTAAGTCAGGTGATATCATATACTGTAATCAAGTGAATTATTAGAATATTGTTTTTATTATTATTATTATTATTATTATTATTATTGGCCTTATTTTCAGTTTAATTCAACATCTTTACATTAATTTTACCATCATTATAACAATTTTTTGTTTATTTTTGTCATCCGCTGTCTTTTTGTTGTTATTTTGTTTTGTGTGTTTTTGTCTCTTTGTATTTTTGTCATGGATCTATAATAATAACTGGATAGGGTATTACTAGCTTATAGCTGTCCCACCCATGGGCACAGGGGGCGCCCGTGGTACTGCAGGCTAAATTCACGAGGGTTACCCAGAAAAAAGAAGTCCCATAGAACTCAATGTAAACTAAAACAGCTCAACCTCAGCTGACAGAGAACCTACAGCTTTTGGAAATATCGGATTTTGTGGGGATTTTAGTATCCCTTGTCATCCTGAACAGTTTTTCTGCTTAAATCCTTCGGTTTTCTTTAAATCCACACTTTACTGCCACAAACTCTGCTCCTTTCCTTCCCGCCCGGGTTGTATTGCAAGCATGTCAGTGCATGTGATTATGGACATTTTTGAGCCGGGACCCGCCCCCACTGGTTCCTCGCTCTAAAAACAGTTTGTTTCTATCTCATACATGTAGTTATGGCTCTCTCAGTTTTTTCAAAGTTCAATCAATATATTAGTTTATTTTCGGAATGCAAAAACAAATTCAAGCACTTGGGAAAAATATGGTCTGAACCAGGAATAGGCACAAGCTAAGGCTTATAGCCTTTCATATACACTAAACTTAATTAGCTGCTACACACAAATCAAATGTCCATTTCTGGGTCGGGGGGGTGGTAATGAGAGCTGCCACCCAATGCTCATAATGCTCATTGCACCAGTCCCTTGCTGATCCTCCGGCAGGTGGTGGGTCCACAGGAAGATGGCTGCTCAGTCAACGGTGACACGGCCTTAAAATAAGACATTTACTGCTTAGCATTCACAATCAATAAAGGTTTGAATAATATTCTTCTTCTGTCTTCTGTCCTGAAGTGTTGTACATTTCTGCAGTTTTTTAAATCTACAGAATTGTTTTGTCAACAACAAAAACAAAATGCATTTTTACATTTGATCTAACACCAGGCTTAAGAAAGGACTACCCTCACTCAGCCAATCAGCTCTCAGCCCAAAGACACAAGGGCATTTGTATGCAAACAATAACATGCATACCCCCAACATGTGTAATAACGAAGAAAATAAGTTAGTTCATATATTATGGATGTGGTGTTATTAATTAACAACAGTAAATGCATGTCTGTATGTCCACAGGGGTATACGTCCTGATCGCAGCAGGTGCCCTCATGATGGTGGTGGGCTTCCTCGGTTGCTGTGGGGCCATCCAGGAGTCTCCCTGTATGCTGGGCCTGGTTAGTGTCCTCTTACCCTTTTAGCCCTCACTGTCTCTGATTTACACTGCCATTTCAATGCCATTTGCAATAAAAACTAATTAAAGTGAAAAAACACAAACCATTAATCAAGTTTCAGTCCAGTTAGGGTTAGATAACAAGAATACAAACATATACAAACAAAGCATTTGCCAACAACAGCTGGAAACGCATATGTTTGGTTTTTGTGAAAATATTAAAAAGCTTCTTAAAAGTTATATTCAAAGTTTCTCACTTGGAATGATAAAGTGTAACATTATTTGAAGCCAATTGGTCAATGTCACTTTTCACAAATCAAGATTATTATATTTAAGAATTTGATAAATATTTTCCAAAGTTCACTGCTGTTTGGTCTTATTTGATTGTATAGTTTTACTTCCTGGTTGTACATGATGACATCACCAGAGGGATGTTACCAGATGGGCCAAATCTCATACAGTGTACAAAGAGGATATTCTGATAAAGTGAATTACAAGTATATACTTTATATTAGATAAATATTCACTCCAAATGATGTGTTTGTAGTGAAATTATGAAATTATGTTTTAGAGCCATTCCCCAGACCCCAGCTATAGCAGATTCTATTGTTACTTTTGTAGCATGAGTTAAAATTTGATGAGAAAGGACCAAGACATCCATGAGATTGAGCCAAATAACTTTGAATTCCCTTTACAATTAAATACTAATACAAAACTCTCTGAGCTCCTATTTCCCCAGAGCTGAGCCTCCAGGCCGGTATCATAGAGGTAGTTAGCCTCTTCTCTGTCCCTACTTAGACTAACTCACACAAATTCAGATAAACAATGATATGGGGCTGCACGATATATCGAAAACATATTTTTAGCGCGATATTGGTGCGTGCAATATCCATATCAAAAAAGATCCTCTATAAAAAATTTAAATAATTCCTTTATTTAAGACAACAAAACAGACAGACACATCAACATTCAACAAGAACAACAAAAAACAAACAAACAAAAAAGTATATAAATACATGCATTTGAATGTCATTAATGTTGTGCTTATTTTTTGTTATTTGTCTCTTGCATTTTTTAGGTGACAGAAAAAAATATCGCAATAATATTGTTATCGAAATACTAAACACTCAGGTGTCATCTTTGGCCCCATACGTATGAAAGAAGTCTAAGGACTTGGGCCTGGTCTTGGACTTGGCCCTGGTCTCGGTCTCCTTCCTTCTTTAGCAAGATAAAGGAAGACTCGCACTTTCTGAAAAACACTGGGCTTCATTGTTCCATGAAGGACATATCAGCAAGGAAGTGTCGATTAATACAAAATACATTATGATTATTACAAAAACACTTTATGATTATTATACTGTAACTGTTAGTACATGATACTACTGATGATAGAAATAGGTGATTCTAATTCATTCACTGTGTTTTTGTGTCAGTGTGTGCATTTATTTTTATTATCACAACATTACCAAACAATAGACACATCTTTCTCTGTCAGCACAATCAGCTCAAGAAAATGTTTCCATTTCTGTTCAATTCTATCTCGATAACCTAAAATGTCACAAACTACAGTTGTAACAGTAAAAAACCATTATTTAGTTCGAAAACAGGCTTCATTTTGCCAGAATAAAACATAAAAGAAAATCTTTGTGATTTGCACTTTAAACGGTAAAGATAATTGCTCCATTGGTTAACCTTAATTCAAGTGTCAAAAACTTGCTTCCAGATAAAATTTATATGTTTTGTCTATGTGTGCATTTCCACCATTCATAAATAATTTCTGCTATTGTGATGTGCTTATTGCAACTAACCGATTCATCACTAAGTTGTTGATGATACTGTGGCCATACCTGCATGTGAAAGCCAGATCCCATCAAACCTCTGAAGACAAGCAGGGCAGGGCCTGATTATTACTGTGATGGGAGAACACCAGGTGCCACTGTGGCTGCCTCGCTTCAGTGTGCCCCAGGTCAGCTCTGGCTACAAGAGTATTTTATCCTCACCGTATACGTTTGTCCCATCGCTCAGACTCCTCCATCTCTCTCTCCTCCCCTCTCCAGCTCTCTGTCCCCTCTCTCCTACTCATCACCATGCAGGGTAGAACATTCAGCCGCTCTGCTCCCCAGCTCTGAGTCTCACTCACCCCTTGACAGCCACAACACAGACTCTCTTCCCCGGTTCATATCCAGACTCAAAACTCACCTTTTCAGACTTTCCTTCCCCACATGACCAGTCTCGTGTCATGTGACTAGTCATAGCATATACAAGACCTTTGACGTGTTCTGTTGTTTTCTGTTCTTATTAATGTTAATGTTTTCGTTGCACTCTGTTTTCAACCATGTTTGTACAGTGTCCTTGAATTTTTTGAAAGGCGCTTTTAAATTAAATGTATTATTACAATTATTATTACTTACTGGTAAAGCTGTTTTTCCTCACATCACACACAGTGCAGAGTTTAACCAAAGCCACAGTCTGGTAACAGCTGCGTCATAATCTTCTTTGAGTTAATCTCCCGGGGGGGGGCGGGGCCTTCAGCATCACTAACAGCAGATCTTATGTTTATTACATGTGTCCTGTCGTAGCCACATCACTATTGAACTGTGTCTTTTCTACAGTTTTTCTTCTTCCTGCTCATCATCTTTGCTGTTGAGGTGGCAGCAGGAATCTGGGGGTTCTCAAATCAAACCAAGGTATTATACAGTACTTATAAATATAGGCTGTAAACACAATTGCTTTACTTTTATGTTCTAGAATTCTATTTTGGTCAGGTGCCAATACAACTAAAAGTATAGTTGTAAAAAGTATTTTACTTAATTATTATTTTGTCAAAGTGCATTCTCCTGCCCAACATATTGCATGTTTTTGAATATTGTCACCACTTCTATACAACTTAATGAGACAAATATGAAAAAAAACAACTAATAGCCAAAGAAGATGTGGCAGTTTTTTTGTGTTCTAAACTTTGACTAGAATCTGACTTTTGACTTTAACCATAGTTTAGCAGGAAAGATTTGTCAGCTGACATCACATTGCACAGTCGTGGTCCATAAGTGAATAACAAACTTGTGTGTGCTAGGTGGTGGATGATATTACAACCTTCTACTTACAAACGTACAACAAGTACAAGGAGACGAGCGATTTACGCCTTAAAGAGACGTTAAAAGTAATCCAAAATGGGGTAAGTATGGTCACAAGCCGTGATTGCATCAGAGTACAAAGACTTCTATAGCTGTACTACCCTTAAACTTCATAATGATACATTCTCCTGCTCATTCAGCTCAACTGCTGTGGTCCCACTGGCTCTGTGGATGACATCGCCAAAGACACATGTCCCAGAGGAAGTCCACTCCAGGAGCTAATCACTAAGGTACCACTCAAACTAGAGCCCTGGGTAGAACTTTCAAATCATAGAAAAAAACAGATTCTGTCACTAGTTTTCACATGCATGCATATTTGGCCTCTGACACATCTTTAGAGTAGCCTATTCAAAGGATAAAAAAACGTGACTTACAGGGCTCTTCCTTACAAGTATGCAAGAGATAACATGTTTTCACATAAGAAAGGTTGACCTAGCTTTAAGTTAACTTTGAAATGAAATGTGTTTGCAGAGCTGCCCTGATGCTATTGAAGAGGTGTTTGACTCCAAACTGCACATCATTGGTGGTGTGGGTGTCACCATTGGAGTCATAATGGTGAGTATTTTTCTCATTGATAATGTCATAAGATAATAAACAAATTCATATGTGGTGGTGTTCCTTTGTAGGTGTTTGGGATGATTTTCAGCATGCTCCTGTGCTGTGCAATTAGAAAGTCTCGAGAGGTGGTGTGACGGCCCTTCCTTTCTGATATGGATTACAATTGCATGATGTCATTCCCGGGGTCACATGAGTCCGCACTGCCAATGGAACACTTCTTGTTGAAGAACATATACCTTCAGATAGACAGGTGTCAGACATTTCACTTTTATCACATAACTTCAATGTATGTGTTGTGAAAATGTTACAAATACAGACACAACTAAAAAAAAAAGTTTAAGAATTTGTATTGACCATTTCAGAAAGTGTTATTGTATATGTGTTTTATGTTAAGACTTGAACTATTTCATGCTATATTTGGTGAATATGTTTCGTGTACACTTTCACTTTCTGAAAATGTTTTTAGTTTTATTTTCTTGCAATATTCCTATTTTTTGAGACATACTAGTAAATCTGATGACACTTATGAGAAATAAGTGATGTGGAGGGGAACTAGCTATACAATGGTGTCCCCTGTGCTTGTGTCATCACTGTGATATTGTGACGAACTCTACTCTACTGTTTGCAAACTTTACATTCTAAAGATATGTTTATATGACTGTGTTGGTCACATACCGCCAAGACTCTCGGTGCAATGCAACCCTGGAGCACCCCTCTCACTCTACAGCTGTTGCCAATGGAACGTCCCTACATAGCAATGTATGCACTTGCTCGCTTCATGTCTTCAGTTATTTCAGCTTTGGTGGAAGAAGCAGAAATATATATTTTTTAATGATTTGCAGCTCATTCTTTCTTGTTTATATTAAATGTAAGTATAATATGTTTGGTTTTATATTTGTAAGATTTCTGAGTAAAGATTGTTGTATAGCAGTGGCCGATTGAAGGTACATTTTATACTGTTAATTACATGTTTTGTTGAAATGCACTGGTTCACTGTGTTGAATAAATACAGTTATGTAAAAAACATCCAATTTCTTATGTACTATTTTCCATGTGAAACTGTTTATCAGAAAGCTTTGCTTTAATCAAATCAACCACTTTGGACAAGCATTTTTCCAAAACCCCAGCTGACTCATACCAGAAGCTTAAACTATGCTTTTTGCGATCCTAAATGAGTGGCTGGACTTGGATTAGAGGTCCGTCTGATTACAGCCAGAGGAAGTATGTCTGATTTGCCCGCTGACAGTTTGGTGCTGGACTTTTTGACACCCACCCATAACTGCACAGATAACACTGATTACAAAGGTGTTTTTGTGGTGAATGGACCCCTTTATGAGCAACAGTACAGTGCTCTCGAGGCCGGCTGAAGCGAGTCCATTTGTATTCATCACATTTAAAAATGTAAAAGCCAGTTTTGGGAGTTAATGTGATGGTTATAATACATTTACGATGCAAATGTAAACTAAGAAACAGAAATAAGAAGTCCTTTGAGACGACAGTTGTTAAGACAATTTGGCAGCACACAAACATAATGATTTGATTTCCTTGATTATTCTTCACTCATCTTTTCATAGACCTATGTAACAGAACATTGTTGGGGAAAAGAAGTTAACCCTGGTTTAGTTTCCATCCAGGTTTGTTGTTGGAAGCACTGTAAAATATGCCAGAAAGAGAGAAATGTTAATGCACCAGCAGGCATTTACTGTAGATCACAAATTAGTTCAAAAGTAGTTTCTTAGTGCACACTTTGTATTAGCAGCTAACAGATATAGGGCGGCCTTCCCGGTCTTCATCAATAGCTGTGCTTCTGTTCTTCACTGCCAAGGGTGGGCAGCTTCCCACGCTGAATCATTTCTAACTATTGTCCCCGTTCTACAAAGTAGCCATACAATGTCCTTGATCTTGTATTTCTGCTCAGCTGTTTACTTTACAATGGAATTTTGGAATGTTGTTCACTGAATGTATCAAAATATAGAATCAAACTTGTGTTACTGTAAGTATGTATGTGCCTAATATTCTGACATATAATTTCCGACATATTTTTAACATTGAAAAGGTGTTTTTTTATTTTTATTTTTTTATTATTACACAAGGACTTTTAACTGGACCAAGTCTGATTCAGCAGCACACATCAGTTTCCAAAGATGCAAAACGACAAAAGTGACTAGTGGTCCACAAATAGAGCTTTTGCCCGAAGAGAACCAAACAGTATTTTTAGAGATATTTTAAGATGCAAGTGTGCCCAATTCATTCCTTGTGGTTAGCCATTTTAAGGGAATTAACTTTCAGTAGTTAGCAGTGCTTCTAAGTTAATCAACTCCACATGTTTAGCCATGTTTTTAAGTTCAGATAACAGCTTCGCAATTCTAAAAGTCTCAAAAAAGAATACGCATTTTTTGAGTACCTATACAAGCTTGTACTTATTCAAGTCAATCTCACATCATAATAATACATAGTGCATCCTTTTATTGTCCGGCCTCCCCATTAGGACACAATGCGCTCAGTCCTCGTCCTCTTCCTGGCAGGAAATGTTTTCCATTGTTTTAAGTCTGCTCTTTGTGTGAATAACAGAGTCTAATGTCAAGAGCTGTGAGAAACACTGCAGCACAGCCAAAACCAGCTGGTACTTACAGAATACTGACTCCAGTCCTAGACCCCACGCACAACACTTTAAGTTCATATTGCTCTGTAAATGCGCAGGGCTTGTGAGGCGCTCTTGGACACATTGCAGCACTGTGTATTGCATTTGAGCAAAACGTCGCGGCTGGTGGGAGTAAATGTGGCGAGGAAGGCAGAGAAGAGCGTCGGCCAGGATCCGGGGAACTACATGTGCACGTTTGGAAATAGGACTGTGCTGGAGAGCGAGACTTAGAAGAATTTCAAAAGCTCCGCCGGAAGTGAGCACGCAACCTCGTGGGCAGTAGTGATCAGGAGGCGGGGTGCAGGACGTGTTTGGGGGTGGTGCGGAGGAAGGCGGTTCCCACGTGGTCTTCAGCATCTTGATGGCATCTCGCATGGCGGAGGCGTGCTGCTCGCTCTGGCCTTCTCCTGTGCCACATACGACCAGGCTGCAAGGTCTGACGGGGGCTTTAGCAGGGAAGGCCACGTGAATGTACCTGAAAGAAGACAGGTTACATTTCATACAACGGACAGAACAAAAGAAAGTTAAAAACCACATGAAGATAGAATATCAGTTTTATGCCATACAATAAAATTAGAGACAAAAATACAGGAAGCAAATGCAACTGGAGAATGAGGAGATCAAAGCCCACGTACATTAATGCTTTACTGCTCGGTTGTCTCTGTGCAATATAAGTAACAACAACAATCTTGAAGAATAAAAAAATCTTTATAATATTATGTAAAGATCTTTAAAATACCCTGGGTTTCAGGACAATGAAAAATACCAACTGTTGCCATAATTGTAATAGCATTTCAAAACAATAGTTCTTTGGATGGGTCCTCAAAAAAACATCAATATTAGATTTGAGAATTGAACTATTATTTTATTTTCTTTAAATAAAAAGAAAAATTGGAATATGAAAGATTAAAAGCCAATGATCCAAACTGTGAAATTGGCTCAAAACAATCACAGTCATCTTGTAAGTAGTAGTAAGTAATCTTTATTTATATACCGCCTTCACAGACCAGAGTCTCAAAGCGGTTTACAATTGTTATTTTTTGGGCAATTGTCCTCTCACTCCACACAGAGATGGGAGCGGGGTCGCCAGAACACGAGGCGCATGTACATGTTTTTAGTGGTAGAGGAAACCTATGCAGACACGGGGAGAACATGCAAACTCCACTCAGAAAGGCCCTGTTCTGACCGGGATTCGAACCCAGGACCTTCTTGCTGAGAAGCAAGAGTGCTATCCACTCAGCCACCCGATTGATCTTGTTGCAAATATAGGTGAAACAAGGAAATTGATGAACTTTTGAACGGTATTTTTTGAGTGTCACCTGCATGCTTCACGCCTGCTTTGATTATTTACAACATTTAACATTTACAATAATTTAGGCCTCTGTTTGCTGTATAACAATGTGTATTACGTGAAAAGTGACACCAACCTGTGAGCTCCGAGAAGAACAGGTTTGCAAAAGTCCAGCGAGACCACATGCTTCGCCTGAATATCCCAAAAGTCGGTGACGGCGGTCGCTTCACTTAGATGCATGAAAAGAGTCAACTCCTCCTGCTCCACACACTCCACCACATTGATCTGAGAATTTGTCGCTAAACCCAACACTGCATCTGTCTGTTTGACTGAAGACAGGAGCAGGGACACACCTATACTCTGCAGATATGAAACCACACACTCCACAGAGCTTTCCCAAAAGGAGCTGAAATGCACAAAACTCCCCTTGTCTCCGGTTTCTAACGCCAGTCCTGTTTCCATGAATTTAGGCTGAAGTGGCGTGGTTACAACAATAGCTTTGACTGGTTGAGCTGTTGTCTGAGAATACGGCACAGCGAAGTCTCTGTGGATGATTTGCCCTTCGAGTAACCTGGAGTAACTTATGGGAAAGCCTATAACGGGAGTATACAGCGCGGGCCATGTGTCATCTATGAACTGAAGACAGGAGCACGACTGGTCGACTTCGGCTGTCCAGTGAGAAAGAAACTGGCAAAGCAGGTCACTGACAGAATTGCAGTGTGCGTGGCTCAGGCGGGTGTGAAAGAAACCCGAGAGGAGCTTCTGCACCGGGGATGACGAGGCTGCGCTCAGGTCTGTCCATATGATGTGCTCTGAGTGGGGTAAGATTGCGGAGGCGATGAGGGGGTCCAGCTGCTGCAGGGAGAAGGACAGCAGCTCGCGGGCCAAGCTGTGTGGCGCGCACTTCTCCATGCGCGCTGCGTCCTCGACCGTCTGCACGAGTGATGCGAGCAGGAGAATGAAAGACTTGGACCCGTCGCCTGTTAGGGCACTGTGTCCAGTAGCGCATTCCACTATCATTCTGAAAGACAAAAAAATATATTAAAAGTACTGTTTTGCAATATGCACTCTTAGTGGTCTAATAAAGTAATTGCAATTTCAATTCCTGCCTGTGACTCATTTAGCTCCAAAGCACTGACTACTGATGCAATCCACCAGCTGGGGTTTAGTTAGAACCAGTACTAATTCTGTGTATCATGTATGACTTATCTAAAAAGGCTAAATTTAACCTTAAAAACTGGCAACACAAATAGGAGCCTTTTTCGGTTATTAATTATGATGTTGACCTACTATCTGGGGACACATATAAAAGATGTACAGTCATTCAAAAATAAAATATTACGTACGGCACCTTTAGAGTTGGTAATACATTTTCTTTGTCCCAATAAATAAACTGGTAAAAGTAAAATTTGCTTAAGTGAGTCACTATTTGTCACTTTGTCGCTGAGAACTGATTGGCTGAATGAGGGGGGTCCTCTCTTTTTCACGTTTATGTCTTAAAAAGCGGATCAAAAGACATGACAGAGGCTAAAATACATGCGTGTGAAAGATTCAAGTTCTATCACTAGTTGTTTTGAGAGAGTTAGATGTTGTTTATTACATATTGTATATCAATATATAGTGCTTTGAAAGTTAAGTCCCCAAGCTTTAAGATCTACATCAGCCAAGTGGCAGGATGTGAAGATCTTACAGGAGGTTGAGCTGCAGTAGAAAAAACTTGAGGGATTTTATTCAAGGAACATTAATTCATAAAATCAATATAACTGTTTATCCAAATGAGCTTTAGCTTCATGTACACCATTTTCTGGTATCTAATCATCTGTCTCCCAATTTCCCCACTGTGGGACGAATAAAGGAATTCTTATCTTATCTTGCTAAAGGAATACAATGGTGAAATGAAATCGCTTTCATTACAGGTATAAACCTAAAAAAATTGCAATAATGTGGTAAAATCGGTTTATAAATTGGCAAAATCAAGATAAAGCCATACTGTGGAACTTTATGGTGACAAGGGACGGACAACTGATTCTTTTCACTTTAAGTTTTATGTTTATGTTTAAGTTTTATGAGACAAGGAAACTCAAGCGTTGGCCAAACTTAAGAAGATTTGAAGATTTAAATGCAGTTTAGGGGAAATGTATTGCTACTTTCATACTTAACCAAACAGAATCATGTATATTTGATTTTGTATAACCATTTAATTCTTGTCATGCTTTAATCTTGGAGACAATTGAAATTATGTCAAGAAATGTACTGGCACATAAACAGAAATAAAATGCATTTAATATAATTTAGCATAATTGAGGTAGCTTCACCACATGTTATGCCTTTGTAATAGTTTTGCTGCTCAGTATATGCCACACAGGTACAAAGATAATGCCACAAATGTCAAAACAGAAGACTGGAGAAACAAAAGGAGGTATGTTTTATGAAGTCAAATGCAGCAGTAGTTACCTCGCCAGCGGGTGGTCCAGTCTCAGTGCGTTCAGAACACGCACACCGTCCCGACTGAGCATCAGGTGTCCCGTGTCCCGTGTGAACAGCACCTGCCCCCCGTGTGGACCAAACGCCCGTAGGACCACCGCCTGTAGGACCCCCACGGTCTGCACCACACGCTCCAAGCCCACACTCTCCATGGCTTTCCCTGCAAAGGGGAGGAGAGATCGGGGACCGTGCCGAGAGCAAACGGGTCATATGCAGATAATAACAAAAACACGTGTGCTAACGTTAGCTGTTAGCTATCTGACCGCTCTGCATACTAGTTACCTTTGACGTTAACTTAAAATATAGAATCACAAAAATATAGCAGATGTTTTCAAAACCCGGAAAATAAACGTGTAAGATATAAAAAGAGTATACATTTGCCCGATCTTACCTCCACAGTAATAACATGGATCAAAACGATCAAAACAGTAAACTTCCTCCGTATCCTGGAGACGAGGCTTCTTCTGTGTCTGTCAGCACGTGGTAAAACAACGCTGCCATCTTGTGTGTGCATGCAGTATTGCTACACACTTTTTCAGATTCCATTTGAGAGTGACCACAGACTATACATAGTTCCCACAGACCAATGAATGTCACATGACCTCCTCGGAGACGCCAACTTTTGAGCAAATAATTGTATATTAATACAATGGCACCACAGTTTAACGTGCTACGGACATGTTTTACATATTTGATCAAATTATGCAGCAAAAATTAACAAGCAATGCAAACATTTCTCAAAAACTTTAGATTTAATACCAGTTGGAGCTCCATTTAATTATTTTAATTATATTAACAATTAATTTAATTAATGCTAATGCCACACGGACACTCTGGATTGCTGTTATTGTTTATTTCCGCGTTTTTGACCGTATGTTTTGGTGAATGGTGGGCAACTGATTTTTCCAGGCGTAAAGAGCAGTTTATTTTATGACACAGATCTTTTTACAGAAGCAATGCTGTTTGTGAACATTGTTTTAGCCCACCATAGAACTATTATTATCTATTTAATACATTTACGTTGCCCTCGAGAGCCTCGGACGCGACACCGATCCTCCTCATAATAAAGTAATCTAACGCTAAATAATGAAACTCTCAAGTTACCAGCTATCAGCATACACAAGTTAGTACTGAGTAAATTACGTCTGTCAACACATTATAAGATACGATACGCACCTGACACAAAGTGCTCCGAGCATATTCTTGCGTGTTTTGAGGGAGTTTCTTGCCTGTTTATCTTCGCAAGCCATAACCTCCGTGGTTGTTCTGACAAAAGCTTAGTCTTCTCACATTCATGAAGTCTAATGATGGGTATACTGTAAAATCCAAGTTTAACGGAACCTCCGGCACGATTTGAACATCCATTGACCCAGCAGGAGATGACCATTTTCAACTTTATCACGACATTAACACGTTTCAGCTTCTTTTTCTATTGTTTTGCCCACAGAATGCCAACACAAATGTCGCCGGGTCGGCAAATCCCCGTATGTAGTGACGTCATGTGGGAACTATGTATATCCGTGTTACCCAATCTTTTTAAGCTGTAGCACATATTTTTCATTTAAAACATTCCCATAGCCCACCACCAGTTGAAACAGATTTTTTTTTTAACTCTTTGATACAAAGTCATTCTCATATTCTAAGTAGTAAGTAAAATATGCTATAGTGCATTTCTCAGACCAAGGTCACACAAAGCGTGACATACACACATATATGTGTATTTGTACAAACAGATACACATTTTAAGTATATTGTATAGAAAATCATACAAGTGCAAAAAAATTCTTATCTTATTTGATTCTTATCCGATGCTATTTGGATAATTTCCAAAGGCACACAAACAACAGTAGTGCCATGGGACACTGTTTGAAAAGTACTGGACTATTTGATCTATGATTGATAAATGACATACGTGTGTGCTCTGGTTATTGCAGTTTTGGTTTGGTTGGCTAAATTCAGTTAGATGATTTTTGGGCAAGCACAAGTTTTTAAGTATAACTTTAAAAATACATCGTCCAAGTACCATCCTACATCAGGAATATGACAGGAATTTTTTTCCAGGACATTATCTGTGTCAAAATTTAGGAACAATTCATTAAAAACCACACATAACATCACAGTTCTCACTCGTTTAGTACTTTATGCAATGCAAGAAGTAAAATTTCAAAATGGTGTTGTAGATAGAGGCACGCATCCAAAATCTTTTAAGATCTATGCAACGACGGTAGCAGCTGTAAAAAGTATACATTCTTTATTGGAGCTACTACTGCGGTTTTGTGGATGTTGTACTTAGTTACCAAAATTTTAATTTCAGACAATGAGGAGAAAATATGTTACACAGTGGATGTACATTTTGGGTTTGAAGTCTTTAAAGGGGACATATCATGAAAAATCCACTTTTTGTGCCTTAAATGCCTTTTGTTGTGAAGTTGGAGCCTCTAGAAGTGCAAAAAAGTTGAAATCAGTCTCTTCATGGGTTGCAGAGAACACTTCATATTCTGTTTAGGTAAGATTTTTCAACCCGTTCTGATTTTGCCATTCTCTATTACGTGTTTAGAATTATTACGTCACAGTGTTTGCAGCGAGACTGCCATATAAGGGCATGGGAGTCTAACAAAACACTTCGGCCCAGCCCTCCTCCACTGTGCATCACGTCGAATTTGTAGTCCAAGCTCAAGGATGCCAGCGAACAGGGCTGGACTGACCATCGGGCGTACCGGGCAATGCCCAAAGGGCCGATGCCCATATTTGGGCCGGTCTGTCTGCCTCATACAAAACACATGTTTATGAGAAGTGTAAATCCGTTGAGAATTGTTGGAGCGGGGCGCGCGTATCCGCGGGGGCACCTGTTGTATGTATTCGAACGGGATTCCGCCACCTGAGCGGCCACAGTGTTCCGGGGCATCTGCGGCCGCTTTGTAATGAGCAGCTTCTGCGTCCAGCGGCTGCCAGAGGCTGTGAGCGTCCAGCCGCTCGCAGCCGCTCCACCGTGTTGTGGCTGAGCGCGCAGCCTCAACGTGGCCATGTACCCAACCGCATAAACGCGCACAGGACCATGCGTGTCTTTGAGTAATCTGTGCACCCAATAAATACACTGCTGCAGGAAACAGTCCGCGTCTCCCCTCTCCTCTCGAAGCGCGATTAAACGCCCTAAATAAAGCTCTGATACCTACATTTTGCAATGCATTAATAGTTCATGTTCGAGCCCAAAAGTAACATGTTGTGAACAAATTAAACAGATTTAGAGCCAGCAAATGGATGACAATATGCATTTCAGTCTTTTTTGACCAACAAACAATAGTGTTGTCTGTGTCCACCTCCCTCACTCTGAGACATGGTTATTACTCTCTTGTAATGTAGACTATTGCATTTTATTTTATTGTTGAAACTGCATATCCTGATCCTCTACAGCAGGGGTGCCCAAAGTGGGGCCCGCGGGCCAAAGTTGGCCCGCCTAACATTGCCCACCTCCGCTGTAAGTTTCTAACTGCGTCCCTCAACTTCACTGAACAAACAGTGACATGTCTGAGATCGCGCGGGCGCACCAACGCTCTCTGAATGTAGACTGTCCAGTACTTTACTGTTGTATCGAGCAGGGCTGGACTGGGACAAAAAAACGGCCCGGGCATTTTTTCCTTCTTACCGGCCCAGGCATGTTTTTGTCACGTTTATTACAGTTTGTTTATACCAGGGATCGGCAACTCAAAAGGTTCAAAGAGCCATATTTGACAAAAAATACTAAAAACATCTGTCTGGAGCCGCAAAAAAATAACAGCCTTGTATAAAGCTTATATGAAGGTTACACAATGTAGCTACATTAGCTACATTAGCCTATTATCTAAATGACCAAGTAAAGGCTACAAATACATAATAAGCATTCATGATTATCAAATGTGTGTTTTCACTGCAGCGTGTCCTGGAGAGAATGACGCACCACGTGATGACTCTGCTTTAACTTTGACTTCCATTTTTTTGCCTTCATGCAACTGTAGAAATACAGTAAATAAATCTGCTTTTTGGCTCAAAGGTCACACACCTGCACTGTCCACTCATATCGATTACGTCACAGGCTGAAGTTTGCTGGAGTTGAATGTCCTTAATGGCCTTTTCTTTCACAGTCTTTGCGGAGGTTTTTGAAGTCTGAAAAAGGTGCTCCGGATTTTGTATGAAAGAATCCTTCACGTAATCCCTGTGAACGGTATTTAGTGCTTCATTGTTCCTCGTGTTGCAACAAAACTTCCTATTACATCGCAAACATGAAGCAGTCCTTCCTCATTGACTAAAAGCAAATGTTCAGTCTTGTTCTTAGTCCAGTCTTATTATCGACTCGTTCTCTTTTTATCTTTGGGATCCGTGCGCACATGCCGGTTTGTTTACAGCAGCGGCCGTCTGCCGCGGGGCCGCGCCACAGGATATGACTCACTACGTTGACAGAAATGTTGAAATTGAATATTACTTATACACATTTTTACAGCATTGAAATACGTTAGGAATGTTTTTCCTCCTACAGAAACCACATTCAAATTAGGAATAAAATATAGCCCTCCCACTCCATTTTCAGACATTTTTGAAAAGGCTCCAGGAGCCACTGGAGGAGCACTAAAGGTTGCCGACCCCTGGTTTATACAGTATGTGGAAGCAAATACTGTAGAGGATCAGGATGTCTACAGTTTCAACAAAAAAATAAAGTACAATAGTCTACATTAAACAGAGTAATAAACATGTCTCAGAGTGAGGGAGGTGGACGCAGACAACACTGTTGTTTGTTACAGGGATGAGAATTGGTCAAAAAAGTCTGAAATGCATAATGTCAGCCATTGGCTGGCTCTAAATCTGTTTATTTTTTTCACAACATTTTACTTTTGGGCTCAAACATGAACTTTTAATGCAATGGAAAATTTAGGCACCCGAGCTTTAATTTAGTCGCACTTCGAGAGGAGAGGGGAGACGCGGACTGTTTCCTGCAGCGGTGTATTTATTGGGTGCACAAATTACGCAAAGACACGCATGGTCCTGTGCACGTTTATGGTCTTGGGTACATGGTCACGTTGCGGCTACGCGCTCACCGTGTTGTGTTGTGAGCGGTTCCCGGTTCCCGCGTCCAGCTCAGAGCCGCTGGATGCCGGAACACTGCGGCCGCTGAGGTGGTAGAATCCCGTTCCAGTACATACAGCAGGTGCCCCGCGGACACGCGCGCCCCCTCGAACAGTTCTCAACGGATTTACACTTTTCACAAACATCTTTTTTGTATGAGGCAAACAGACCGGCCCAAATATGGGCATCGGCCCTTCTGGCATTGCCCAGTACGCCTGATGGCCAGTCCAGCCGTGGTATCGAGATACACTCGTCACTCATGGTTCACATCTACTTGCACTAAAATGTTTTTTTAAAATCAAACACATCTTTCAAAACAATTGGGTGCAAGGCCCCTTTATGTTCTTTTTTTTCAGCCTACTATTATAATTTTTTTGAGCAATTTAATGTTTTATCAAATTGAGAGGATTGTGCTGCCGAACTGCCACTCCCCCTCCTCACCGGAGGGAATTGGCGAGTGGAACTATTCACCTGCGCAATCCGCACCCACCCGGTGTGTTAAAAAAGACGGACACACACACTTCAGAGTGAGGCTGTATCCGAATGTCCACACTATACCCTATATAGTGCACTATATAGTGGTCACGCCATTTTGTAGGGGTGTCCGAATGTCCAGAGAGAAAAAGTAGTGCACTGGAATTTTCCCACAATGCATCTCGAACATGTAGTGAGCAGCGATGGTCACTAGACGGAAGTAAAATGGCGGAGGCAGCGAGAGACGTGTTGGAACAGGAGCAACACATGAGCTATAAATGTGAGTTTTTAATCATCATAAATATGTAAATGTGTAAACCGTGATATATTGTTGACGATAAGCTGCCAAAATACACATTTGAATACCATTGCCTTTTACTGCGAAACAACGTACCAATGTTATGCCGCGAAAGTGTTAGCATTTTTGCATATCATAACATTAACATCTAAAGCGAACGCTACAGAAACGGGTCACTGGTGGTCAGTCATTAATGTTATTAAAGCACTTGTGTTATATGTATAGCATTTATTGTGTGTTTAATGTTTTTTAAAGGGACAGACACTGATGTGGAGAGACTCATCTGACTGCGGGTGAAAAATTTGCATCGGCGGCTGGATGGGAGTATGACCATTATGAATAAATACTTATTCAAAAAACGTCTACTCATATTCAAATGTTTTTATGTATCGTTACTTTAGGGCAGTAATAAAGGAAATGGGGCTGAGCCGCCTGATCAGCCCTGCCAGAGCGGCCAAGAAGTGGGAGAACCTGAAAAAGACCTACAAGGTTTGTTTCTTTGAAGCTAATTTGTGAAGCATTTATTATACAAAACTCACTGTTTTAAGGAGCTCAGACAGCCACGGACAGGGACAGGGACAGAAGGAGGGGAGCCTACCGCCATATCGTGGAAGTGGTACTCCCTCATGGATGAGGCGATAGGCAGCAGGCCATCCGTGCAGCCTCCCTGCCTGATTGCCTCATCCATGGGGGAGGGCGTTTCCACATCTGTGGAACAACCCCCTGCCCCCGTACAGCCAGAGGAGGAAGAGGAAAGAGTGGCAGCCAAGAGGCCGAGAAGGGAGAGTTGAATTAGTTTTTTGGAGAAGGTGGAGAAGAAGGAAGAGGAAAGGGAGAAGCGAGAAGAGGAGAGGGGAAGAAGAGAGGAAGAGAGAAAGGAGAGACTGTTGAGTTTGTTGGAGAGAATTGTTGAGAAGTTGTAAATAGTAGATAAAAATTTATTTTGATAAGTGTAGTTTGAACTATATGCATATCGACATACAATGATGAACACTATTTACACACAAAAAATTTAATCAACTAGACATTTGTAAAGAAAACTATACATACATTCAACAATTTCTTTTTAGATATTTACATATTCAATTGTTTTTATTTAAATAGGCCAAAACACAGATTATTCAAACATTTAATTAATAGCCGTGGTCCCGAAGAGCTGGTAGCCTGGCCCTTGGGGTGGAAAGTGCTGCTGCCATCCGTCCACGCAGCTCCTGTCCACGCAGCTCCTGTCCACACAGCTCCTGTCCACACAGCTCCTGTCCACACAGCTCCTGTCCACACAGCTCCTGTCCACGCAGCTCCTGTCCACACTGCTGATCAGGCTGGTGCTGCTGATGCTGGTCCTGCTCATCATCAGGCCCTGGCTCCTCTTCCACTGGCTCCCAGAGAACACCATCGCTGATGCAGATGTTGTACAGGATGGTGCAACAGGCAGTCACCTCGACTGCAAAGGTGGGTTGGACTTCCAGTGCCTTGGAAAAAAATGGATCGCCATCTTGCCTTCATCATACCAAACGCTCTTTCTGTTACAGATCGTGCCCGTGCATGGTGCCGGTTGAAGCGGGCTTCCACTGGGCTCCAAACAGGCTCTCTGTATGGAGGGAGGAGTGTGATGGGCTGACGGAGGCAAGGGTAACCCCCATCACCAAGGAGGACGTGTCCATTTGGGGGATAGAGCCGGTGGACGTAGAGGGGGCTGTTTTTAAGCACTCGAGAATCGTGCACAGGCCAACAAACAAATCAATAAATAAGCCACGGTGATTACACACAGCCTGCATTTGAATAGAATAAAACAATTTCCTGTTAAAATAACACTGTGCATTTTCTTGAAGGGGCTTTATTCTGATGTGGCAGCCGTCGATGCCCCCCACAACATTATTTAAAGCAGCTGATCCAGTCAACAGCTGAAACCCAGCTGCAACTTGGGGCAGTTCCTCCAGGGAAGGGAAATTAATTATTTGGCCACGCATTTGAAGGATCTGGTTGGCCACCCTGTGGATCACATCGTGGACCGTAGACTGAGGCATGTCAAATGCCCTGGCGACAACACGGTACGCGGTGCCACTGGCCAACCAAAAGAGGAAGACCAAAACCTCCATGTCCTGGCTCCAGCCCTGGTGATGAGCACTCCTCAGGTGGCTAACCAGACGGGTGATGGTGGTTCGAGTGAGACGAAAATCGGGGCGAAGGTCAGACTGGCCATTTAAGTACATGCTGAGTAGGGGTACATGGTGGTTCAGTCGGCAGTACACCGGTGGTTCACCCTAAAACAAAACAAAAATTCTCTTAAACTTAATATGATACTTCTAGATTCATTTTTTAATTCTGTATCTGCACTTTTAGTTATGAGTGCAGACACAGGAATAAGTACTCATTTTTCATTTTGAGATGTAAAAATGTAAATAAAAATGAAGAGTATATAGCTGAAGTCATGTTCTTTTGTGCCCTGGCATTGATTTTGCCAAATGTATTGTGTGTTGCAGGGAGCTGGAGCTGCCCTGAGACAACTGAAGTAGAAACCCTCACTACATCACTCGCACCTAATAACACACAAAAAAAATCACAGAAGCCCTGTGCCCCATGGCCAAGCAAATTCTATTATTGTTTAATGATTAAGTACTCATTTTTCATTTAGAAAAAATGAGTACTTAATCCATTTCCCTTGCTATGGTTTTGTGTTCTTTCAACCAATAAAATATTTTAATGTTCTTGCATTTTAAGTGAGTGTGTCTATACAATGTGTTTTCTTGTTGAAATATGTCTAAATGTATATGACTAATGTGTTTCTCATTGACTGAGAATAGTATTTTAATTAGTAAGTACACCAAAAGTACTATAATTTACCCAGTTGCTAATGCTATATAGACAAAGGACGAATACAATACTTACACGACGCCTTGCTAATGAACGAAGAGCCATTCTCCTCCTCGCCCTCATCGCCTGTCTTCGCCTTCTCTCTGTTCGGCGGTGTTTAATTCGCATTATGATAACTTGTATAATAGTTATGAAAAACACCGCAAAATTCAGTGGAGGTGCCATTTCACCGGTGTTAGAGGAGCCGGTCAGGTGGCGGGAATATGAAAGAAGTCAACCAAAATTCATAAATATGAATATAAATTGTGAAAACATTTTATACATGTATATTAGACAAATATTGATATTTTAATATATTTTTATTTATATATAAAATTATATTGATCCAATGACATGTGACAGGGGTGTGATGTGGGCCGCGGCTAAAAATAGTGTGCAGCTGTCCGAATCGCCAACAGAATGAGTGCACTGACTCACTCACTCAGTCGCTATATAGTCCCGAACTATATAGTGAGTGAGTGAATAGGGTATAGTGTGGACATTCGGATACAGCCACGGACTCTTTAACAGTTACTTTGTTTTGATTGTTTATAAATGTATTACTGTGTTTAGGCAAAACAAAACAAACTCCAGGAACATATCATGGTTAACTAGTCTGATTTCGTTAGTTTAATATTCAGTTCACAACTAATTGAGAATACTTGTCCTATGTTAAAAATATTAAGTTAAAACAGAGTTAAAACCTGATCATGTTTAGAAAATGCAGTTAGCAATTATGTTCCCAAATTCATTACTAAATGTTAAAATGTATTGTTTAAAAGTGTGTTAAAACCAGATCTACTGATCAGTGATGTCTCCCCTTTTTGATAAAAGCTAAGATAAAGTAATATGATTCAAATGTAGTTAAAAACTTTTGTTCAAAATAAATATATGAAAATAGACTTTACTTTTGTAAAGTAAATGTCATTTGCTAGTACAATAAACCTATACAAAGTTCTGGATTCTACCCTGGATGTTGAGTTATTCTTGTGAAAATTATAAATCACTATATAGTAATGCAAAACTGTTTAGAAAAAGGTCTAGTCTTTTTCTTGGGTAAATGTTTGAAAGAACATTCACTTCAGGGTAAAAGTTCTTGGAAAGCAAGGGTTTGTTATCGTGAAAGCTCATAACAGTGAAGTTTGATCAAATCACTCCATATTACCCATTGTGGCAAAGACAAGAGAACCTTCATTCTTCCCACAGTGTATGTTGCAGCGCACATATAGGACAGTAGTAAGAGCACACAAGGAGCACACAAGTGGCAAACAAAATATACGTGGAGTTATACATACAGTTTGTAAAGCTTCTAAAAGATTGTGTTAGGGACCCAAGTATAGACCTGTAATACACTCCAAGAGTAAATTTGTTAAATATTTGTCCCTACTGTTTAGATCTCAAGACCTCACAGCTGCTACAAATGTGGTCTGATTTAAGTTTTTTTCTTGAAGGCCCAATGACAGTTCAGGTGGCCATCCCCTTCTCAGCTGGTCCCGCAAGTGTCCAGATATACGTCCAGCCTCCACGAGTCGGCTTGATGGATGGGGTGAAAGTTTGTGTTTGTCATCCTTCATGCGAGAACATTACCTGTGACTGGTTTGCTGTCAGAAGGTCGTGGGTTCAATTCCCACCTCTGCACCTTCTCCACTGACTCCCACTGATGACTGCTGTCGTTGTGTCCTTGGGCAAGACACTTAACCCCACTTTGCCCAAAGCCCCCACTGAAAGATCAAGGCTATGCTCACACTCAGAGAGCAGCCGTCCTCCTGTGGACTCACCACCTGCAGAGGGTCAGTGAGGGGCTGGTGCTATGAGACTTGGGTGGCATCTCTGACTGTCACCCCCCTGACCCAGAAATGGATTAAAGGGTAGAAAATGGATGGATGGATGGATGGATGGTTTGCTGTCCATGCACACTCCCGGACAGTTACAGTCAGCCACCTCATCCCAGGATCACAACTGCATTTCAAGGTGTACAGCACAAGCAGGAATCAAACGGGACCACCTTTCATCACCAAGCCTATAAGAACAAGTCGTTTTTTTATTTTTTAACAGTTATGTTCAGTCCAAACATAACTGAACTGAAATAACTTATAATGTATACCAAAATGCATCCAAACGTGTTATAGGTCATATAAGGTAGTAATGGGGATTTACTTAAATTGCTTGTAGTGTGGACAACTTTTGAGACGTTAATTTTGCTTAACAAAACCTGGACAAACATTGCCTCAAAGAAGGGCAATTCTATAGGTCAAAGAAGGATAATTAAAACTATTTGGATGCAGCCCATTCACAGCGCCAGTTTCCCACAAACATTCGCCAGTAAATTAGGTCTTTTGTCAGCTGTATTTTCAGTAGTACAAATAATGACGATGGAAGAAAACTTACACAGCCTACACATGTCACTTGGTAAAGGAGCAGACATTGTGTATCGTTACCAAAGGACTATTTTAGTAGATACATACAAAACTGCTGCAAGTGCACATTGAGACACTGGGCTTCAGGATATGGATCACCCTCTGTCAGGACATAAAAAAAATGTCTTCATGTTTGAGGAATGAATCCACCGACCCCACAGATATAACAATCATTGTCTCAGAATCCATTCCTCCCTGAATTCGAGGCTATGGGGTGCCGTTTGTAAAAATTCTGTTAAAATGTTTTAGCTGAACATTTTTCTACATTTAGCTCACTTTCCTCACATTTAGCACATTTTCCTCACATTTAAGACATATCTATATCTAAATATTATATCTATATCTAAATGTTAAATGTTATATCTAAATATTATATCTATATCTAAATGTTATATCTATATCTAAATGTTAAATCTAAATGTTAAATCTAAATGTTAAATCTAAATGTTAAATCTAAATGTTATATCTATATCTAAATGTTATATCTATATCTAAATGTTATATCTATATCTAAATATTATATCTATATCTAAATGTTAAATGTTATATCTAAATATTATATCTATATATCTAAATGTTATATCTATATCTAAATGTTAAATCTAAATGTTAAATCTAAATGTTAAATCTAAATGTTAAATCTAAATGTTAAATCTAAATGTGTCGCCAAGTGTAAAGCTAAATATATAGAAACCACGCCCACTGCAGTGGCTTCAAATCCAGTGGGCCCGCCTTCCGTGCCGTGTGGTGAGTGGGGGCGGTGCCGCGTGTTTTGAACATAGGAATACACGTGGACCGACGTCACGGCTCAAGGCATGTTGGGTCTCCGGCGCCATCGTCCTTGGCCACGGCACAAAATTAGCATTTTTGTGAAGATTCTTGCTTATTTGCTGGAGCCAGAGTGTATTCACTGTAAACTAAGCCACGTGGAGTCCCGTGAGATTCCTGTGTAATCCTGTAGGGTTCTCACCACACGGCACGGAAGGCGGGCCCACTGGATTTGAAGCCACTGCAGTGGGCGTGGTTTCTATATATTTAGCTTTACACTTGGCGACACATTTAGATTTAACATTTAGATTTAACATTTAGATTTAACATTTAGATTTAACATTTAGATTTAACATTTAGATATAGATATAACATTTAGATATAGATATAATATTTAGATATAACATTTAACATTTAGATATAGATATAATATTTAGATATAGATATAACATTTAGATATAGATATAACATTTAGATATAGATATAACATTTAGATTTAACATTTAGATTTAACATTTAGATATAGATATAATATTTAGATATAACATTTAACATTTAGATATAGATATAATATTTAGATATAGATATGTCTTAAATGTGAGGAAAATGTGCTAAATGTGAGGAAAGTGAGCTAAATGTAGAAAAATGTTCAGCTAAAAAATTTTAACAGAATTTTTACAAACGGCACCCCATACGAGGCAGGCTGAAATCAGGCTAAAAAATCTTGTTATCTGTAACCAGCTACAAAGCCACTCCTTTTGTTCAGTTGTGAATAACTCGAATACTTTGGAATATAGTATGTGAAGAACGGTATTATCGGTATTATAATATTATATGATTATTGATTCCAACAAAAAAATCATATGAGCCCATTTAACATGAACATGGCGCTCTTCGTCGATCCTGTTTTTCTCACAGGGCTTTTGAATAGTCTGGTCTTTTCTAATTAGTGCAATGTGTATAAGCGTGCAGCAGTAATTACAGAGCTAAGCTGTGTGTGTACTGGGTGTATTTGCAGGCCTTGCTCCCCCCAGCAGACTTCGGGAGGGATTGGTCACCCATTCATCTATAGAGCTACTGTGGGACCCTGCCCTGGGGCATGGCCTCAGCTATGAAGTCCTCTGTTACAACTGTGACCACACACATATGGTACACACTTTTTTTTTTTATTGTACCTTTTTTCCATACATAATTTTGAAAGACTTTGATAGTGTAAATTATGGGTTAAAACTGGACTCACCTGAACAAATGGGTGGAGTCTGGCGTGCTTGTGTTGGAACTAAAACCTGCAGACACAGGTTGACACAGGGCAGCTGTGGCTGCAGTTGTAGTAGCAGTAGCAGTAGTTTATCGCCACCGTGTATGGAGTGAAAGATTAATTAATGTGAAGCATCTTTGAGTGTCCAGAAAAGTGCTATATAAAATCAATGCATTAATATTATTATTACATACATACTATACATGATCATTTGTACCAAACCTCACCACATAATTTGTCCGAAACAGTAATCTTCTTAAAAAACCACCTGGAGCTCCGAGCACTGTGCATTTTCTCAGTGCACTGCAGTGAAACATTCCGTGCCCTTTCATCAGCGCTTTGCTTATTTGATGCGGCTCTGATTATTTCTCCTCTCTATAGGTGCAGAAAGTCCACAGTCAAAGCTCAACGTACTCATCTCTGACTCCGGGAACGGCATACCGCTTTGCCGTGCGGACGGAAAAAGAGTTCTTCCCTGACTCCCCCTCTGTCAGCATTAACATCACAGCAGGTATAATTTGCAACTTTACACTCCCATATTTTTATTTCCTTCCCAATAGTCACACTAATTGTTTGTCACACGCCAGCTCCCACCACTGTGGAACTATCCATTGTCAATACAAGTACATCATCTATATGCATTAGCTGGACTGCAGGCCGAGGAGTTGTGAGCGGCTTTGTGCTGTCAATCATAAACGTGACAGCTAAACAAGTGCAAATCAACATTCATCCAGAGGGCAGGTCACTTCTCGCTGGCAGTATCCCACATGAATGATAAGAGCCAGATCTTTCATCCTCGCAACCCTTTTTGGTGTTTTACAGATGCCACTGTTTCCAAGGGCTCTCTCCAGGGACCAAATATACTGTTGAAGTGATGAGCCTCAGCGGAGAGCGGAGGAGTGGAGCCACCAATATTACACTACATACCAGTGAGTCTGAGTCGAGGAAACCATGTGTGTGTAGATAAGATAATTATTTTGTTTGTCCCACAGTGGGGAAATTTAAATGTCATTGTTGCGCACATTAAAATAAAATAAAAACTCAGGAGCTTGGTCCAAGGATAGTACACTAGAGTAGTGTACACTGTAGTCAACAGGAGGTATGTTTATAATGTACTTTAGCAGCAGAGAATAGGACCGGAGTAAACAATAGTAATAATAGCAGCAGGTAAAGTGACTAGTATGACAGAATTATCAGATGAATGGAGTTTGTAATAATGTAGTAATAACAACAACAACAGGTAAAGAGACAAGAGAATTATTTTAACAGGTAAGTGGCACGTGTATAGACTCATCATCATTGTACAGCAGCAGACTGCCAGCACTAAATTATTAATCAATTATAAAATGTATTGAACAAGAATGAAAGGTCTAGCTTGATTGTGAAGATGATTATGATAGTTTGTTAAGAAAGTTCAGCTGATTAAAAGGGGTTCACATTACTGATAGCATTGCATTGTGTAAGAGTGTGTGGTGATATAAAAGAAATGAAAATGACATTAAAATTATATCAGTGCTCATGCCTTGAAGCTTGGGGTTCACAAAGGAAATCACTGTATTAAGCCCTTCCATTGTCGCTGTTCTTGCAGTTTATTAAGGAGTTTAGAATTTAATGTAGTACACTTGCAGCATCTATTTGTCACATTAAGAAAACCCATAGATACTTGCTTTGGGCTCCGTAACGACGGTCCTCTATTTTCTCATTTTGTCTGAAAAAAGCTGCTCTAAAGATGTGACAAAAGCCACATGGATTTTATTATGTTCCACAATTTAACTTTTCTCTCTCAGTCATCTGCAATATAAAAATGTGTCGGTGGGTGCAACAGGGGTGGTGGGTTTTAAAAAAGGTTTTTAGTTTCTTTTACCGGATTTTTTATGCATGTTGTGCGTGTTTATTTTTTAGATTATTTTTTATTAACTTGCACACCCAAAGCAGTTTCACACGTGACTGCAGACCATTACAAAACCCGTGCCGTGTAAAAATGGCGGTGATGGGAGGAGAAAGCCAGAGAGCGGGCCAGACATAGGGGAGGAGAAAGCCCTGTGGTCTGGCGGCCCGGGCCGTGGCCACAAGAAATGAAAAGTGGACTGGAGAGCCAAAATATTTTTAGCCCTGATTTTAGCCTCTTTCTTGGCCTTATTTTAGTCCTTATTTTTATCCTGTTTTTTTAACCAGTTTTCAATTGTTTTTTTTTATTGTTTTGATACATTTTATTAAATCACTTTTTCTCCTGCTTTTAATTCAGTGGTCTCTTCTTATACCGGGAAAAAATAAGTTCAATCATGACGCTGTGGAATTTACACATGTATGAATGTAGCAGATCTACATCTTTAAACTTGATTAACAACCAAAAACATAATGATGCTCTCTCTCGAAAGAAAGAAATCAAATGCACACCCTACATGTTACTTGCACTATAGTGTCAGTCCATTTCTGTGTGGCACGTGTGTGATGTGTGTTTTACTGACTCCTATGTGCAGCTCCACAGACGCCCCAGGATGTGACTCTGTCTCAGCGGGTGGTCACATCTGTCTTTGTTGCCTGGAGACCACCACCTGGACTCGTTGAAGGCTACAAGGTAACTGAAAAAAATAGTGTTTGTGTTGGGCTAATGACAAACTCAAACAATGCCACACAGCGCACATCAATAGCACAGTAATGTTTGAGTATTTGAGCGAATTGCTTTTTGAGCGCCTGCTAGCTCAGCTGCAGGTCTCTAAGCAGCAGTTGACAGCACACTGCAGCTTCTGTTACCACCTTTTTAAAGATGTATGATCTCTGCCAGAGCCATGGCCAACAAGCATGAGCCAGCAGCAACACTACACACCAATAACACCAATCCAAAGAGAACACATCAGTATCCACTGCCAAATAAAACTATTCCTTTGTTTCAGGTGTGCTATGGAATGCACATTGTCAAGCCAACACTATGGGAGTCGATCTATGTTCAAATCCCAAGTCACGAGATCAGCCACTTGATCCCAGGGACAGAGTATGGACTCAGCATTCAAAGCGTTCTGGGCTCTGACCTGAGCTCAGCTGTCCACAGACTCTTCAGTACACGTGAGAAAGATACTATTCCAAAACCTCACAGGCCTACAAGTTACACAGGCTTACATGTTGATGCAAATATGTTTGTTAGGCCCAGCCGGAGTGTGCGGTCTGCGTTTGGACCGTATAAACGCCTCTTCTGTCACCATCATTTGGGACAATGCCTCTGGGAACTTTGACTTCTACAGAGTGACAGTGGTCAATGCCTCTGTCACAAGCACTTTCCGCATACCAAAAGAGGAGCGTGTTGCCATGGTTGCAGGTCTGCATGATGGCTGCACTTACAACTTGAGTGTTGAAAGAGTAAAAGGAGCGCTTGTTGGGAGTGCAGCTTCCCTGACCATAAGCACAGGTAGCTATTGCACATAGACTAGTGTATTTGACTTCCCAGGATTTGGTCAAATCATATCATCGTTTCACCCTTGTTACTTTGTAAACCATATATCAAATGATTCTTGGACAAAAAAAACAAAAACCTTATGATATAGTTGAGGTAAGAATACTTTAAAGAGCAGATTTCTCATTAAATACTATATTGAATTATTTATTTCAAAACCTGCACAACATTTTCCACTTATCTTCACGGACACAAATATGCTTTGATTATGGGATGAATGAAGCACGATAATGACAACATTGTATAATAATCTTTACTGTAACCTGCTGAATGCTGTGATGCAACAATTGTTACTTTTTTGTTTGACTAGCCCTTCATCAATCCATTTTCTTCTTACTTATCCAGGGCCGGATCACAGAGGCAACATGATTTGATTTTGGCAAAACCTTTTTATATATATTTTTATTTTATTTTGGGGTTTTCCATAGATTTTTACCAGTAGACTCTAATACTGCATATGCGTGAAGACTTGTTACATTCCCTGATTGTATTTTAATGCACGCCTGTGGTCTTTCTGTTTGTGGTGAGTGCCAGCCCCAGTGAGGGAAGTGCACGTCCAAAATGTGTCCTTCCATTCCTTCTCGTTACACTGGCCCGAAGCAGAGGGCTGTGTGGATCATTTTGAAGTGACCCTACAGCCAAACCAGGGCAGAGCCACAGCGCGCCCTGCCAACAGTGGATACGTACAGGTACAAACATTCTTTTCCCACACAATTGAGCAGGTGTTTTCTGCAACTCTCTGTCACGACTAACATAGACATTTAGTCACATTGGCTGTCTCCTGCATCAGTCCCAAGACTCTGTACTCAAAATACATGTAATATGGACACCCGATAACTAAATACGTTGCATATTTATATAAACTAATACCCTGACATAAATTGACATTTCTATTAAAAACAACTTTACATAATATTGTGTTACTTTTTAAAGAAAGTGTAAGGTTCAGCATATAGCTTGCTAACTGTTTATTGGCAACTACACTGGGGGAATGATGCCTTATATCTCTTAGGTTAATGCACATTGATGAAAATATTTATGAACAAAAGTGAATTTGCTAAATTATAGCTACAAGGATCATTTTAATCGGTAGTCCCTCTGCAAGTAACAGAGACACGTGCAACACACTTTAGTAAATAGATACACATAGATTTAAACATTAGACAGATTACTAATCATGCATTACTGTTTGTTGACCATTCCAGCCAATAAATGCATATTCTTACAATCCAAACTCCTGTTTGAGTTTGGCCACGCTCCCTCAGCATATATCTTCATGAATAGCAGGTGTCACTTACCTCCAGCTGAAACCTTACACAGACACAGTGAGTAATAGATCTCATTCATTATTAAGTTTCCCCTCATGAGCTCAACCCTGAATCATTCATTGACTTAAGCACCATCTCCCAGTTGAGCTGCAGGGACCAGTGGGAGCAAGATAGCTATATGCTAATTTCATCCTTATTTAGCACCCATGGATAACAATTCACTTTTCTGAATGCAACAGGATTAATGTTCAGTGTCTGCATAAGTGACTCTGGAACCTCAAACTGCTTTCTGTACCTGCCCTGGACAAACAGTAGCCCATGTGGGGAGGCTGACAGTGGACTCTTCTCCCCTGTGGAGGCCTCTGCTTATAACTGCCCTCCAGACTAACATGGACTTTCTATGTCTGCTTTTTATTTTCTGCTTTGGACAATCACAGGTAAGGCGCTGTACAAATGATTCTCAAATAGTGGTGAACCAACCATGTAAGGTATTAGTGTTGTGACAATTCAATTGAAGTTTTATATATCAATGACCTGATACAATTTTTGATATCACGGTATCACATTTATCAGACAAAAAAGTATCTTGAGCCAAGAACATGGATACAAGGGCATCCCTGTCAAGAGCGTCAGGCAGTAGCAGGGAGTAATGTATACTTCTTGCCAGGGAGTACCAGTGCTTATGGGTCTATGTGTGTATGTTATTATTATTATTATTATTATAACACCCTTAACATTTTCCAACACTTAAGGGTGTTGTTATGACATTATCACCCAATAATGGGCGCTTGTGGGGCGCCCACAGACGTTCCTTTAGTTATAAGATAAGATAAAGCTTTATTTGTCCCTAATTGCTCTAGACAGTTATTAAATTATTCTTTTAAACCCCCAGTTCTTGGACAATTCAAAAATGTAATGTTTTAGCACAACAAAGTAATGGAACTTTTACAAAACTTTACACAAGTTATGATACATTTGAGAATCTTCCGAAAACTGTCCAGGCAAATCATTTTTGGCGTTGATTCAATTCTATTTTTGATCTGTTATATTTTAGTGCTCATGAATATGACATTTTGCCTTGTAGTTCCTCTTTTGGTAGTTTTAGTCTGAAGGAATGCCTTCATGTTGGCTTCAACTTAGTTCAACTTGGCTTGGTATTTGTGTTAGTTTCTGGGGGGAAGCTACATTTCCTTTTATAGCCCAATTTGTTCTAAAATTGCCAAAGTTAGCAAAATGTGTGTCTTTGAAATATAAGTCATTTGAAATGTATGCTGCATTTTAAAATGTTTATACCTGAGTGAACAGATGGCTGCCCATTTAACCGCAGAGAAGATAAATGTAACGGGTGGTTGTAATGCTAGTATTATACAATTCTGATAACATGAGCGCTGTGATGCATATGGCGCTGCTGCTGATACATTTTCAGAGATATAGAAATGGCTTGGACATATTTTTTTACTATAACATGAGGTATGGGTCTGACAAGCGGCCAGAGTGTGGCTGTACATATGCTGTTTGCACCAAGCAGAGTAAAACAAGCCAAAGCACCAAAAAACATCAGTCTCACACACGAAGGATGTCGATTTGCAGAGAGCAAACTTAAGTCTGAGCCCATAAGCCTGTTTACTGATTCAACACAACACTTCAGTGTTAACACTTAAAGACCTTATGCCGGGTTTTTTTTTTGTTATTGTGGATATCAAAATTGCATGACAATGTCGATCTGAAATAGATTCCGGCAAAAAAAATCCTATATTTTATAAAAACGACGTGTTTTTCATGAATTTAAGTTGTCTAAGCTCTAACCTGTGTGTGACGTCACAACGGGTATCGCCCATGCATTGAAAACCATGGATCTATGCCACAGGACTGCCTTTTCTCTCTACTCTCCACTGATGCCCAACACAATACTGCACTCTACAGGTGACAATTGCTCACTACACATAAATTGCCGTTTTGAGAGTGAAAATGTGTCTGAGGTGGGATTTGAACCCCAGTATCTGGATTGACAGTGCATCGACACAACCAAATTGTAAACAACTTACAGCGTTGAAACGTACCCACTCTGACGTCACCAAGGGCTGTGAATTTTTTTTGTCTCTAAGGGCGTTGCTATGGGGTTATTTTGATTTGGGGGGATCAGACAAAAAAAACAACAACTGATTTTGAAACCTTTAGTAGTTCTCTTCTAATATAAAATGGTATTAAAACTGTATTTCTAAATAAATCAAACCCGGCAAAAGGTCTTTAATGCAGCCACAAAGACTATGTATATAGACCTTTTATGTCTATTAATATTTTGTTACTATAACATTATGATGGTTCAATAACTTCACCATTTTATTGTGTATCTTGACTTGACTTGTACTTCATATATACTTTTAGGTTATATATAATAACATGTGAGTATAGATATATCCCAGTGATAAATTGCACATTTCAGGACACCCAATGCAGTTTACAGTACATTCATTCATTCCATACTGGTGGTAAGCTGGTATTGTAGCCCCAGCTGTCCTGGGGCAGACTAACGCACGGTGGCTGAGTGGATTGCACTCTCGTTTCTCAGCAAGAAGTTCCTGGGTTCGAACCCCGGTCAGAACAGGGCCTTTCTGAGTGGAGTTTGCATGTTCTCCCTGTGTTCGCTCTGGTTCCCTCCCGGTGCTCCGGTTTCCCCACTAAAAACATGCACAATAGGTATGAATGTAAATGAGAGATGAATTTGAATGGTGGTGCTGATTGGGGGCTGATGCGCCAGTGTTCGGCGTCTTGCTTCCATCATCACCGTGTGCGGAATGATTGGAACAATATCTGAACAGTGTTGTGCCAGTTCACAGCTTTTCTGAACTAGTTCAAGTTCAGTTCATACATGCTCAAAGTGAACAGTTCACGTTCAAAGTTCACATTTTTAATTCTGAACTAGTTCAAGTTCAGTTCATACATGCTCAAAGTGAACAGTTCACATTCAAAGTTCACATTTTTAATTCTGAACTAGTTCAAGTTCAGTTCATACATGCTCAAAGTGAACAGTTCACGTTCAAAGTTCACATTTTTAATTCTGAACTAGTTCAAAGTTCAGTTCATTTTACTTTTTTTGTGAGATATTCAAATAAATATTTTTTTCACACTACGAGCTAGAAATCACATTTTATATATATATATATATATATATATATATATATATATATATATATATATATATATATAAGTATATATCCTGTACACCGCACAGGATGAGAGCCTTTTGACTCTAAAAACAGACAAGATCTACATTGGGAGGAAAAAACTGAGTTGCCACTGCTCATAAGTGCTTCAAACAGTAATGCGCTGCAGTGCGTGTGTCTATACATAGTTCCCACAGACCAATGAATGTCACATGACCTCCTCGGAGACGCCATTTTTGATGGCACGCTGCTGTGTTTGTGCATTCCATTAAACAGAAGAATGAGAATAAATGTAGATATTCAAACGCAAATTGGAAAAAAAGGGCAACTTTTGAGCAAATAATTGTATATTAATACAATGGCACCACAGTTTAACGTGCTACGGACATGT